TCATTCTTTCTTTAGAGCCTCGCATAAGATAAAATTACGCGGGAAAACACGGCTTTACGTATATACTGTATTCCGGTATTCGGTTTACTACATCAATGAATCGACAAGCACGGATTATTTCTTAAATTTAATCCACATTTTTTACGTAAAGAAATCAGTTAGTACCCAATAAAAAGTACTTCGTATTAATAAAAATAGATAAAAACGGTACTCATAAAGCTTTCTCGGGACTACATCATATTCCTCTTGATCTGAAAAAGCTTTGAATCTCCATAAAAAACTGTAGAATCAAATAAAGTCAAGAATCTCAAAATTGGGTAAATTTAATATTGATAAAAAAATTATGAACTTTTTGGGATATATTTAAAATTTTTAGTCAAGACATTTGATAAATAAATAGAAAAATAACTTCGATACATAATTCAGTATAAATGGGTAAAAATATCGAACTCTATTTCCTTACTTGTTTACTCTTAATAAAATATTTTCGCGCAGCAAAAGTTTTGAATTATAAAAAAGGGACAGAGGTTTTTTCATATCGCCCGTAGCGACTGGTCAACTTAATGCACTAAGCAAAAAAAATCCAAAATTATCGATTCGACAAATTTCAAATTCTTTTTAGTTTGACTTTTAAAATTTTTTTGATAAAAATGAAAGTAGAATTTACAATTGAATAATTTTACTGACATACGCCAGTTTTTTTTCACAATGATGCTTAAGAAAAAAAAAGAAAAAAATTCGGACTGAATTCTACTTAGAGTTTCAATAGCAAAAAGTGCGCACTTGTGAATTCTTATTCGAGGTTTCCCTACTGTGGTAAATATTTACTCAGAGTTGCGAGTCTTCGATAATTCAAGTTTATTCAATGAATCGGTGTCCTGAATTGGTAGGTCGAGTGTTGGAGGGATTTGTAGAGAAAAAAGGTGAGATATAGGGGAAAAAAGCGCACTTCTGGAGATTAGCCTCACTTCAGCGATCAAATTGAATCACCGGATGGAAACAATGATATTCGTCAACAGTGGCTCAAAGAACAAGAAAGAGGTGAGAGAGGGAAAGAGAGAGTATAAACAACTTGCTCCAACAAGTTATATCACTGAAGGGACACGACTTTCTGCGCGTGAATATATAGTACCTGCATTTATGCATTTTATGTATTCGTATAAACGCATCTCTGATTGGAATAGCTTACGCAATCGCCGTACACGACCAGGAACTATAGAAACGCGACGCTTTTCAATCCGTTGACGTGTGCTACAGCAGAGCGAAAAAACTATTAGAACCAGAAAAGCAATTTTCCACGTTGAACGTGGGAGAGAGTACACGAGAGACAGGACAGATTCGTGTAGCGGGCGTGTGCGAGGACGTTTGATTATAACGAATATGAATGGACATTGTCCGCTTTTACATAGAATATACACTGCGTGTAAAACTTGTAAAACATAAGCGAGGGATGATTTGTTATTGATCCCGTGTCGCGTAGAGCAAACTGGTGTACACTTGATTTTCGTTGCGAATTTTCACCCGGCGATTGTAGTACGGGCGCGAACTTTTTAATTACTTTAATTATGGACCATCGTTATAAACAGGGTAAAGTTTTCCTTTGCCTCGTGCTATTATAGATTGCGTTCGATAACGAAGAATAATTTTGAGGTGTAAAATAATCAAAACTTGGATAGATATTTATCGAAATAACTTATTCTATTCAATGGAAAATTTGGATATAATGAGTCTTTAAAGTGAAATTTTTAAAAATAATCAATCTACAGACGTATCCACTTGGTCGGCTGGGAAACAACTTTTGAGCACTAACTAATTCGAAAAAATAAAGTTGGTTTTGGCAGAGTACTTGAAAAAACATTCGAAACTGGATAAAATAAAACTTTAAATAAACGATCATGCACTGCAATTTGAAATTAGAATGAACGATTAAACAAAACAAGAGTTCAATGAATTTAAACAATGCCTCGAAACATTTGTGTAAAGAAAAAAAATCTCTCTCATTTTTCCCCTTAATATTTCTATGCACAGTTATATTTGTTGCTCGTTAAAAAATGCTCTTTGAAAAGAAAGGAGAATCCAAGGCTAGTACAACTGCCGCTAACACACAATGCATTATAAACGCATGCTCGAGAGAGCTTGGTATAACGGAATTTGAAACGAAGTAGGAGTGGGGTTGGAGTTGGCATTCGAGAGCTTTACCGAGGCACATAAATTCTCGGCACGTTGACTTATGACCGCACACACACACACACACACACACACATATTCTGCGTGGAGCAGATCTTGCGTGTCGTAAAAGCTTGTGCGTGATTCTCGTACTAGTATATGATACACTTGTCATATTCTTGCATGGATCTGTTTTTTTTTCTCTTTTGATAAATAATGCATCGAACCTTGCGTTTCATTGTTTGTTCCGCGATTATGGCTGTATGTAAATCATAATTGTTGAAGCAACTTGGGAGCGGAAGGGTCAAGGGGTATCACTTGCACTTGAAAATCATTATCACAACGAATCTTTGATGAACATTGACGTAATATTTTTCATCCCCTTCTGTTTGGGTTTTAATAATTCGCGTTAGCGGTTTTGCGCATGGCGTTGAAAGATAAAAATTTAAGTTTTTAATCACTCTTAGAGTGCTTGCGCGTGTACTGAAATTTTTATACGATAAAATGTATATAAAAGAAAAAAATTACATTACTCGTGCCCGAACGAGCTCACGCGTTTATTTTTGCGCAAAAATTGTGCCATCGTAAAGTAAATCATAAAAGGACTCGTTATGGGAAACATGGGGAAGAACATGAGCGCAATGAAATTACGTCAACGAAAACAGAAAAAGAATTGCGAGAGCTTGTCGGACAAGTGTATTATATTATAGATAGCATTACGACTGTGGTATGACATCTGGTTTCAAAATGCGACGAAAAGAAATAAAGAAGAAGACATTCAACAGCAAATAGGCACGTGCTGAAGGTTTCAGTACATCGTGAAACCCTCGTCTATGTGTTTTACCTTCTTCAATTGTTATTTTTATTACAATATTTTATACAATAAAAAGCAGCAAATTCGTCAGTGTCGCATTCACTACTGCAATGTAAAACACGTTTTTGATGAAGCTACTATTGTAGGTTTTCGAATATCAGCTGTATTGCTCTCTCACTGTACTTCTCGCTTTTCTCTCTATTGAACTCTCTATTTTTCACTAATTTTGTAAAATCAAGTAGTAGTGTTAATACTAAATAAATAATTTTTATCAAAGAATTTTGAAATCAAAATAATGTAAATAAAACTTCGTTTGACATTGACAATACAATATACAATTGAATTAATTGGCCCGGGTTCAAAGGTATATCGTGCGCATTTCTACATCCCGTATAGCGATTGAGCTTAAACAATGGCATTCTTTGTCACTGTCAATAGAATTAGCCGTTTTACTGTTGCATTCGTGTGTTTTTACCATGTACTTTGAAAAATACGCAATTCGCTATACTATCATCTAATACAGTTAACAGTTCACTCAACTATTGGGTTTCCTTCAGACAAGTTTTACCAAACAATAGATTAAAGTACTGAGCTGTTTTCGAGGTGAAACTCATTAAATGCGTATGTCAAAGCTCCATGAATTCTCAATGAAACCCAACAGTTTGTGAACAATTCATTAGTTGTTCGGGCAAAGGATTAAAATGTCAGTAGAAGTTGTCGGAGTATCAGAACACGCTTGGCTTGTCCGACTATTCTGCAAGCTCGACTACTTAGAAAATGTCATTACGTATATATATTTTGCTCTCTTCTCTGACAAGTTTGACACGTTTGCCCAAACAATAACATCATCCGCCCATGACAATTAAGAAGAAAAACATTTGAATGACTGTTGTTTTTCTGACAAAAAAATTGTGTCATTTTCGATGAAACATGTACGCAGCATAAAGACACGATGTCGAATACTATATATTTCAAGCTCGTTAATTTTGTCAGTGTCGGCAAAGTACTTGAAAACTAATGCGCAATAATCGGTTGCACATCAGGAAGCTTGCACAGCACCTTCGCATGCCTCATAATTGCAGCTGGTGCTACATATCTATATTTAATAAACGTCAATCAGGGCCGATAAGTACAAGAGAAACAGTTATCGCAAAAGTTGTAACGAGCGATGAAAAGTTGCGCTCCGAGTGTAAAGTATATAGTTTATTTACCGCTCGCTCGCCAGTTTCTCGTTTTTCAGTGCATTGCTTCCGCGAGCAACGAGGCGTATAAGTACACTAATTTCAAAGAAAAACAATGGAAAAACTTTTAATGATTATAAGTTTTTACGCGTGAGCAAATCGAAAAACTCAAATGGAAATGGTCGGACTTTTTGCAACTTAGTGACTACCATACTACATATCAACTTCAATAGTGCGCGTTTAAATGCTTGTTAAGGATTTTATCGTTTTATAGGTATATTCGTGTCGTTTAGAGATGTGACTTGAAATTACTTCTTATATAAACATCGACAAAATGCTTAATCGCGCGTTCACCCGATATAAAATGTATCAAAGATTACTAGGAAAGTGTATTGAGCAGAAACATAGCGTTTCATCACTTATAGAAGTCAAGGAACATGTAACTTTAGTATCAGTGAGTCGAGTTTAAGAAAGTAGAAAAAAAAGTTGATGTTATGCAAACAAAATCTTGATGACTTTCAAATAAAAAAAGGCTAAAGTAGGTTAAAGCGAGCGTAACTCGAGTTGCGTAATCTTGATTAACTTTCTCGGGGTAAAAACTCATTTGAGCATTGAAAACTGCCAAGATGCTGTTTTGCAACTAAGAGTTTCTTGAAGCTGCAGTTTACCTTTTATGCTACGGTATAACCATTCAGAGGTGGAGCATTCTGTCGGTATACTGTTGTGTATCACATTGTTCAAAAATGTATCAATATTACATTTTGAGATATTTAAAATTATACTTATTTTGACAAAAAAAAAATCAGAACAAAAACAATACAGTCCGTTTGAATTTTCAGACAGCAACTTTGTGCTGGGAAACGCTCAGGTACCGACGACCTATCCGATCGTTTACTGCAGCGATGGCTTCTGCGACCTGACAGGATATCCGCGGGCGCAAATCATGCAAAAGGGTTGCGCCTGCAAATTTCTTTACGGGCCGGACACGTTGGAGGAAGATAGGGCAATGATCGACAAGAGCCTCGAGAGCAAGACCGAGCTGAAACTAGAGGTCACGTTTTACAAGAAATGCGGTGAGTTATTTTTCCTCTTGTTTCATTGAACGAAGATTATTTGATAAATCAACGTCGAGGAACGTTTCGAGACACGTTATATCTTGAGCAAAGCTCGATTTAGCAAGCTGTTCAACATTTGAATTCATTTTGATAAAATATTCATTTTCGCGCACAGCCTCATTTTGCACGATTGCATCGCAAGTACATCGGTTATGAGTGCACGCGTTCAACATGGAAAGTTCGCACATTTTCGATTAGTATTCACTGCATGTGATATGAAATTCCTTTTATATTTCTTTTTCTCTTTTTTTTTAAGAAAGAAAAAAAATTAATTTCCGTCCTTTAAGCTGGGCTTGCGCACGCCTGGACAGTTGGGCTCGTCAGTAGTAAGACACTCTCGAAACTCGGTAATCCGATTTGCAAGCCCCAGCATTGAAGCAGCTGGAAAAAGATAAAACGTTACGAGATCCGAATGGCATAGTGTTAAGGTAAAAAGAAGAGGCTTAGCTAAACCTTGCCCAAAAAACGAAAAGTCGTAAATATATGTGTTACCCGTAAACTGTCAAGTGAACGAAATAATGAGCCCGAAATATTTATACCGAAACTTCATTTAGTATTTTTTGCATGTGCAGTAATGATTAGGCGTAAGAGGTTTGCCAAAGCTGCATTGCCAACTTAACACGTAAAAGCTAACTAATTAAAGTGGTCGAACTCGCACTCGCTCACAGAAACGCTTATACTTACTGAAGTATAAGTTTTATACTTTAATTTATATAATTACTCTCTGTTTAATTGTCGCATATGTAGATGAATTTCATTCAAAAAAATTTTAAGAAAACAACGAGCTTCTATTACTTTCAAAATCTTAGAAATAAAATCGAATTTCTGTTAAAATCTAGGTATGACAATTTACTTTCGACCTACAGATGCGTTAATTTTTAAACACACGTTTCAGATTAACAAAAAATTAAATATATATTCCCAAATATAATGAAAAACTAAAATTATAATAAAAAATATCACAAAATTTAATAAAATAAATTGTGATAGTAAAATTGTTAAGAAAATAAAAATATTATTCCACAATTTTAAGAATTTATATCACTCTGACCACAAGGCTATCATGTAAAGTTTATGATTTTGAAACTTTTTTGTGCCATAAGTTTAATCTACTTAAACAAAGCCAATTACTCGTTTAATTTCAGAGTGTACCGTATCTTTTTCATTGTAAATTGAATAATTATTCATTATGAGGGATTTATTTGGTCTTAATACATATTTCACTTACATATTATAGATTATATTTCATGTTTTCAATAAAAGTTTAAACTGCAGTTGATGATTCATGACTTTGATAATTGATATGTATTTACAGGAGCTCCGTTCAATTGTCTACTCGACATAGTTCCCATCAAAAATGAAAAGGGCGACGTCGTTTTATTTTTGGCCTCACACAAGGATATCACTCACACGAAAAATCTACAATTTAGTGAGTTGTACGATAGTGGTGAGTGCACTTGGCTTTCGCAGCATACAATTTTATTAATTCATATAGTCATTATGCATGACAGAGTGTGAAGAAAAAACTCATGATATTGTTCGGTGTTTTAATGTCAGCTCATACAAAAATCATTGATAAATGTACAAGAAAATAAACGTGTACATAAAGCACGTTACTCATATAAAAATCATGTTTTCGAGTTTTTGCCTCGTTCGTGAAAATTAATCAACACTTTGACTTCTAGAAAAATTTACATCGTTCTCATTAAAAGATTCATTTCGCGTGCATTATTGGAGTCCATAATATTTGCATATTAAATTCAAATTTTCCTATAAAGTTAAAAATGAAATTATTGCTCATAAAACGGGAGAAATTGCAAAAATATTATTCTACAAAAGCCATGATCGTTACTAGACGTCACAGGTGATCGCTATAAAATATGTATCAATTATTGGAGGCTACATAATCATAAATTTTGATACGAAAACAAAAACATAAAATTCTAACGAGTTCAAAAAAAAAGGAACAAATCAAGTCATGCATTCACGACTATATTTAAATCCACGCTTACGCGCCAGAGTTCTGCCATCTAAATAAGACGAGTAAAGTAAGAATCAAATAAGTCTTTCTAATGCACTTTTTCCAACTTCTTCACTATCAAGCTGCACCGTAATGATATTTTCATTAATGAACTTTTGCAATTTTTCCGATGCGATTGCTCGGGTATAGCATTAATAACTCGCAACGAAACAGGATACCTCGTGGCGAGTCACGATCTCTCGCGGAATCTTCGTGAAAAATTGATTATAAACATCGACGACAAATCTCGCGCAAGTGCTATTAAGAGCGGAAAAAGAAAAAAAGTAAAAAAAACCATAGGATTTACCCACGTTGTGCAATAGTTTTCAGAATTGTCGTCGTTGAGTACCGCCGCGTTTCTATTAAAAAGAGCAATAAGCGAAGCGAAAGAAATAGGAAAATCTACGTCGAGAGAGTGAAAAAGGATGACGAGGAAAACTACTCGAGATGCGCAGGGGTTTCGTTAAAAATTACAAATTCATCTGGCTCGCTATGTATAAAATTTATCCAAGTGGAAAAGATGATTGATTGCAATCGTGCGTTATAAATACCCTATACATACACGTAACATTTATTTTCACGACCATTGCAGCTAGTCTACGTTATACAACAGACGCGTATGCTTTACGATTGTCGGGTAATATTATTGGGGTTCGATAATAGCTACTCTTACATCTTTGAAATCCTATAAAGACGAATTAGTAAATATTTACGCTAATTTGCGCGCACAAGCACGCGTCCGTAAATTGGCAACGATTCGTTGGGTGCACTTAATTAGAAGCCAGTGCGCAAGTACGAATCAACAAATATATATATTTAATTCATGTTTATGTTGCATATACGTACGGAAGTATCGACCGCGAGAGGCGTGCGAAAAACAACGAGAGTGTATAAAAAAAGGGCCGCAATAAAGACTTGGCATAAAAGCTCACGTACACGCAGACTCACTATACAAGAATACGAATTAAAAAAAGCACAAGTGAAGGCTGAAAAAACACACGTCGTGAAGTCGACTGCAGGCAATCGAAGACGGCCGCAAGCATTACTTCGCACCGCGCACGGAGCTTTTTGTTGTTTTTTTTCTCCCTTTGTGTTTATAAGCAAGTTTTTCACAGTAGAAGTTTCAATACAAACGCAGTAGTTAAATGCGCTTTGACTCGCGGTAATGATAATGGGGCGCGCGCTACACGCTCACACTTGCAAAACACGGCTCTATCGCGTTATATTTTGCTTATTTATAGATGAGAACGCTAATTGTGTATCCGCACAATGAGTGTGGGCGTCTGTCCGTGTGCGTGAGCTCTGTATACGCATAAAAATAGAATATGTGGCTTTTGTTGCGCATTTGAATTGAATTTCCTGATGTATTAAACGGTCGTTTTCAATCGACGTGGCATGCTTACGAACGACGTCGAAAGTATAAAACGCAATACATTCAATGCATCACACATCCTCGTATATATTTGAAATCTGAGTCTTGCGACTATATAGAAATACCCAACAGTTTTATATTACAAAAGAGATATTTTTCCTTAATTCAGAGTTTTCACTTTTATTAAATTTAAGTGTAGCAGTAATGTTCGATAAATAAAAGGTGCCAGAAGATAGGATAAAAGGGTCGGAGCAATTTTTTAAAAACTGAAATTATTATTTTAAATCATTTTTATTTATTCCGGATTTTTCTGCAGGACATCAAAAATCATCGAATTTTTTTTGGAAAAAACTGCACGCTCACTTAGAATTAAGTAAGGGTAAGCGTACCAGATACTTATTCACATAACTAATACCCACCGTTTTTTTGTTTGAAATGACAATTAATCATTCTTATTTTAGATCTATGTTTTGCTTCGGTGGAGGGATGAAAATGAACGAAGAGTTTGACTTCATTAAACAAGCATTTAGTTTGTGTTGAATTTTTTTGACGCATGAAACTAAAACGCATGAGCAGCAAAAGTATAGCAGACGTTGAACTGAACTGAATATTTATATTGATGATAGCCTTACAGACACTTAATTAATTACTAAAAGCTCATTGAATTCAAGTTTTTCTTGGGAAACTTAATTTTTCATGTCAGTGAAAATTTCAATTGTGCGTATAAGATTGAGTTCTTATTTTCAATCAGTTAAATAACAAAGCTTTGAGATTTCAAAAACTTTTTTTAGTAAAACAATATACTGCACTGCAGTTCAAATAATGCCAAAATATAATTTTTTAATTTTAATTAAAATTTAAAGCTGGTTGATATAAAATTTTACTTGGAAATGCATGCACCCCATTGTTTCAATAGTACAATCCATGGTAGAAAAGTTAAGTATTCCAAGATTAATATAATCGTATGGACGCACTTGGCAAGTTATTTTTTAATTTAATACATACTAAAAACTACCTAACGTTTGTAAAATTGAATACAGGGTCAAAAGTTTTAAGGTGAATATTTCATTGGCGTCTATAACTTATAATATCGCTTTTTCTAAAATAATGTGAGAAAATAGTGTTCGCAAAAAAAATGAAAAAATTGTTGAGTATTTCTATACGCAAGAAATGCACAGAAATTCAAGCTTACTATCATCCATAGTTGAAATTAACTGAGAATATAATTGTAAATTAAAAAATTGATGATGCTAATTTCGTAGATGCCAACGGTAATTTAGATCCAGAGGCGCCACCGGCGAATTATGGAAGAAGAAGAAGTCGAGCAGTTTTATATCAACTATCGGGTCATTATAAGCAGGACAATAAGCACAGAATGAAATTGAACAACGTGAGTATCAACGTCGCTTATTCAAAGCATGGATACTTAATTAACACGTTACAGTTCGCTCGCACCCTCAAAACACAAATAATATCGAGGCACGCGAGAGCCTGCAGAGCAAAAGCGAGCGCGACCTGGCTTTTGTAATGTGCAGCACGAATTAATTCGACGCGAATGTTTATATGTGGCATTTCACGTCAACTCTCCCAGTGCCGCGCGGCGCGGCAGAATTAAGCCAAATCACTAAATTTGTGAATCGCTGTAAAAGTACTAAAATGCACCTAGAGAAAAAAACGAACCCATGGTTTCGATGGGAAATCGCCTCAGCTTTCCGATGGTGACGTCAGATTTTCCGAATTTTTCCGCTTTACCCGGGAAAATCGCTGGGAAAACTTTAAAGTCGATTATCTCGAAAACTTCATTTTTAAGATTTTTTTAAATAGTCTAGATCGAAAGATCAGGAAATTTCCCATCGATATAGACCTTTTCCAGTAAGGCGTTTTTTGATTTTAGCGAGATATAGCGAGAGAAAGAAGAAAAAACGTGGTTTTTTCGCGCGCGCGGGCGGTCGGACGCCACCAAACGAACAAAAAACCACGCTTTTTCTTCTTTCTCTCGCTATATCTCGCTAAAATCAAAAAACGCCTCTCTGGAAAAGGTCTATATCGATGGGAAATTTCCTGATCTTTCGATCTAGACTATTTAAAAAAATCTTAAAAATGAAGTTTTCGAGATAATCGACTTTAAAGTTTTCCCAGCGATTTTCTCGGGTAAAGCGGAAAATTTCAGAAAATCTGACCTCACCATCGGAAAGCTGAGGCGATTTCCCATCGAAACCATGGGTTCGTTTTTTTCTCTAGGTGCATTTTAGTACTTTTACAGCGATTCAAAAATTTAGTGATTTGGCCTAATTCTGCCGCGCCGCGCGGCACTGGGAGAGTTGACGTGAAATGCCACATATGTATCGAATCTCTCGAGTCACCACTACTATTTTCCTGATACACGCAGTCGTGAAGCCTGCCGTCTTTATATATTACATAATACAGCCGAGTATATATTGCGCGAGAAAATTGTCGGGGCTGCGTGGCAGATAAGCCTCCGGGCTGTGCGCACGGCCAAGCCGTGTCGACGATCGTGCCCCGCTCGCAATACGGCGCGCAGGGAGGAGACACAGAGACGATAACATCATAAAACGCCTGGACGACGCGAACTCAAAGAGCTAATGCCCCGAGCGCGAGATTACACTGTCGTGGGATTTTCTATATGTGTGTGTGCACGTGCTGACCTACATCGCGTATACACAGAATTCGGTTCCGCATGATCGAAACGAGACGAACTCGAAGCCGCGTTGTCTCTCGTCGTCCTCGTCGCATTGCTTTGCAACTTTGCTCCGATGTGCAGCACAGCCTCTCTGTCTCTCTGCGCCGAGCATATCAGCTATATCTTTATCTTTCCGTCTTGCTGCAGCCTCTGCCGACACTATATACTATACTACCAGGAGGTGGTAATTCGGTTAAAGCGCGAGCTCTACGCGCTGTGGTCCATTTTCGCAACTGCGAAACCTAATTCGATTGGTGTGGTGGCGGCGCTCGTTTGCAACTCGAGACTCAACGGCCGTCGCGCATAGGCTACAGATGTATATATAGCTATACAGCGGGTATACTGATAAGGTATCCTATCTCGCATTAACGTTCGACCAACGTAACGGCGCCTGATGCAAAACTGCGCCGTTACGACAAATTTCACCTTTTCAGGGGAGAAATGTCGGAAGCTATTACGCAGCGCGCGGAGTCGCGACGAAAGAAATTCGACGCAACTTTTATCGATTCTGAAATACTTTTTATGTACGAATCAGTTTGTAAAAAGATTGCGTCTTACTCGAATGGAGTCTCTGGCGACGGTTTGCGATGCTTTAGTGAACGTTCGACGTTTGAATAACTGGCACTGACGCACAAAACTACACTTTTAAACGTATTAATTTTATTCACCTCACTCACTGCCCGTTGCACTGTAAATGCAGCACTCTTCCGAAAAAAAAATTTCGAATTGAAAACACACAAATTACACTCAAACACTTATCACATTCAGCGAACCAGATAAAAATTGCCCTCATTAACTTTAACAGTTTTACATTTACAAGTAACGGTAATCGACTTACATTTTCGATATTGCCGCGCTCGGAGTAAAAAGCGCTAACTGCCGCGCGGGCCGCGACGCCGAGCGAACTACTGAGTTGACGTTTTTAATAATTACTGAGCAACGTTTTTAATAATTGCGTTCGATTTTTGACTCGCTCGAATTCACGGTTCTCGCACAAAGCTGCACACTAAAACACTACAAGGCAGGATAATAATTATTTATTATTGGAAATGTTGCACAAAGCGAATGAACTAAGTACTTGAAGCTTATATTAATATAGTTCAAATATGCGGAGAGCGTCGAGCGGTGCTGCTGCCGAGTCGCAACGGTCACTCGCCGCGAATTAGGCGGGCAAACTTCGACTCCCCTCCCCTCGCCGCCCCCCTAGCCTCAACTATCTCGTTCGGTTATACGCGAGCTGCAACGGCATCGCGGCGAATCGTTCGAATTCTTGGCATTGAAAATTGAAATCAAATTCAATACTTTGCAGAGAGATGAACTCGACGCACGTACATTTGAAAAGTGCGTCGATGGCCGATGTGCCCCGAGAGGCAATTCTTTGATGCATATATAACATAACGTATGCATCGCGCACAAATCATCTCTACTATATATGGCGAAAATCTGTGTTGCAGACGCTGCTCTCGCATTCACAAACGACCCCGCTGCCAGAGTACAAAACGACGTCGCTGAAAAAGTCGCAGTACATCCTCAGTCATTACGGCGTGTTCAGGACGTGCTGGGACTGGCTCATACTCATTGCCACGATCTACGTGGCCTGCATCGTGCCCTTCAACGCCAGTTTCATCAATCCGGAGCGGCCTACTATGGTAGTCGACGTCATTGTCGAGGTTCTATTCATAATCGGTGAGTGAGCAGAGACTATTTTTTTTCTTGTCGCCAGTATCTTGCCTCCGAGGCTGAAGGAGCGATGAAAAGAGTCGAAAAACAAAGCGAACGCATTTGACGGTTGACTTGAAAATTCAGCTTGGCGCGTTTATTGGTGCGAGCATAACAAACGATATACTTCGAGAACGCCTAGTGCATATTTGACTGTTCTTTGATAGCGGCTGTGTATACAAGACACAATAACTTATGTTATCTACTGGACAATTGGACATTTCTCTATGCAATAAAGTTAAATTTGCGGAATATTGCATAAAGCCTATAAAATTCAATCGCGCTGAAAATACACTTACTCCCTCATATACCGACATAAAAGTGTTACATGCGTGAGTTCTCTTTGTAGCGTTCGTCGAAGAGGCCGTATTACTCGGACTCTAAATCTTTGGATCCGCTGAATTCGTATGAGGATATAAGGGGGAAAAACGTACGACTCTTTATCTTCTGCCTTATATACGCACTAAATCTAGGAGCCAAACTTGATCGTAAAAATCGATCTATTTGCAGTACGCCGCGGCGCTATACCTATTATCGGCTCTCTTCTTTCGTTTTATACTGACCAACAAACGAGAATAGAGGGTGGCTTCGCCGATCCGCAACGCCTTTAAATCAGAGGTAGTAGTAGTAGTAGCAGCAACAGTAGCGGCAACCGCCTGCAAGCGTACTTTATCCTCTCTCTCTCTTTGCCCCCTTTCTTCTTTTTAATACAGAGATATTTTGCAGCCACGGCGCGACGCGATTACGATGACGATAGTCATTCAAGCGGTAAATTGATGAGAAATATCGATCGCAAAACGAGAGATAGCCCATATTTTATTCGCACAATCAATGAAGTATTTTATACGGCCTCGTTAGGGAGACTGAAATAAAAAGGCGATTTTTGAAGCTGGCTCGTGTAAATGACATAAAATTTTTTTCCTGCTCGCGTTGCTGTTTTTTTTTTGTTTATGTTATCCGAAAGCTGTAGGCTAACCAGCACTCGAACGAAAAAAATCTGTTTTCCCTTGTTTCTGCGCGCATTGATGTAACCGTGTGAATTATGAACGTGAAAATTATTCCGAAGCCCGACATCGCGCGAGGCCGATATATTTTTTCAAATAAAAAAAAACAGCAAACAAAATAACGTGGCAAAAATGCATCCTTCAGCGGATAAATAATATCGGCGATGGATGAAATTTGATTGATTCAACGTACACGTTCTTGATGAGCGTAAAAAAATACTTCTGATTTTTTTTAGATATTTCGTTACCCAAACCCGGTCAATCATAAAAATTATGACAAATAATGGAAAAATTAATGCTGCCATTGCTATACGTCGTCCCGCGATCAATTTAATAATTAACTTGATGGAATCTTTATTTACGTTCGAGTATGTACATCACTGCCTTAAACTTTATAAATTAGCTATTTAATTCTGCGTCAAATTAAATGTGAAAATTCGACCTCTCCTGCACGATAGACAGAAGTGAATTAAAAATGAATTTTCCGAGGTAAATGAAGAGTCGCGATTTGCTTGCGAAATTACATCGTACCAGCCCGCGCTCGATACGAGCGCCTAATTGTTTTAATTACAAATTATATACTCTGCATCTAGCATGTACGAACGCGAATAGATGGAAGTATTAGGTGTATATGGAGTAGAGCCGAGTCGAGCATGAAAGGGACGTTGAAGAGTGCGCGTCGATAAAAAATTTTCAATTTGATGTGTTTGAAATCTGAGGACGTTGTTGACCCTGTTCATCAATTTTCCAAGATGAATAAAACGCAGCAGCCTCGCGCTACGTTGCTTACTTTATACCGAGCATTCATTCTGTGAAAAGCTACTTTTTTTTACATTTTTAGTAAAAGCGAATTTTAAGATAGTTTAATGGAGGTACGGTGTGTATGCATAAATAATAAGAACGTTATATATATTTCATTTATGATTGCTGTTAAACGCTCACTTGAATTATGAGGATTATTTAATTGTCTTTCAAATTGCATTTAAAAAAAGAATGAAATGACAAATTGCTCTATCAATTGATGTAATTAAATAGAACCTTTATTTTACCTAATGGAACAACGAAAAGAATTCATTTTATGATTAGCACTCGTTGAATATAATAATAGTAAAAAAATGTTAACTATTCGTCTACTTTTCCCCCCAATAATTAGATATTCTCATTCATATACGTACTACGTGCATCCTAAAATATAACGTGAAAAAGTAAAATAAAAATAATGAAACTGTACTATTTAAGCATTTTTTTGTGTGTGTTCAAGTGTATATGCGCCTCGATGCGTTTAAAGAGCAAAAAATAAAAAAGTAAAAGTATAAAAAGTTCCACATTTCGTGGATCAATGTCATGACAGTAAAATATCATCACGTATACATAAAAAACGCTGTAAGCTCACTACCTGGGGTTACGTTTTATTATTCTCTCCATCTTTACTTTCAACAAGTGCATGTGCGCTGCTATATACGTGATGGCTTGCTCATTGTTTGCTTTTGTAGAAAAAAATATATCTATCTGCTACACATAGGAAAGTTGAAACTGAGAACTTGAAATATTTCGTCGGCGATTTTTGCGCATAGGTCCATGTACCAATGAACACAATTTACGAAAACATTTTTTCTCGCGAGGCAATTTTATTTGCTGTATTTTCCAGCTCTTGATGAAAAAAGTATGCTACGTGGAATCAGGATAGAAAAAAAGTTTTCTTTTGCTAGTTTCCGCTTTTTGATATCAAAACCGAATTATCATTGTAAAAATTTAAAAGCGTTTCACGATCGGGTATTCGTATTCGATGTTAGAAAAGCGATTGAGGCAAAAACTGTAATCAAGGCAATTGTTAAAAAATGAACTCTAACAAATTTTATCGTTTCGTTGCAGACATTATACTCAACTTCAATACTACGTACGTGAACAAGAAAGGCGAGGTGGTGAGCAATACAAAGGATATCGCTTGCAATTATATCAAGTGCTGGTTTCTCTGCGATATTTTAGCAGCGTTGCCTTTTGATCTGCTCTATGCTACCGATATTTACAACGGCGAGGTAACAAGTTTTTATATTTATTTACTTTTTTTTTCATTCTTCCTAACAAATTGTAACCTGCGGGAATTGCAGTTTCCAATATATCGATCAAAGTTTATGATCCGCAAAAGCTATCCAAGCATAGGATGTATTTGTTCGTTTAATCAATCCATAAATTGTAAACCACAATCGGCGACCAGATCACCGCGTAAATGCATCCTCAGTTGTATATTGAATTCGATCAAAATTTTTGAATACACGGATCGAGCCATGAGATGGTGAATCCGAGACTTGATAGGTTCATTGTTTGATGAATTGATCAAAATCAAGTAGAGCCAAATTAATCGGTGAATGTTTAGTTTGCTGCTAAATTGACGTTCATAATTTTTGATTGAAAATCACTAGTACGCATTGAATGCGAAATTTGTTAGCTCATCATACAAAGGAAATTCAAAATTTTTTTCGTCTCGGTATTATTGATAACGCTTTTCAGATTTTATTATTCCATTATTTATTTGAGAAAACCACACAAATGTGCAGCAATTATTTTTTCAAAGGTAAGCGAATATCATGAATATACAAAAACGTGACTGAGCATTTGATTACTTTATTTTTTAATAAATTCGGTAACCTGTACGAATTAGCTGACTCGACAAAATAAAAATTATAACAAGCGTACACTTGCATGCGTGCGGTTGAAAATGGAAAAAGTATAAAAATATTTGATGAACAAAAATTTTCACTACAATCAAGCCCGATCCTCGATATATAACGTTCATCACAGACGCTAGTCACGAAAATTTCTCCTATCTACCGGCATTATAGTTTTTGTGCGCAGCCAGCGAATAGCGTTTAAGCTCTGTTGCCTGAAAAATATATACGTATATATAAATGCGCAGAGAGCAGAGCAAAGCACACGCTTCACGTCCGGCCTAATATGTAATTCACGTCGCTTGCACACACACGTACGTACCTCTGTTTTCCATTTTCCTGAACTCATCTCATTTATTTAAACGGTTGAATGCGACGAAAAAATTGAGGATGAAAAAAAGTAAAAGTAAGTCTGGCTGTTAAATTTGTCGGCGCATCGGCTTCAGTTGAATGAAGATCAAATAAATTGTTTTCCGCGGTCGACTATGCACAATCGATTATTCGACCGATACGTTATACCCAAACTATCGTCAAATTCATTTTATTTCGAATTTCGCCAGCTGCAGCTAAACGCACCCATCGTCGTGATAACGATAATTTTATAAGACTATAGTTTATGCGCGCGGACAGCTTTCCAGCACTACTATATGTAATACGTTCGACACGGCTGTGCTGGTGGAAATGCCTGCAGGACCTGAACTGGCGCACGCTGTAAGCTAACGACCGCAAACACAAATTTTGTTAGACCTCGGCTTGTGCTGTCGGATACCTATATACCCTCGAGTTCATAATGAAAATCTTTGACCCAAAAGAGCGTTAAAGCGAGGCTGTGCGGCGTCGTTTTAATGATTTTCTTGAACTCTCTGTAATATCGAGTTGGGCTTAATTTTTTTACTTTTTATTTTTCGCCTCGCGAGACGAGGTAAGGGGAAGAAGATGAAAAAAAATGTTTCATTCTTAGCCTCGTAAAAGTTAAATAAGCGGCCAGTTTCTCGTGTAAACGTCGGCAAAAGTTCATTTAAACCGAGGTGCGTGTTTCGTGGTCGCTGCAGTGTAACATCGAATTTCTTTGTATATACTTTTTATCGGCGAATTAAACTCAGAGCCGCGTTTTGTTTTTGGATGGAGAAAAAAGTGTGTATAACATAAAAAATTGCCTATTCCATCATCTTAAATAACTCGCGCACAAAGAATCGCGGCGAAACTTATTTGAAAAAAAGAAGGGAAAAAAACACCAGCCAGCACAACAATGAACAAAACTCGTTTATGCAAAAAAGAAAGTTTGCATAATAGCTAAAGTTTTAAGCCTTATCGTAAAATGTCAAGGAAAGGAATGAGGATAAGAAGGGGGGAGGAGGATAACATCGCAGGTCCCTAAACGCGAAAACCGAGGAACAAAGGCCTTGGGATGAAACAAAACACGTATCCCTCGGACTTTTTTTTCATTCGCGCAGAGGCGCAAAAATTATGCGATCACTTAATTCCATTAAAAATGTATGGCGCGAGCCAGGCGCGGTTTTACGCGCCAAAACGCGCGCATAAAATATGTATCTGCGGTAATACGTAAGCTTGCAGCTCGTGCTCACGCTGTCGTTGGATTTTGCAGGAATCGGGCCACAGCTACATTCATCTAGTGAAGCTTACGAGGCTCACAAGACTGGCGCGAATAATGGATAAAATGGATACGTACTCGCAGTACAGCTTCATCATTCTTCCGCTGCTGATGGTGTCCTTTGCGATCGTGGCTCACTGGATGGCTTGCATATGGTACTTCATAGCGGAACGCGAGAGAGACAACAACGACAAGGACTGGGACCTTGGTAATTATTTTGCTCAATTAAAGTCATTGCAGAAACAGAGGGTGGTCATTTCGCACATATACTAATAGAACTCATGTCGTATGGAAATATTATTTTCTATTGGGGGTATGAATGACCAGAAGATAAATTTGTACGGACAATGTGTCACTTTAACATACTTCAATTGTTAAATATCAATTGGTATATATCAATGGTAGCTACAAAAAATATGCCTACAATTATTTTTGACGAAAGAAAAAATGACGTTTAAACTCATACAAGCAAAGATTGTAATTTATTCTTTTGATAATAATTTACTAGGGTTTGCAATCAGAAGTAGAACGATTATAGTTCATCTTGTGTTTAGTTAAAGTGATAATCTTCACCAAACGTGAAAAAGTTATTATTTTCTCTGGTTCCGTTGACAAATTTACCCAAGACAATTGTCACATCCGAATTGCATTACACAATAATTCTAAGCTACGGATAAACGTTTAATCAAAGTTGCCATTCCAGAGCCATAATTAATCTCGTAATATTTGTTGCTGTGTGAGAGAGCGCGAGCCTCCCCTGCAATGCTCCTTACAAACTGACCTACTTTAACGAATGCATTTAAAACTTTTATAAGCTCGTTAGCGAGTCCGGGATATATCTATGCTAAACATTTTTTATTCGCTCGCTCCTCGCGGATGCATCTTCAAACGTCCGCTCGTAGAGATGAAAAATGAAGCGTATATAGCGCTCGGGCGCGGGCCCGAGTATATCATTCTCACTTTGCACGCCCGCGCGAGGCTCGTCGTCGCATACGCAGGGCGGTGAATGGAAAGTTGAGCTAATGGAAATTAAGGCGTGTTTCGCAATTACGATATTGCCGCCATTCTCCGCGGTACGATGAGAAGATTCGCCGGCCCCTTTATTGCGAAGACACAAGAGCCGAGGCAAATTCTTGCAGTGTTATGTATTATGTTGGATGTGCGCGGCTTGGCTTTGCTTTTGAATGTAGATCTGCTCTCATTTTGACGTGGGCGCGCTTCGGTGATTGAGAGCTGCAACGCCCCTTGTACATATCCTATGTCTACTATGCACCTACCCGAAACTTTTCATCGAGTTTTGTTTTTCTTTCTGCCGTTCGTGCGCGACAACGATGACGATGACGATGACGACGACGACGACGACGACGCCGACGACACGGATACGTTTGCACGGAGAACAATTTTTTAGTCGTGCGCCAAACTATCGCGAGAAAAAGTAAAGGGGGAAGATGAAAAGACACGAGCCTGCGCACGCGAAAGTTTTGACTTTTGTTTGCTGCTGCTACAGTTCGCTTGGACAGTTTATAACACCGTATTACTTGTTTAGCTATATATTTTATAGTAGCGAACGAATTATCAGTTCTCATTGTTTCGCACACGTGTCGCGTTCAACTTTATAATAAATAGCAAAGGATTCAAAAAAGAAAAAGAGTCGATCAACTGTCAGGGACGAAAAAAACTCGTAAATCAGTATTTCACGTGTTCTTCTTGTCGTTGACATCGATAGAATGATGAACGGTATACAAGATATATACGCACGCGTCACATGCCAGCTGAATATTTGGTGTTCTATATTGATTATTGTATATCGCCGATATATAAATCTTTTATAATTTTCAAGCATCTTAAGCGAGGCTTTGGTTGTTCATTTACTTCGAAAATTAGTCAAGCTTTGGTCTTTGAGTCTGTCAAAACGTAATCCCAATAAATTACCCAATAAGTTCCGGCTTAATTCGTTGGCTGCAATGACAAGTTTGAATAACTCTGGCAAATTGATATCCTTTGGGATCACTTTGGGAACATATATTTCAGTACGCAGTGGATGTGATTAAAAATAATTAATCGTCTCACAATGAGCAATTATAATGAGCTTCGTACTTTTATGCACACTTGCGTTCAAGGTTCAAATTATTACTTGGCAGCGCGATAGATATATGCGTTTTAAGGCACGATGAAGCTTTAAAATATAATTCTCGACTGCGAGTCCTTGAGTTTGTACCCTTCCATAAGTTTAGAAAAACAAAAAATAAACGCGTTGATGATGAAAAAATAACGCTTGCGTCGACACGATGACGGTGACAATGATATTTATGTGACTTTTTTCTGTATAAGGTATTTTACGGGGCGTTGAAACGGAATTATATTTAATTCTCATCTCCTGGGTCGCCTGTTGGTAAAACGAAGACAGATTTGAGACATTTTTGCACAAGATGCTGATAATTTATGTACGCGTGCAAGCGCTCTCGAGCGAGTTGCTCGAGCAGTGGCAGCACTACGGTTGTGCTCGAGTTTCGCAAAAAAAAAAAAAAAAAAAAATTAAATTCTCGGTGTTGGATATGATGACTGAATTAAGGGCTGATATCATCCGAGTTGTGGCATAATTTCATGGAAAATATGATATATCATCGATGCTAATGAATATTTACTGCAGATGTATTATTTTAAAAATGCACTAGAGTGGACAGCGTCCGATTCAAGGGGACACCAAGTGCTTTGAAAGCGTATCGCGCCCACCGAAGTTCAACAAAAATTTGCTCAATTCAAACGCGCGCGCACACACGCTATTAATAAGCACACTTTAGAATTGTTCAACCCAACAATGCAACACATCCATTTTTTACGATGAACCATTTTACGGCGAACATTGCGACATGTTTTTTTTTCCACCGCACACCCGCACGGGTGCTAGATATTTTTTCCAGCCATGTTCAACGATTTTTTTTCCTAACTCGCCTCGTTATTCACTCATTCACAGCTTTGGGACGAATTTAATAGTCTCGCTTGAATTCCATACGCTTACTCCGGCGCTGATCCGCTTGTATGCATAAATTTCCGCAGTTGATTTTTTGACCGGACATTCATCCACGCGCGCGCGCGAGACTCGAAGAAGCAATAAAAAGTCGCACTAGAGGGCACGTTTTCCACTTAGCTTATTATTTCATCTGTAATAAATTTGCATTTAAATGCTTGCTCGGTGTAATACGCGAGGCGCGCACACTTGGCACCATAGTACACAGCTGCGGGCAGGAAACTTGAGAACCACATAGCCGCTATTTAAACATTTCCATCGCATTGAAATTACCTCGAGGAGTCAACAAGCGCGCTGAGCACTGCACGGCTCGTTTCGAGTGTGCCTCTCGAAATAAATTGAAAAGATTTAATTCGCTTAAAAAATTCACATACACCACGGTTGCTCTGTGGTCTGTGAAATGAAAATAAATAAATAAAAAAATAAATAAATAAATAAAAACGATGAAATAAATATGGTCTGGCTGGTACACGCATTATTACATAGTTGCGCTTGCTGTATGCACCTATAGACGCACGCATCACGTCTCAATTGTCATTATCGTTTACTCCCCCCGAAAAATACAGGATGGCTTCACGTGCTCGCGGACCGATTGAAAAAGCCCGACGTCATGAACCTGACGTTCTTCGAGAGCTACAGTACCGCCCTGTACTTCACCTGCAGCAGTCTGACCTCCGTGGGCTTCGGTAACGTATCGGCCAACACGACGACCGAGAAGAGCTTTTCCGTTTTCGTCATGTTCGCGGGTGGTAAGTTTTCTGCTGTATACCATTTGTGTGTTATATTTTTTTTCTTTGAGCTCTACGCGGCACACGCTGCACTGACTCCCTCGTTTGATTTTCAGCTCTGATGCACGCGGTGGTGTTCGGTAACGTCACAGCCATCATACAGCGTATGTATTCGCGTCGCTCGCTTTACCAGACGAAGCTGCGAGACCTCAAGGAATTCCTCGATCTGCATCAGATTCCCGACGAGCTCAAGCAAAGAATGGAGGATTATTTTCAAACAATGTGGTCGCTCAATCATGGCATTGATATTCACGAAGTAAAATCTGTTACGTTTTATTACGATTTATATTTACTATGTACGCGTTCCTGCGTCTCTCGATCCTTACTAACGTACATTATACGTGTCAAAGTTGCTTTCATCCTCCTCGCCCATGCATATTCCTCGATTTTTCCCAATACGATCGTCGCGGTATTCGCAGCGTGACAGTTACTTACTCATTTCGCCCCTTGTGGTTTTCTTGCTTCTCCTCCTTCCTCTATACACACACGTGCAGACGCTGAAGGAGCTGCCGGAGGAGCTGCGAGGCGACGTGTCAATGCACCTGAATCGGGAAATTCTCAGTTTGCCGATATTCGAGGCCGCCTCCCAGGGATGCCTAAAACTTCTCTCCCTGCACATACGCAGCATCTTCTGTGCTCCCGGCGAATTTCTGATACACAAGGGTGACGCGCTGTCTTACATCTACTACCTGTGCAACGGATCGATGGAGGTCGTTCAAAACGAGATGGTCGTTGCTATTTTGGGTGAGTTGGATTGTACAATTATTCGTTACTTTTCAATCCATCATAATGCTCTATATGTGTTCAAATTAATTATATATAGGCAAGGGTGACTTGGTGGGTTGCGACATCAGCGTACATCTGGCGCACAGCAACAACGGAGCGGTGGTGGGCGCTGGCGCCTCCTCCGATGTCGTTGTCAAATCGAGCTGCGACGTCAAGGCGCTGACGTACTGCGACCTCAAGTGCATCCACATGCCGGGCCTCGTCGACGTGCTGCGCCTCTATCCCGAGTATCAGCAGCAGTTCGCCAACGACATACAGCACGATCTCACCTACAACTTGCGCGAGGGATACGAGGCCGAGGTAGGTCAACGTACCTCATACGCTGCTTACGAACTTTTGAGCTGTTTGCTCGAGAATACGCTACGAACTTTTCGGTTTCTCCGCAGCAAGAGTCGGAAATCAACGGGGGCCCGTCGCTGACGCTGCCGTCCATTAGCGAGGACGACGAGAACGCCCCGGAGGAGGGCGAGACGTCTCCGCTCTCGCCGCATAATAGATCGCCTATGCACGGCACGTCGAGTCCTCGACACGCCAAGCTTCGGTGAGTTTAAACAAGGGAACGCGAAAACTATGAAATTTTCTCCTCCGACGCTCTCCTTTCATGCATTTTTAATAAAATAACAATGTCAATACGAATGAAAATTTTTCTTACGACTTCCAAAGGGACGAATATCCGACGACCAAGAGAGTACCCAAGGGCGTGCTGAGAAGTAGAACGAATCAACTAGTCCCACAAGAAAGTTCCGAGGATCAAGTGCGCGACTCCTATGAACGGCTACATCAGGACGTCGCGATGCTCAGTAATGAGGTATGAATTCAAATTCTTAGTGCGGAAATCGACATCGATCGATCGCCGACTGTTGCATTCTTTTTCGTTTTCTTCGCTGGCACACAGGTACGCAACGCACTGCAGGCCCTGCAGATGCTGGCGAGCTCGCCGCAGAGCAATCCGAATCTGCCGACGCCGAGCGGTCGGAGCAGCGGTGCAGGCAGCAACGGGGTCCTGGCCCGAAGTTCCTCCCATCCACCGGACGCGCTGTGCTGGAATCCGCCGGCGCGGCTCGCGAGCCAACAGACGCAGACCGACTGGCCGGTCGATCTGCTCGAGTCCTGGGTGCGCCAGGATCCACATCGCGTCCTCAGGATCCTCGGCCTGGATCCCGAGCTGGTGCTGCGACCGCTGCTGCAGCCAGCCTCGCTCGCCACGACGATACTGTCGCCGACCCCGTCGCCGTCGTCGCCACCCCCGCCGCCTTACGAGCCTCTCTCGCCGCTGCTTGGCTCGCCCATTCCGACGCCCTCGCAGTCTCCACGTAATAACGATGATTCCATTTCTTTTTAGCTGCTTCATTTCTCTCTCTCGGGGGATCATTTATCAACGTCTCTGAACGATTATAATTGTCCTTTGCAGACGGGAGCAGTAACCCTTTCGAGCCGCACGACTTCGATAGACGAGGCGGTGGTACAATCTCGAGCGACATGCCGAGCATTCAGCCAGTCTGCTGGGAAACTACGGCGAGGGAGGACGGCAATAACGTGCACAGTCGAGCGCGATATAGACGCAGTGCCGGAGACGCTGACAAATCGTCGCCTTTGTTTACCTTCAAAACTCTGCGACGCTTGCCCGATTCTCGCTCTCTTACGTTCGACCCGTTCGACAGCTGAGTAGAGGCCAAATACCCGAGTTCGTTTCATTTTTCCCTCCCGAAACAATAACGAATCACGCCAATCATATTGACGTACTTATTAAAACTGTGAAATTTTCAATTTTTAGAAAAAGAACCGAGTGGTGACGACTCTACATCCACGGACGGAGGTACCGAGATCTAAAACTGGTTCTCCGGTCTTGGGTTCTTTAACACCGATTGCAACTACGAAACGAAAATATCTTTGCATCTGCTTTTTTTTACAAGATTATTCTGACGTCGCCGTCGCAGTCATGCGTCACAATTAAACGTTGAATACCGGCACGTTATCAACGTATAATTGTAACCAAGATTAAGTATTATATATACCGTATAATAAGAAAAAAAACGCTTAAAAAGCTGTACACCGTCCTTTCTCCGACACAAATGACTGAGGATGGTCGTCAATAACTTCTGTTCGACTAATTATTCTATATGCGCTTACTTACTTATACGAATATTAAAACACGAACGTGAGATACTCTCACCGTAATCAACTTTGGTATACGAAATATTTTAGGCTCATATTGTACTCTGACGCAACTGTAAAAATCTAAAGACGCACAAAAGTTTTGAGGGACAATTCGGAATCCACGCATCGCGTTCTATTCTTTTTAAAAGACAAAAAATTACACATCCATCATCATAGCAGTCTTCTAGCAGAGATAAACGCGAATAATTCCTTTTTTTTTTATTTTTTGTTTTTACATGTTCTGTTTCGGACTCTATGTGTCCATACGATTCTCGAACTCGATAGAAAATATTAATAGATTAGTTAACGAATTTTAAGAATGAATTGTTAAGTCATAATCATCTTCTTAGAGACGAAATAATTACTTGAAAATACTCTAAACTCCATATACGACTGAAAACTAGCAATACGATCGTGCGTTCAATTAATAAGTCAGAACACATATGATAAATTTTACAAGATAAATGCCAAAATTGTATCTTCCATTGCAACACACAAACAAATCATTCCATACTGCTAAATGCGCATTGTAAGGTACAATATAGGATATGTTTCATGCTGTGATGAGTTTCAATATAATTATGCGTTCGATCGCAAGCAAGAATAATATAACAGTATACGGAGAACAATCGAAAGTTTCGAAAAAATTGTACAGAGTATGTAATAAGTATGAACGATCAAAACGATGTGCAATTTGAGTGCGAGAATGAAATCTTACAAAAACAAAAACTGCATACTCTCATTAGGTTCATATCATCACAACATAGCTATTTTAATTGTAAAAAAGTCCAATTCTTTAGATAATACAATTGATGTAACACCGTGTTTTCTTCTTGGAATGATTGTTTAAAACCTGTTACCCACTTCAATACATAAAACGAATCGATGTATTGAGTGACCGAATCGAAAAAATATATATTACTAATGCTATGTGTAAAATATGAAAAATCAACAAGTAATATTTAAGCAACAAAAACGTTTAATATGCAAAACGACTGTAACTGTAAGATACTTTGGTCAAGTACTTAATTTGTATGGATCAATAATAAATAAATATGAAATCGATGTGTACATAAAAAAAAATTGTATAAAGCTTCGGCCAAAGTTGTCTCTTATAAGTACATATGAAATGCGAAACCCCGCGAAATGAGTCCTCAGGAATTATCAAGATATTTACGAACGATTAAAAATAACATTATAAGCAACGTATGAGTTAAAAAATTTCTTGCCGTCTTATGTGTAAATCCGACTCCGAACTATTATTGTATAGATGTATCCATAGTCCATAGTTTGTTGAATATTCTTTATACTTCTAGTCAATAGCGTTAAATTTCATTTCTACATCCAATCGCAAGCAATTATTACATATATACGTATGAATGTCAAATGGTATGAATATTATCGAGAGGTGGAAACATTGAAACGATAGGCAAGTTGTTTCTTCACAATTAACGACTAGCAAATTATTTTATAAATATAATTAATATATTTTGTTATACTGTCTGTATATGCTCTATGATCGCGTTTCATTTGAATTACGTTATATCATGTAAGTCAAAAAAGTATAAAACGCATATCTCATCCGTGTATTATGCATAGCATGTTTTGCACCTTTCACAGGTCTTCAACGTGAATTGAATGTAAATACATTTTCAGCCCTTTTAAAAAAAATGTAATAAACCTACCATACGAAAATGGTACAAGTACATTTGCAAAAATAAGCTTTTATCTTTCCATATTGGTTTAATCGAGGTTTAAGAGATATAGCAATAAACGGTACTCAGTGGCAAACGTCTGATACGAATGAATGGATCGCAGCTTTAACGGCACGAAATATATGTATATATTTTCAAAAGTCTGATTTATTAGCCAATTGTAAATGAGCCGTGTAAATAAACGATCTAAAGAATCGTAAAATGAAAAATGAAGTAAGAAATGTTTAGGATACAAATCAAAAAGTATATTTTCAACTGGTCAAAAAATACAAACAATAATCGTTAAACATCTCAACAATTTTACAAGAAATGCGATTGTGAAAAGGGAATAGCCATCTGAGATAAAAAAAAAGACTCTTTGTATTGCTTTATCAAAAAAATTATGATTTTTCGGCACACAAACATATCAAGCACAATGGTGTACAAAAATATCAAGCAAGTTTTTTCAATTATGTTTTCATGAAAAGCGAGTCTAGAGATTAAATTGAAAAGTCAAATAAATTTAATTCGCTAATATTTTGAAGAGTATATCTCAACTGTTTGAGCCTTTCAAATCTCTCATTGATTCACTCGTTTATTACTATTATACTTAGCTAGCATTTTCAGAACAGTCTTAATTAAGAAATATCAAATTAAATTGTACAAAGCGGCAAAATAAAGTTCTATGTCTCAAACTACAATAATTTTATTATGCGTGAAATGAAAAAACTAGTTTCAATAGCATAAGATAGGCCTTAAACACACAATGTGATAATCTCGGGAAAAATGAAAAATAAAAGTATTTAAAAATCGTTAAAACTTGAAAAAAACATAATGTAAGGTCAAATGCACCTTCTAAAGGTGCGAATATTAATAAAAAAATGTTATAATGTGTTCAAATGAACGTTTGAGTAATTTATCTTTTTTCTCTAAACAAACAATTTTTTCAAAATTGCCTTATTATAATGTCGTTGGAAAATGATATTTTATGATAAATTTGTAAACACGACACTAAATAAAAGTTACAGTGAAAAAAAACTAAAACGAAGATAAAAGCTGTACTGTCATGTTTTTCTCGGCAACTACGGTTGACCTTTTGAGTCAAAAAAAGCGGCTAGTAAAAAATAAAATCATGTATAAATATTCTAAAATATTCGCTTAATTTCGGGATGTGGAATAAGATGTTACATGCATCCAAACAAAAGTATATTTGGATACAAGTCAAGTAGGAATTTCGTCGACACCCATACATGCACACAGAAACACATGCATAATATAACGTCAATAAAAGTAAAAACAGTTATCGAATCAGAAGTAATTAATTTTCCCCTAATCCTCACCTTATTAATGCGATTCATCACAATCTTACTATATTTGTTTGTAAAAAATTGATTTTATAGATAGCAATTTAAAGTCATTCAGCTCCCATACATTATAAACGTAAGTAAATCGCTGACAATAAAGCTTACAAAATTTGAGGGCAAGCTGAAAGGAATGAAGGATGTTGAATAGTGTATAATGCAATTGATATGAACTTAACGATTTAAACATTTTATTTTTTAGCTTTACGATAACTAATAACACATTTCATTTTTTTTCTTCAAAATTTATTGATATTTTTAAAACTTAAACTTTGTTTTTACGCAATGGCAGCCGTCAAATTTGCAAACTGTTCACTTCAGATTCATATAATAACAAATAATCGTCTTATACAAGATAAACGTAAAATGAACAAGAAACTTTTTTTGAAAATTTGAGTTCGTTTAAAAAAGATCCTAGAAAATTCAAAAAAATAAATACACCCTTTTCTAAATTAAATTTTCTGAAATTACACAAAAAAAAAGAAAATCCTGTAAAAATTTCAAGTCACTTCGACGATCGTCTTTTTTTATACAGCATATAACTTTTTTTTGAAAGTACAATTCTGATCTCCAGAGTAAAATCGATTTTTAATCGCACCATACTCAGAAGACCTTGAAAATTTTGATAAAAAAGTTACATGCAAAAATATTTCGAATAAAGATTCTGCTAAATTTTCAAAGGTGTCTGACTTGAATAATTCAAACTAGGTACGCGTGAGTTCGCAGATTTTGAAAATAAGATGGAATTACTTAATCATATACGTGGAAATGGATGCATTAGCACAGAACGATTCAAAACGATACATTAATTATCACTTTCGAAGAAAAGTGGGTGCGCGCATGGCTGGCTGATAAAATATTTTAGCGCAATTTACTCATTAACGCGCCGATTAATAAAATACAGAATTTCTCACAATTAAAAATGTTTTTATTTATCAATAATTTACAAGATATGACCACTTAAATAATTAGTTTTTTTATAACTTTTAAATAGACATCTTTTAAAAAAATCAACCTCGAAAAATCGGTTCAGCGCATCAAAATATTTTTTGAAAAGTATGAAAACCCCGTGGAGTCGAAAATTTTCACGAAAACCCTGGCAGCATTCGGACTAATACACGCGGCAACATAAGTCTTCATTGTCGGTTCGAGGTACACATAAAGCATTTGTGCAGCTGACTATACTCATGTTCTTCCACGCATCTGCGTCGAAAAATTTTCAGTGTGACTGCCCATATTATAGCTTCGTCTAAGAGTTTACTTTCTATATATCGATCGTAAGTATAGAAAGTACACGTTACGACTCATAGTCAGTCCACGTTACAACGCTGAAGCGTAGGCAGCTAAGAAAAATCGCATCGACTACAGAAGTAATTTTTGTGCTATAAAAATATTGATACCACACAAGTTAAATTATGAACGATCGTATATAGTGTGTGAGTGCGCAAAACGGTAGACATGTCCTCCGACGATGAATCCGCTGAAAGTTTTTATTCCTGCGAAAGTGACTCAGATGCCGAAATCGATAACTACGATTTAAAAGATTTGTATGATTTACATAAAGAACAATTAGAAAATTTAAAGAGTTTACGTGATAAGATCAAGTGGATTTATTGGATCAATAAGATCAATTGGTTCAACAAAGGGCGATATGCTGTACTTGATCAACTTTATCTCTTAATCAGCGATTGGAAGGGCCGACTTCCGAATCTTCGAGACATTTTTCGTAAAAGAGAAATTGAGTTTCTGCTCATGGATTCTATAAATTACATGAGTAAAAATGCGCGTGATAATCGAGGACAACTATTCATTGAGTTCGTGGCTCGTAGCGGTTACAAAGATGAGCCCGACTTTGATAAAAACGGCAAGTCATTGTTGCGTCGCACTACACCATTACATAATGCGGTTACTAAATTATTGAACTCTAGAAAACGTGGCGTGGTCCGTGAGCTTTTTAAGATTTACGATAGATTTGATGTGAATTACACCGACAAGTCCGGCTTGACACATCTTCATGTGGCTTGCAGTTATGGCCTTGACGACATCGCCGAAAAATTCCTAGATCACGGCCACAACCCCAATTGTCTGGACGAAGATGGTGATTCGCCGCTGAACGCGGCCATCGACGGACGGTCGAAAGAGGTGGTATCGTTGCTGTTAAGAAATGGCGCCAATCCTAATTTGGCCAACAAGCGAGGATTTACACCTCTGCACATTTTTTCCCGGGGATACAACAATATTGATGTTTTAGAGATATTTTTCAAAATCAACGATGATATCCAGCAGACGGTCCAAGTCGATGCTCAAGATAAGAAAGGTTGCACGCCACTACGTCATGCTCTGGTCTACGAAAACAAAAAAGTGGTCAAATCGCTACTGAAAAGAGGCGCCAACCCCAATTTAGCTAACAGCAAGGGATTGACACCTCTGCATATTTGCCTGCGAAAGAAAGACGGTGACTTATTGAAAATATTCTTCAAGATCAACGACGAACTCAATCAGCAGGTACTGGTCGACGCCCGGGACGAGTTGGGCCAGACACCGCTGCAATGGGCTGTGGAGAATTTGAGGCCGAATGCCGTCGACATACTCTTGGATCATGGTGCTGATCTGTCTAGCTTCGTTTTTCCTACACCGAGTGCCTTTGCCTGGAGATGGAGAAAGTGCTATCGTGGTAATTTTAAATTGAGACTAGTATCTGGTCTGCTGGCCATCGTCGATAGTCTTGAGAAAAACGGATACGAATTCAACAGAAGTGACTCCTTGAAGATAATGAGACTGTTTGATTATTATTTTGAGAAATGGGTAGGTATTGATGACGCGAAGGAGGAGGATAAGGAGGATGATGAGGAAGAGGAGGATGAGGAGGATGATGAGGAAGAGGATGATGAGGAAGAGGAGGATGAGGAGGATGATGAGGATGATGAGGAAGAGGATGATGAGGAAGAGGAGGATGAGGAGGATGATGAGGAGGATGATGAGGAAGAGGAGGATGATGAGGAAGAGGAGGATGAGGAGGAAGAGATGATAATGATTCCAAGTCAATCACTCTATGACCAGTTGATCCAGTTACGATCTGAAGAGGCGGTGAAACAATTCACATACATGGATTACTTTGAATTTGCGCGCTCGAACAAATTGTGTGAGCTTCCCAAAAAGTATCGGGAGGCTTGTACTTTGCGTCTGTGCGAAAAACTATCGAGAAGATTTTACCGGAGATGGGCACTGGATTCTTTCTTGGAGCTGACACGCCACCGACTGCCAATCCTTTGCTGTGAAATAATCATAGAGAAGCTGAAAAACGACGATTTATATCATATTTGCTTAGCGGCTTCAGGCAAAATCGTATGGTGGCGATTTATAAGCAAGTTTTCAGAAGACGTCTTTTATTACTTGATATAATAAATATTTTATATTGTCCATATCATTCCAATAAATAATTTTTTTCAAAATGAGTTTCAATTTTCTCATTAAGGCGATAAATCACCCTAGAGATTAAAAAATTCATCAAATTTCGGGATTGAATATTAAAAAAACGATAGTAGATATTGAAAATCGGTAAAAATTTCTCTTTTATACGACATTTGAACAAGGTTTTTCAATATTAATATACACCATACTACAGTACATTAGAACGTGGTGGGTGCGCCTCTCAGATGATGAAGCCCATGCTACATTCGAAATTCGGACATTTAAAGACTAGGCCCATGGTTGAAATTTTTACAGGATATTTTGAAATATTAAACCTTTCAAGCAAAAAAAATCCATTTTCAAAAAATTCTAGGGTGATTTACCGCCTTAATAGACGTGTATTTTTAGACATTTACCCGATAAAGAATTGGAAAAACGCGCTCCCAAAGAACAGAACGAACTCAGTTCAATTTTTGTACATCACGAAAAAGCAAAGTATGGTACAAGAACTCATACAATAATCTTAGTTGATAACGCCGACAAACTGACTTTCATTGAGGAAACCATGATGACGGATGGAAGGTGGAAACGACAAATTTTTAATAATCTTATGGAGTAAATCATGTATTATAACGATTTTTATCAGTAAAAAATATAGAGACAACATTTAATTTGTGAACTACACAAACAAAAATTGACTTGACACTCACATGGAAAATCACAAAGCTAATGCTGTACAACTTAACTAGAATTAAAAGTTTTACATGAAGTACATTTTAATCTTCGTCCATACCGATGTCATCGTCGGAACCACTATTAAAAACCTCGGAATTGTGGCCATCATTCGAATTTTCTTCTGGGGTTTCATCTGCTACCTCGGACACATCATCGGTAGACTGAAGAAATATTTTATGTTAATTTTACGTACATTGGTTACATTAATGAAAAACTTACCTGAGAACTAAGTTCTTCCCCGTCCAAATCTTTATTCAATAAATTGCCCATCCAAAAGGCACCGATAGAATTATTGGCAGTTAACATCCCTTTCACGCGATAAATGAATTTTTCTCGTCTGGATTTTGCCTCAGGAATTAATTTCAAGAGAGTAACATTTTTTTCTTTTCTTGCAGTACAAAAAATATCCCTCAAAAATCGACCAGATCCTAAAAATAAATGAATTAAATCAAAACTTAAGACAATAAATAAATACATACTTAAAGAAATGGAAATAAAAAAATAATACATACTTTGATACAATTTGATTACATTCAGTACCTCTTCTGGCTGGTATTTTACATTTGCTTCTAAAATTTTCATGCCAGCAGTCAATAGGGGTTGGTACAACATTGCAGTGTATCGAAGGAAGAGTAACAAATAAACATTGTTTGAAAGTTTTAACGATGTTTGCAATGTTATCTAAACATATGGCTGAATCCTGCCACTCTTGTATCCTTTCTGGATCCCTGCATAGAAAAAAAAAATTAATATTTATAAATTTTTAATTTCATTTTGAAACTTTGGATGGAACATACCTTTCGGCAGCTTCCAAAGAAATGTCAATTCCTTTAATGATGCCAATAAATAATTCTTTTAATAACAAATGGAAAATTGATTTACTGACAGATGGCAGCCGAGTTAAGCAAAATGCTGGCCATTGGAGCTCTCTTGCTTCATTAGGTAACCATTCCATGACCGATATAACAGTTTTCAATGGATCGGGCTCATTACTAATCCATGTTCTTATCAGTTCTTTGATAGCTGCTCTATACTGAGAACCATGACCATCATTGTGCCACTCCAGACACAAATAACCATAAGCCATTTTTGCTAAAATATTTTTATAAAATTGCAAAGTGAGGTAAAATTGATATTTATGTTGTAAATTTCTTATTTTTTTTCAAATATTTGTATACCTTATCTTTCTTTCGATTCACTGGTAAAACTAGAGAAATGTTTCATGAGGCATTTACGCATATTCACTACAGCTACTGCTATCGAAACGTGCGTAGCAATATCTGACAATGATTCAAAATAATTGTATGATTCGGAGACAAGGTCCTTAGAAGTTATTAGATTAATATTTGATTCATTGGCCATCGCGGCAAAACATCTGAGACCATCTTTTGGAAAATATACAGTAATGATCCAAATAAATTTCTCATACTATTTTCAGATGTAAAATTATATTTACCGCGTAGTAGATTGTTATGTTTGGAATTTTGAAATTCTTTCCAACTTAGTACAACTTTGAATAAGCATAAAAATAATCGTGCAGCTTCTTTTTGATGAGCATAGTCATTGATAGAGTCATCATCAGAGTTTACACGTGAATCCGGAACAATTTGTTGAAACTTAAAACAAATCTTTGATATCAGAAGAATCAAGTCTTTGATCAACCTTTCAGAAGCTTGATGATGAAACATATTTATCAGTTCTTTTATAATAAAACATACTTGAGACGTTGTTATGTTAACGTCTACTTCTTCACTTTCTTGTGAATCAGTAGGGGGGTCAAAAAGATGAATAATCTAAAATTATAAAATATCGTTTGCTTGGATTTGAGATTTTACATGAATAACATTGAATGATTTTACTATTACTTTTGTGTCCATCTACCGAAAGAAAGCGGGATTTTTTACAGTCATTTCAGATCCTGCTTCCCAACTCTCAAATTCTAGAAGTACAATAGACTTATTCATCGTGGATTCATCTTTATCCTCAGTCTTAGTTGCATCTTCTTTAGCTTTTTTCTTTCCTCCTTTTTTACCTCCTTTCAATTTGATTCTGTTGAACTCAGGATTAGGAAAATGATGGAAATAGCAAAGTGGTGGCTTATAGTGAGCGTCTATCATTGACACCATAGCTACAAATTCCCCTTGCAAGTTCATCAGGGCTTCTAAGATCTTAACGACCTGTCCCTGTAATAATGCCTCTTTTTGAGTTACAAAAGCTCCGATGAGTTCTCTGAGATTTAAAAAAAAATTATAATAATATATCAATACTTCAAAGTTAAAGATTTATGCTATGCTCACCTAAACCAATTGATACAGTTAATCATATAATCAGCTATTGTTGGCTCGGGCATATCCATATCAGTAGGTAGCAACACTGGAGTACCCAAAATAGCATTAATACTTTCAAGAGAACCACTTAGACGTGAGCAGCAAGTTCTTAATAGTTTGAAAGATGCTGGTACTATAGCTCCAACTTTACCAGATCCAAATGAAGCACAACAAAACTCATCTAATGCAGATGGATCGTTGAGACCATATTTTGGTTCTTTATCTCCACTATAAGTTAAAAAAGCAGATAGTAAATATTAACATATAAATGATTAAATAAAAGATTCTAAAATTTTACCTGGAGGGTAAAGAATCAATCAAAACATTATTTATAAGATCATCTTCAAAAAGATTTGAGATTTCACTTAAAAATTTCTGATCAATTGAATGAGCTGTTGCTTTAAGACCCTGCAATTTTGTACAATCTTTTAAACTAATCAATGTTTTTTCTAGAATAAAACACAATAAAATAGTATTTGAATTATTTAATGTAAGAATTTCCATTGTACATAGCTTTCCTTACTAAGTAAAGCAATCAATTCATCACTTGTTTCTGCACTTTCAGATAAGTGTTTGATAGCCATAACAGCGCCCAGGACACCTTTACATTTTGTTCTGAAAGTGAAATTTATAGTTACTTATAATAAATTGTAAAACTATTTTTACATATTATTTTTATAATACTTACACCACTTTAGAGCTACATAGTTGTTTTTGCATAATAATAGTTAAATCACCATTCAGAGTATCTGCTATAAGTTGTGAATGAGTACATGTAGTAAATGATATAACATAGATACTTCATCAAATTGTAAATTGTCAATTCTCTCAAGAAAACTCCTTAAAAAGCAAGCATGTTGTTGCAGATATTGACGTTCCGTCTCATCATTTGCCATTCTGCAAAGCACTTCCAGAGCATTTTTTACAGTTTTATCTTTGTTACCCATTAAATGCAAAAGTTTTTCCATTATTTCTCTTTACTTGTAAGGGGTATCTCACTGACTAATAAACATATTTCTTAGCCATTCAATGCCAAACTCCGTGTGGGCAGAACTGTCAGATTTTAAAAGTTCAATAGCCAAATGCAAGGAAGTAGTTTGAAAACTTCTGGCAATTTGTTTATAATAACCATAAAAGAAACTAAGGTCTGATGTTTTTAAACTTCCAATTTTTACATAACTGCTCAATGTAGCTTCTACGTCCATTTTCAATGGGCAGTCGAAAGACTATATCAACACAATAACAGAAAGTAATGTTGCACTTGGCTTTGCGTAATGTGGTGCACTTTTGCAGTTTGTATTCGAACAAGTCGAAACAGGTTTTGTTATTGGTTTGGAAAGCGCGTGGCCGTTGATGCAACCCTCCTGTTTCGCGGTATAAAAAGCCGACTGTGGCTGTCTGCTAGGACGACACAGCAGCGCGATAGGGAGTGAAGTTTCTTGCAGTTCGCGCAAGATTTCGAAATTGCATTGTTTGATCGCCGACCTGATATAAATTGTTTAACAGCTGAAAAAATTAATTGTTCAAATAGAATTGTTTCATTGACAATGGTGACTACCAGTTTGATCCTATAAAGTTTTTATACTCGTTAATTTTTTTAATTGACAAAATTAATTTTGACCCGCAATGAAACTGAAGAAAAAGTTTATGGTTTTTGGTTTTCCAAACATAATTTTAATTTTGTTTAGTGTGTATACCTATATATACCCCCGGCATAATGTTTGCTGCACATAGAATTCCCATATAGAAATAAATCAGAGAAATTCATTATTACATTTTTTTTAAACAAATTTATTAAAAATCATTGGAACTTATTCGGAGAATAATTATAAATTTTCTGGTTGAAATAGATATTGCAAAGCAAATGTATTAAGGATTATCAAGTGCAAAGTAACTATATAAAAGTTAATATACGGTGCTATCATGTTACCAATTGTTTGAAAACACAAAAATAAAGAATTTCCAACATACTTAGCATCTAGAAAAATGATGCTAATTTCCTTTCGGATCAAATAGATTAAGCAAGATACGGCTAGTTTGCCCAAAATCAATGTCATCGTTTTTTTTGTAGCTAAAATAAAGTCGAAAGATATAGTATCATGTAAAAATAATAAAAATAAAAATAAAAGAAAAAAAACGAATTCTTACAGTTTTCATCTCGAAGTAGGTCAAGACCTACCATCACTATATATGAAATATACGCTATTAGTTCCGCTGACATTACTAGTTGAATTTTGAATTGTGTTTTTTTTATGAAATGCATAAAAATGTAGATGAAGATTTCATATAGGCGCATGATTATCATATCAAATTCTTCTTTTCCTGTCAAGTTTTGGTTGAAAGTGATAATAATTTGCTTGAAAAGCAGAGACAGCAAAAACGCCGAAAAAAAGGCATAAACTTTCTTTGATGTTCTATTTTGTGAATGAACATTTTCACTGTAATTTTCCTTATTATCTGATTGTACTTGCTCGGCTACACCGAGAAATAGTGCTGTTATGAATGGTGTGACTGATAATAAAGGTATTTCACTCATTTTTTTATTAGATCGCAATAATGATATAACATTCATTATAATGTGTCCTAAAGCGTTGGCCATAAGACCAATCGTCCTAATCATTCCTTTTCGCTGTTCATCAACATGTTGGTTAATTAATGTTCTAGTACTCAAATCTAAATGAGCTATTACAGTTCCTTGCAAAAACCGTATTATTTCGTATAGGTAATTTTGATGAATCTAAAGAAACAAAATAAAAATAATATATTAGCAGCTATTTTAAAATTTTACATTCCAAAATTACTTACCATTTCTAGATTTATTAAAATTCCAATTAGAACAACCATTTCATTCAGAAAGAAATTGAATTTTAACTGGTTCAATTTTTTTACAATGAAAATGTATGTGAGTGATCCAAAGATCAATCCTCCATCAAAGACCTATAAAGGAAAAAAAATGTATGAAAATTTTATTGGTAATTTTTCAACATTTTTCGAAGTGTGGTATACGAGCTTGTAATGTTAATCGAATTTGTTCATTGACCACGATGTCGGACACGGAAAAATATGCGTCATGATATATCATGTAAAACGAGTTTCGATTAGCAGCCTAAATATGTACACACATTTGTATGTACACACAATGAAATAGCTATACACTTTATCGCAAGATTCCCAACGGGCTTATAACGTAAACAAAGTGAGACTATGCCGCGTGAACCGAGGAGATAACTTTTTCACTGATTTTGAAAAAAGTTATACTTCGTTTATTGTCGTAATTATTATGGTTTTTATTGTCGCGCATGTTGCAATTCTTATCGAAAAGTTTGTGAAACACTTACCCCTGTTGCTTTATTATAAAAGATTGGTTCTCGATTCATGCCAATAGTTATGAAGTTTGCTATTAAGGAAAATAATAATGTCACTGGTACACTTTTGATACTTTCAGATTTTTCAAGACTTGGCACAATTACTCTCATCGCCCTTTTACGCTTTTTTCTTAGCATTTTAGCTTGCTTTGTTCTCATTTTCGAATAATCGGTTTGTCTCCCATGAATACACTAGAAGAACTGGTGAAAATGTATGCACGTGAAGGACCTAAGCTTGACTTTGAATTGAAAGTCAATTTAAATGTTGTTCTCTCTCTCTCCCTCTCTTCTTCTATTCGCGACAATGGTACGAAATTCCGACGCGCGTATCGCGATTTTTCTCGTGAAACATAAACAATATAATTGGTATAGGGTAAATGTGCCTGTTGCCGACCACCCTCCAGTTTTCGGACACCCAAGGATATTATTTAAACAAATAGAAATATATATCAAATTTTGACGTAATAAAATATTTTTTTAATTCTTTAAATATTATACTTTCAGAGAAAATTTATAGCTACCCTTTAGTCCAGTGCAGATAGATATTTTTTGGCAAAAATTACTAACAGTAAACGGCCTACACCACCTTGTAGAGGGTGTCCGTGGGAACATCTGGACGAAAATGGCCGCGATTTGGACTTGAACTTTTTTTGTTATTAACAAAAAACCACAAAATTTGAGTGCCACTTTTGGTTTTTTTAATATATTTCGAAAACTATAGCAGCTAGAGCGATGCTCCCGAGAGAGAAAATGTAGGAAATTTAATCACCTTTCCAACGAATTTGATTACGACCCGATCGGATAAGTAGTTTCCGAGAAAAATGGAAAAAAGTGCGGAAAAACGTGGTTTTTGGCCAAATTTTCGAAAATTCATAGCTCCCTCAATTTTTGGATTTAAGAAACGAAATTTTGCACAAAGATAGTTCTTATCACGTAGAACAACTGTGCAAAACCCGAATTCTGTGCGACTTATAGTTTTTGAGTTATTCAATTTGCAATTTTTTCTTGCGAAAAATCATGTCCTCGGTTATTCGTTGAAATAATCTTTTAAAATTAACTTATCGACTTCGTTCCAACGAATTTAGAAACTTTAATGTATTACCTTTAAAACCCATACCCGACCTTTTCGATCCAACGCGAAAAAGTGTGAAAAAAAACGTTCGCAAAATTGGCGAATTTTTGCGCAATTCCGTTCGCTCGGGCAGTCGGGCGGTCAGAGTGGGGGAAGCAGGCACCGGCGGGGAAGTAGCCTGCTGCCCGGCGCATTCTCGCTCGCACAAATTTGCGTTGACCATCGCTCGGCGCAATTTTTTAACAAATATATTAAACAAATTTATAACAATTGCTGTAAACAATGTCTATATTAACATTAGACGGGCAGCAGGCAACACCGCCAGCGCAGGCTACTTCCCTGCCGGTGCCTGGTTCCCCCACTCTGACTGCCTGACTGCCCAAGCGAGCGGAATTGCGCAAAAATTCGCCAACTTTGCGAACGTTTTTTTTCATACTTTTTCGCGTTGGATCGAAAAGGTCGGGTATGGGTTTTAAAGGTAATACATTAAAGTTTCTAAATTCGTTGGAACGAAGTCGATAAGTTAATTTTAAAAGATTATTTCAACGAATAACCGAGGACATGATTTTTCGCAAGAAAAAATTGCAAATTAAATAACTCGAAAACTATAAGTCGCACAGAATTCGGGTTTGGCACAGTTGTTCTACGTGATAAGAACTATCTTTGTGCAAAATTTTGTTTCTTAAATCCAAAAATTGAGGGAGCTATGAATTTTCGAAAATTTGGCCAAAAACCACGTTTTTCCGCACTTTTTTCCATTTTTCTCGGAAACTACTTATCCGATCGGGTCGTAATCAAATTCGTTGGAAAGGTGATTAAATTTCCTACATTTTCTCTCTAGGGAGCATCGCTCTAGCTGCTATAGTTTTCGAAATATATTAAAAAAACCAAAAGTGGCACTCAAATTTTGTGGTTTTTTGTTAATAGCAAAAAAAGTTCAAGTCCAAATCGCGGCCATTTTCGTCCAGATGTTCCCACGGACACCCTCTACAAGGTGGTGTAGGCCGTTTACTGTTAGTAATTTTTGCCAAAAACAGGCATTTTTCAGATAAGTGCACTGGACTACTTGGAAATTATTAAATCTGTTTCGTAGCTCAATTTTTAATTCGGAACTGGTCGAAAATTGGACGATTCGGTAAAATTGCCAATCCAGTTTTCGACCACCGGTAATAATTCTAATAATAATTTTTATTCAAACGTTTTTTACTCAATTTGAAGATCATCAGTAGGTTTCTCGTGTACTTTTAGACGCGTATGTCCATTTATTATGCTTTCAGAACTCAAAAATAAAAATTTAACCGAGTTCCAACTTTAGGGTCATTGACGGCTCACTGTCATCACTGTCCGACCGCGATTAATTAACTCTAGATAGTGCCACACGCGTCAGATTTTTTCCCATTTAAATAACATGGGGAAATTTAAAAAAAATGTAAATTGAAATTTTAAACCACTTAAAATCGCTAAACCTTGAATTTAGTAACGGTTTTCACTTCCTGGTACACCCATAATGAGTAACCAATACTTACGGGAACCCTCCGAAAAGAATTTTGAATTGTGCACACACGATATACTCAAAAAATGATGAAAAACAGCATATGCGCTTTGTTTTTCGATATTTTACAACAAAACTGAGCATAGACGATTATCTTAGATATGTTAACGTCAAAGTAGAGATCAAGACCTTTAATTTGAGGGTAATAAAACCTATCTACGTTCATTAGAACCAAAGTTACAGGCGTTTGAAGTTTCATTGAAAAATCAGGTATCGAATTTCGTCCGGCCGCCCAAACGCGCGACTCGCGACTCGCTGTGATCGCAATTCGTACAAATGACAATGTAATTAAACTAGAAAGATAATCAAAAATATGGTTTTTATGCGTTTCTCAGCTTTCATGTGGTGCAGTCAGTTTTTATAGGTTGTGGGTAAATCCTATAAAAAAAAGATTTAGCAGTCCATAAGTAGAGCTGTTCATTTTTTCTGACCGAATAATATTAATAGAACCCTATATGGGAAATAGATGAAAACCTAGCATTTTTATTATAAATTTTCGATCATATAAATGTGAACCAAACCAAGTCATTATATCATTGAAGAAGTACATTATTTATTTCATATTCTTATGATTAGTAAATGTTAAGTATAAGAAAAATACTCAAAGATTAAAAAACTTGACTTGTTGTGAGTAATGAGTATGCGCAGAACTAAAGCGCCTCCACGAGCAACCGTGAATTACAACTCTACCGTCCGCACTCCGCGTATAGGGGCAGTGAGCCGTGAGGCATTACTTGAGGTTATATTCATCTAAAATAACGCTCGAGCGGTGTTTGAAAGTACCATTTTTTTTCCAGGACCATAGAACTGTCATGCCACCTGAACCCGAATACAAGTATCGTCAGTTGGCTCGACATAATTCTGTTTGCAATGAGGTTTATTATAAGATGCAAGATTGTGTGAGAGAAGTGAGTAACTTTGATCTCAATTAATAAATTGCTCATTATTACATTAGTGATTTTTCCAAAGAATCCTTTCAAATATTGGCTTGGGGAATGCACCAAACTCTCGAAAGAAGTGGATAAATGCATTAAAGAAAATGTAAGTAATTTACAACCATCAATACTTGTTCAAATCTAAGCGTTGTTGATTTTACATTCATTGATTAATCTTTCTAGAGGGAAAATATGAGAAATAAAAATCGTCAGCTAGCTCAAGAACGATTAGACAAATTTAAATCAGCTGGATCAACTAGTTCAAAGCAAGAATAAATAATTCTTCATCACTAGAAACAGTGGCACAAAAATTTATAATTTATATAAGTTATACTTCATTTATCATTGTGATTAATTTCATTTGAAAATAATTGTATAGCACCTATAATTGTATAAAATACAAAAATAGTTTAACATGGAGAGTAAAAAAGAGAATGGTGACTTGGTTAATGATACACAGATCGATTTGGAGCGTCTACTTTTAAATTCACCAGATGATTTGAGTGAAATTTTATCCATGCTTGGTGCTACGAATCTTAATTATCCTACAAAAGATGTATTTGGTATCAGACCATTGATATCGGTGAATATGAATGATGAAGAATTGGAAGAACCAAGTGCAAAAAAAATGAAATTATTGGACAATTGCATAGAATTTACAAACGATGATGAAGAAGATGAAAAAACAAACAAAAAGGAAAATCATGTAGATGTATCTTCAGACGATGAAATCAATGATGGTCTTGACGATGAAATAGAACCAGGTTTTTCATACCCCTTGGAAATGGATTCTTCTGATATGTTAGAAGAATTTAACATCTTATATCCTGGCCCATACCCAAGCTTAACAGATAGGTATTTCAAACGTTATTACCAAATTGACGTTCAAAGGCCGTATGATGATATGTGTGTAATGATACACAGTAACAGGATTTGCATGATTTCTTTGGCACCGTCTCATTTTTTACTTCAAGGCGAAGAAAATGTTGAAACGCTTTCATACAAAGTGACTGAAAAATGTGATAGGACTGTAAATAAAACATCTGGAAAAGCAAAGCATGGTGCACAGCCTATGCAAGCTAATTCCAATTTATGTCGGATCACTACTAATAAGGGAACTAATTTTACAATCAAGTGTTGTATGATTGGAAAACTGATGGAAGTTAACCAAAAACTTATTAAAGACCCAACATTGTTGAAAGAAGAGCCACATGATGGTGGTTATATTGCCATTGTTTTACCAAATTTAAAACATCATGAAAAAATGAAAGAAACTTTAATGAATCAAGAACAATATGAAGAAGCAATTAAAAAACGCAATTTAGCAAAAACAGAAAATAAAAATGATGATACAAATCAGGAAACAGAAAAAATTGTTAGTTCAAATGAAAATCGTAAAATAACCACTGTAACAGTTCAAATTGGTAAATTTGATAAAATTATTAAAGATGTGCGTGGTAATGAAAAAATCAAAGAGAAAAACATTGCTACTTCTTGTATAGAACCTGTTAAAAATAATGAAAATTGTAATGTAGTAGAAAACTTAAAAGAGGAACCTGTAAATACAATTGTTGAACAATAAAATATACACTGTTAAACAATAAATTTTACAAACATTTGACATAAAATTATTTATTTTTATAAAACAGATTTTATTATACACTTTGCATTGCAAAGAACTGTACTTTGGCGTTCTTACAATTTTTTTAATGAAAATATTTACAATGATATTCACATTAATCATTCATAAAAATCTTTACAAATAGTAGATCGTTTGAAACACTGAACTAATATTTACAATTTTTCACTCGATCAAAGAGGAACAGCAACTTTTGAAAGAATGTTCTTTTGTTCAAGTTTGTTTAAATTTTCGACTTCTGTCACTTTGTTGTTAATAGTATTTTTAGCTAAATTACCTAAAATGATGCCAGCAAATAAGATCATTCCAACCCTATGGTTGGAGATGAATTTCTTAGCACAATTTTTTGGATCATTAATATCTAGTGTGTACAACTGTAAATTAATTATTTTCATAAAAGATTACTATGAAATTTAGATTAAAAAGAAAACTAAAATAGTTGTACCTGATATAAAAGGTGACCTCCAACTATTGATACAGCGCCATAATAAGGAAGAGCTTGTTCTGCAAAATATCCAGCAGCAACCAAATTAGCAATCATTGTTACACCAAAACCACTGAGGTATAATTTTGTTTTATCTCCAAACTTGAGAGCAGTAGATTTAATTCCAAGAAGTATATCATCCACTTTATCCTTAAAAACAAGAAGATTAAAAATATATAAAAGAAAATTTTTTAATTTTGTACTACATTGAGACCTATTAAGAATATTTAAAAAAAAATTTTTAATTTTTATGAGTAAGTTTTCAAATTACCTGATGAGCATAAATGGTATCATATAATATTGTCCAGCATATACCAGCTGCATATAGAGGTAAACACACTGTCCAATCACATTGGCCCTGAATAGCGGACCATCCTAGCAAGGCTCCCCAATTGAATGTCATGCCTAATATTAGTTGGGGCCAATATGTCACTCTTTTCATTAAAGGATAAATTACTACTAAACCTAATGAACTGGCACCCAGAACAATGCTGTACCAATTAAGTTGTGTGAGAACCAACAAACCCATACTTAGTTGGCCAGCCAAAAAAGTTAATGCTTGCATTTGAGATACTTCACCTGTAACTAAAGGCCTATCTTTTGTTCTGGCAACCTACAGAAAAATTTAATGAGTAAATAAGATTTTATAATTCTGATTTAAATAGAAATAAAATAAAGTTTTTAACCAACTTTTTTGTCTATATCTTTGTCCCACATATCATTAATTGTGCAACCGGCCCCTCTCATAATAAAAGCTCCAACTCCAAAAAGTGCTAGCATCCCAGGATCTGGAAATGCTCCAGCAGGAGCTGCCATAGCTATACTCCATCCACATGGCCAAAATAGTAACCAGGAACCTATTCATAAATAAAACCTTGATTTTTCAAAAATTGACAAGTTGCATAACTTGAGCCAATTAGTAATTGAACTTACCGATTGGTTTATCGATTCTCATAAGTTTCATATAAGGTTGGACTTTGGCTGGTGATTTTTCCACTATTTTAGCTGCTATACTATAATGTTTTACATTTTTTAATAGTATGTGTGAAACTTTGGAGTGCTTTTGAACATTTGTCAGCGGATAATTTGTACATAATTGTTTCTTTTTGGTATTACTACTTTTGTTGGCTGAGCTTGGACAAATGTACACAACTGCGGATGAATGAATTTTCCTGTATACATAAATGTCACCTCTTTGGCAAAATTGTAGACCATTGTGGAAGGAATTTAGCACTTTTGTGAAACATGCTAGCCGCTGACAACTCCCAGCGACAATCATAATTAAAAAATGATCCTGAAAAAGATTCGAATAAAAGGCTGTCATTACTTAAACTTTTTTCCAAAAAAAAATCAAAACGTCACGCAAGATAATTGATACCCTCAAACACGACTGTCACGACAGAACCGCAAAGGTTATTAATCACAAGTAATTATACGAAATAACCTGAAAGTTTGTGAGAATTCTTGGCTATCGCCGTGACACTGCGTCACGAGAGTAGTTTTGCGGTACATTTTTCGTCTCATCGAATACTTGCATGTAATAAAACGAATGCTTCATACCTTATCATTCACTGATGCATTTTAAAGTCGTCAGTTTGTTATTTGTACCAGAAACGGTGCAGCGTGTTTCATTATTATGTAAGCATGTGCAAGCCGTTGAAATTGGTCGTGTTTTCTATAACGCCGATGACGACGACGACAACGACGTATGACTAGAGCCACGCTCGTACTGTGCTATAATTTTATTCTGCTTATATTATAGACTGTCCGAGTTTTATAGATTGTGTATTTCAAGTCCAGAAACGACGTGTCGTGCTAAGAAGCATGTCTCGCATGTCATTTCGTTGAAAAATTCGCAGCGATGCACATGACCAAGTATTAATCACCGACCTATCGGTCAATTTGATTTCATTTTATTTGTTGCTCTTTTACGATTGTTACTTGTATGTATCGCGCATATGATAGCTATAGATATACAATATAATGCGAGGGGATTTATTGCGCGCCACGCGCAGAACCAGACGACGCAGACGACTTCTTGCTCGCCAAGATTGCGAATCGCTGCGCCGAGTTTTGAAAAGGTCGCGTGTTGTGCGCCAGCGCCACTTTACTCTCCCTACTCTTTGGAGTTTGGAGCTCCAATTTAAACGGAGCATGCGCCAGCAACGGTCACGTGTTTACAAAATTCATGATTGGCTGAATAATGAATAGAATCATTGTATTTGGCAGTAAGCTGATCATCATTTCGCTTACTTTTTTACTCTGTCTAACATCTAACATGGACATGAGCAAGGCACACAATACACGTAATTGTGACGTAGACCGAGACCTTTTTTTCTACTATGATGCTAATGCCGTGCATGACATGCCAACGTTGACAACTACTTGAACAAATAAAAAAGAGAGATAATAGTGATAATATACGTTATCACTTGTATCTGTTTTTGCCGCGTCATTTTTATTCATCGAGAGAGTAAACGTCTGTAAAAAATAGTCGAGAGGGTCGAGAGCAATAACAATTTGCAGACACTCTTAGTATGAATTTCCATCTATTTTCGTTCATACTACGAACGTGGTCAGTAAACGTTTTCATAAACAAACGTGTTTTCCTTTTTACATCGCGGAGGTAGCGGCACAAGTGTAGTACACACAAACACCAATACGCGCCAAAGCAAAGCCGCACAAACATTTTGCTATTTATATGACTTCGATCGATTAATAATAATAAGCTTTCCAAGCGTGGGCATGTGCTTATGTAAATACTTGCAACTCCACAATATACATTTTTTCAGAAAATACGTACGCAGTTTTTGCATTTCACGAGGAGTTGGGATCTCATTTACGGACCTCAGTTGCGGGATCTCAGTTGCGGACAAAGAGCATAAAAATGATCGTCGAAGATCGAGGAACTCCAACAAAGTGTTTGGCGCCGACAGTTGGCAAATTTAAAATGTGCGACGACGCCGACTGTGCGTGCGTTAGCCGCTTTGGCGGAGCAGACGACGCACACGAATCCGGCGTTTATACAACGTCGTCGTGTGAAAGATTCGGGCCTCGAGTTTTGTAATCGATCGCGTGCTCGACGACACAACCACGCTCCTTTAGTAATCTTTTACTCGCTCGTTAATTGAAACTTATCGGCTTGAAAAATCGACCCAAGGTCGTTTCCGCACACAGCAAGTAGTCATCGGCTACTCCACGCTCGAAACCAGTGATACAGAAGCAGCAGCAAGGTGATAGATAATTCGCCTGTAGACACATCGTACTATATATATACGTTATACACAGTCTCGCAGGTACTTGAGTGTGTGCGTCGGTGACTCGCGAAAGTTATAAGCCGTCGTCTGTGTGCCGCGCGCCTCGGCCTATACCAAGTATCATATAGTCCGCTTTCTGACTCTGCGACTGTGTGCGAGTATACGTGTCTCTGCGCGCATCGTGGTGACGCGTTTTTCGCATCAGTGAAGCACAAACATTTGTATGCTAAGGAGCCTGCAACGAGCCTTCTTCTCGCGAGCAATGAAAAAGCCCGAAGTGCTGTTCATCCTCGGTGGTCCTGGCGCCGGCAAGGGCACGATATGCTCCAAGATCGTCGACAAGTACGGCTACGTGCATCTGTCGGCCGGTGATCTGCTCAGGGAGGAGAGGGCCAAGCCGGACTCGCAGTATGGTGAGCTTATCGAGGGCCACATCAAGAGTGGCACCATAGTGCCCGTCGAGATCACTTGCAGCCTCCTCGACCGGGCTATGCAGGAGTCCGAGTCGCCCCACAACAAATTTCTCATTGACGGTTTCCCCCGAAATGAGGATAATCTCCAAGGTTGGACTAAGGTGAGTCGCTTTTATTTTTTCAATCTTGAGACAAACTTTTCATTGTTATAGAGTATGTTCCACCGGTGACTGTATAGTGCTAAAATTTTATATAACTCATATAGTCACTGCATGAATTTTTCAATTCTTTGTACACAAGAAATGAGATGGCTAAGTTTATTAACTTTTTTTACAGACAATGTCTGACAAAACAGATGTGAAAGGAGTACTATTTTTTGAATGCAGTGAAGAAGTCTGCACGCAAAGATGTCTTAACAGAGGTGCCAAAGGGAGTGGTCGAAGTGATGATAACGCAGAAGTACTAAAAAAGAGACATGAAACATATATTACTGGCACAATGCCTATTGTTGAACATTACAAAAAGTTGGGACTAGTTTATAGTTTTGACGGTGAGAAGTCACCAAATGCAGTATTTGCTGATGTTCAAAAAGCTTTGAAAGAGCTTGGATGGTAAAACCTATTACCGATTGTATTTTTATTCAAAAATCTACTTAAAAGAACAGTAATTATTTTTTTTACAAGACTAATGTCATACTTTTAGTACCAATTATTACAATTTTTTATTATAATTTACTGGCATGAATAGTTAGAGAAATATTTAACATTCCTTGTATAGCACTGCATCAACTGCAAGTATCGGGTATTGTGATTTTATGCACTGCATCGCGGTATAGCTTGTTAATATTCAATGGTATTATTGTTACTTTTCTTTTGTTATCACCTTGTGTTAATACAAGTAATTATGTAAATTAAAATTAAGTCAATTATTGCTGCTTGATATGACTCCTGATGCAAATATGTGTATTATTAACAAAATAACAATATGAGATAGTGTTTAACTCGTATAATGTTATAAAGTATTGGCAATTTTTATAAATAAATTGACTAAAGTTAAAATTTTTCTTATAAAAACTTGAAGTACAAAAATAAATGTTTCTAAAGTGCATTAATTATTTTTATTCAATTATTGCTAGTTACTATAATGAAAGTAAGGTGAAAAATCAGTTTTTTCTATTTATAATCATGAAAAAATGAAAAGCATCAAAACTTATTTTTAAGTTTTAATGTTATTTTCACTCATTAATCTGTTTAACATTAATTAAAAAATCCAAATAATACAAAACAAAAAAATTTGTCTTCTCTACAGTTACTGGTTGGTGTAACTAACATATTATAATTACTCTAACACTAGTACCACATTGGTTGTTTGTTGTATAGTCTTTTGGACAAATAAATCGAAAATCTGCCGCGAAACTTTTTAAAAGTCTTCACGCAGTATGTATATAATTATAAAAATAACAATTACAATTTTTATCAGTATTTTTACAAATTTTATAAATAATAAATTATGAGCAAGCAGTTCCCTAACAAAAGTGTTCTCTCAAAAAATGGTTAAAATAGTGGTATTTTATAATGAAAATTATGCTTATCCACATAAGAGGACTTGACTTTTTTAAATTTAAACTTTCAAGTCTCGCCATTTAATTAAATATATCCATATTAAATGAATCAAAATGCAGAATTAAATAGTATCATTTGATCAGATATTTCTAACGGACATTCTTTCGTGCAGTTTTCTACCTTAACGATATTCTCGAATGAAGTTCTATTAACGTCAACTAGTAGGAGTTCGGATCGTGATAGGAAAGTTTCAGTGAAGCGGGTATAAAATCCTACATTTAAAACTAATATATTATTTTTAGAGGGCAATAAAAATGTAATGACACATTAATTTTGATGAACGAATTTTTCTCGAATAATAGAGATTGTCAAAGTCGTAGTTAATTTTAAAATCATCCCTGGTTTTTGATTTATAACATAATTGGTTCCACGAAATTTCAAATAACTCACAATGAAACAAGATTTGCAGCGGTTATATAGCTGGTAAAACGATAAGTATTATGGAATCGAGAGGAGGGAACAAACACTTTGACAAGCAGCCTGACCGCTGATCCTATCGTACTTGATAATTTTAAAGGGATTATCCCATACCTCGGTTTTAATCAAAGTAACGTTTCTATCTCTTGCAGCGACATATCCTCAAAACGAGAAAAAATGAGGCAAAAACGAGCGAAGCTCAAAGAATCACGCAATAAATTTTTGGAAGCTACCGATCTTTGCGCCGAATCAGTGTCGGCTCGCGCGCGCGTACGAGCTTTTCTACCTATAATATTGGCGGTGCCAAAGTCCCCGGTTTTTGGTCATCGCGTATCTGGTTGGCCGTTGGCTCTGTCCCCTCGCCTGGGCTGGCGCTGAATTACTTATATTACACTACTTGAAAGCTACTGCTGTCGAGCCGTGGAGCAGGGCAACATCAGCGGCAGCAGCAGCAGCAGCAACAGCAGCAGCGGTGGCGGCCGACTTGCACATCGATATATATATGCTAGCAGCGGAGCGCGGCACTACTGCTGCTGTTGCTGCTGCCGCTGGCTTGTGGCTCGTAGTAGTATATAAAGGAACGATCAATTGTTAGCCGGTAGTCTGTGTCTCATCGGCGCGCTTCTATCTCGCCGCGCGCCACCGACGCCACCGCCGCCTCCGTCGCAGCGCATACAGAGCCACATTTATACGGCATTTACACAGACCGCGGCCGCACTCATAATAGTTCTGCGCCCGCGGCTTATTCCTTCTCCTCTTCTTCTTCTTCGCGTCGTCCTCGCTGTCATTTCTGATTTTTTCACCGCTCGAATCATTGACGCTTGATTCGCCGCTCGAGGACGACCCGTTCTTCTTTCAAAATAAATCTAACGATTCGAGTTTTGAACGCCGACCGCGCCAAAATTCACCGGCGAGTGAGAGAAAACTGACTTGCTTCGTGTAAAAAAAAAGGACAATGTGCACAAGTGACGTTTGAAGGGAGGAAAAGCCGAAAAGTTGTAAGAGAAAAACTCGGACGCGCGCACAATCGTTACTGTAATCCAAGGAAAAAATGACTTTCTCCGGGGGCATGATTTTGGTCTTGGTCACCAGCGGCGTGTTGATGACAGGAGGAGCTCGAGGAGGCTCGAGCGAAGGAGTCACGGTACCTCGGCCCGAGGCTACCCTGCTCGAATTGCTATCGAGGCCATTCGCCCCGACCGAGGGTGCGTCCCAAGAGTGCATCAGGGATAGCAAGATTTACTTCGCAGAACTGCGCAATTATAATCCTTGGGCTTTGCAAAGTGCGTTTTTTTATCTCTCTTTACGATTATATTCCATTTACTCTAATAACCATTTTTTGTTTAAATCATTTCATTTATTCTCGCGCAATTTAACATGTTATACATAGGTTCGTAGCAGTTAATCTCTAACTTTTTACAATACATCTTTCAGTGATTCTTGTTTATCTATAGTGTAGCCGTTTCGCGTGAAAAGATATGAATTTTCCTTGCATATAGTTAAAAAAAAAGTATTTTAAAACACTTATATAAGCTAGTTGAACATTTATTCAAACAATCTGTTAAACAGATCCATAAATGCACCTGAGTGATTTGCAATTTCTGGACATTCACACACTTCACCTAAGATCACCGTAAAAATTCTTTTCACTGCAACTACGCATCGAAGGTTAATGACTCGCGCTGTGGACGTTTCACAATTTGCAACTTTTTTCATTTCTGCATCATAAAAAAAGCTCACCAATGTACACACGCATGCATGCATGCAGTCGATAAAACGGCGGATAAGCGGGTTTATTTTTCACCCGCCGCGTAAGTAGTTGGATATTGCGCATATCCGCAAGTCGGCAGCACAAAAAATTCAACTGTATCAGTGCATCCACGAAGCACGAACGATAACACGACAACGATTATCTAAATCTGACCAATGAATAATCTCGAGAGAAAGAGAAAGAATGAGTCGCGCCCCGAATCTCGTGTTTTTTTAGCTAAAAAAATGACATTAAAATTTGTTTTCCTCGCATCGATTATATAGTCAGCTATCTGGTCGACTCGTCCAAAAACTGTACGCATCATCTATGCATATGTATATATGTGGCGCATCGCTACGCGACCGGCGCAGATGCAGCAAGGGTCATAAACCAGTTTTTAGGTCATAACACTACGTCATAATGTACAAATTACGTAAATTTAGCAGCGCGGTATATATCTGTTACTGCGTGATTCGAAAGAAAATCTCCTCCTCTCAGCGGTCGTTGACAGCCACAGCATTTTGCAACTATAAAGAGAGAGAGAGAGATTGATCGATTTTTTAACAAGCGAAAAAAATTTGCCAAGCTCGCGAAAAAGGCGTACGTAGGGCAAATACTAATATCACTTTTTCGAGAGTTCACAGTTCAACGAACCTTTTGCGCGCGCGAGAATCATGAAATCTCGGGCTCGCTGCAGCTAAGCTTGCTACTTACTTGCTTGCTTGTCTTGCCACTACTCTGCCGAGCTTCGCTTCAGCGAACCAAAATCATGCGCACCAGCCAACAAAACACGACGAGCTGCAACTCGTTATTTTTATATTCGTCGCCGAAATCGTTAGCGGTGCACTGAATTTTCCCGACTTGTGCGTGCTCCGCTGATTAATTTGCTCCAACTATGCGAATCGCGTTGACGTTATTGATTTTATCAAAGAGGATCGGTCTGACCAAAGAGGATTCGTTTCACTACTCGCTTTAATTCTCGCACTTGTTTATTTACGAACTATTTTTTTTTTTCATTATTTCCAACGCAAAATAATGGAACTTGGACTCTTTCGTGGCTCGATCGAAATGAAATTTTTTACAGTGCGTTCGAGAAACGCAACAATGTGCCACTCGCGATAATGTGCAACGTTCGTATACGTCTTATGTTGAAAAAACAATCGACGACACCCGATACTATGTGCTTGCGGCAGCTCGTAAATGTCATTGACACCGCGCTTCGCGATCTTTTCTTTCTTTTTTTTTTTTTTTGCTTTCTTTTCCGCTCCATGCGATAGGCGCTCCATCGCCGTTGCCGGCTTTTGTCGTCGCGCACGCAAAATACAAGAAAGAAATGAAAAAACGAAAAGAGAAAAAAAAATGAAGAAACACACAGGCACGCACTTTTCAGTGTCAAGGGCAAGTATTACGAAGTGAAGAGAGTTGCGCATACACATGTGTGTTCATGCGCATCCGCGACCCTGAAATCCACCGCCTCTATGCTACCGCTATGCTGCTGGGCTGCAGCGAACTGGTTGACACTTTGAGCGCGCGCGCGCACTCACACACATGCAGACGCGACTTGAGTAGAGGTGTGCCTATCTACGCCGCTTCTATTTACAAGCGCTAAAAATGCAGCGTCAGAATAGTGAGCAAAGTAGTAGTAGTAGTAGTAGTAGTAGTAGTAGTAGTAGTAGTAGTGGTCGTAGTAGAAGTGCAGGTATGCGCTTCGCAGATTCTGCTAGGGTACGTTGCCCCCACGACTCGAGCTCTCTCTCTCTCTCTCTCTCTCTCTCTCTCTCTCAGTCTCTATACTGTATACCTACTTATATGTATTTCGGTGCTGGCGCTATAGACTGCGTGTGACCTGTAGTGTGCGCTTCCCTCGCGCGCAGCTTTTTTTTCTTTTGCACAGCGCTGCATTTTGCCTCGTCGATGGCCATTTTCTTATTTCAAGTGGGGTCATCGATACGTTTATCCTTATCGCTCGGTGCATATCGCGAGTCGAATCGAGGTGCCGTGAAAAATCTCGATAATCTTTGTACGTTTGCCGCCGCTCACTTACGTAACACCGAGAGCGCTTAGTTTTCCCTACGAAAAATGCTCGTACGCGCGACTTCTTGCTGCACGCCCGAGCCTTGCGCGCGCTATTTTTAGACTTTTAACGAGGAGCGACTTGTTTTTTTCGCGCTTTATAACCTCCCCCAAAAGTCAACGATGATTTATCGCGATTGTTTTGGGCCACGCGATTTTTCGGAGCTCGCGAGCTGCCAACGCGCGGTACGCGTTACGTAAAGTCGCGAGGGCAATAAATTCTGCCGCGATAATCAATGCATTAAAGTGTGTCTAGGCACGCGCCGCGGGGTAACTGTTGCGTGCGCGAGAGGATTAATTTGAACGCATCAACACTCGCGGCGGACCAATGCCAACGATTGAACGCGCGAGTTTGAAAAACGTCGACCCAAGATTAGAACCGAACGTGTTCGAAGAAATACTTTGACAGAACGAGACATGAAAGTTTGGCAGTCGAGCTTGAATAAGTTTTCTCATCTTTACTTGAAAATTTGCACGAGTCCTTGGAGCAATTCGGAGGCCAAATGTTATTTATTCAATTTTTTTCATGTAAAATTATGTAAAATTACGTAAAATTTGGCGCTCCATTAAATCCAAGTATAGATCGTGAATATGTTAAGAAAAAAACTAAATCCTTTTATTCAATCAGCAATGAAGAGACGTGCCAGAGGAGAAAATGGGTCAGGTAGGAGCATTGACCGTCCTTGTGCTTTCGGTATACGTCGATGAGATCGTCCAATGTAATCATTTTCTCACGTACCGAATTTTTTCGAAAAATTAAAAACTTTTCGAGCAACCCGTACTTAAATTCCTTTGTAATTACTCGATTACTGAAAATAGACATATTTTGAAAGTTAAACTCGATATAAAATAACATAACTGCGTATTTTTAAGTTTAATTTACTACAGAGATGTAACAGTAACCAGTTATTGGCCAGAGAGCTTTTTTTCATATTTAATGATTGCATTATAAAAGTTATTATTGAAAGACATTTGGCTCTATAGCTCAAGAGGTTATTATTCATAGAAGACAGCTAATCTACATTTATCTCTTGACATGAAAAATAGTTAACAACAATTTTTCAATTGCAACATTTCAAGATTTTCTGACTTCACGTCATCATGTCAATTGTGAAATTTATGTAAAAATTAAACATTACCAAAACAGTTTTACCTTCGTTCGAAACCATCATTTTAATATATTTCCACTAAATAAGCAATCGTAGGTGCTTCCATTTTTTCATTTTCTAATCAACCGCTAACAATACAAATCTCATAAAATGTTTTGGAAAATTTTCATTCATGGCTTTATTGTTTCCGATTAGGCGATACATCACAATCCCTCGAGTATACACGCATATAACTCGGTAAACATAATATTCGTATCTGCGGCGATTGAAAAAAAAGAAAAAAAAAATGTAAAAACGTCACTGATGCACAGCAATTCATTATCGTTCGAGTTAATGTATAATATGGTTCTCCTAATCATGCATTAGCAGCATCGGAGATTTTCATGCGTCAAACAAATGCGTATAACGAGCTCTCGAGTACAATATCATCTAAAGTACCGAATACTAAGAAGAAGATATTTTTTATTGCTGCTGCTCTCGGGTGCTCGCGTTGCAGCAGTGCAGTTGTCATAGAATAATCGTAGATGCGAGATTTATTGCCCACATGTTTCGAGCGCGCGTTGGAGCTGGTTGTAAAGTGCGCATCAGCAATTGCGATGAAAGTTCGTGCAGTACTTACTGGAATTAAATGGAAAAAATCTGATTTCATAAGCCGACGCATCGATTTTCCATAGAGAGTCGTGCAAGACAAAATATCGATGCTCTCGTTCGCGATGCTTCTCGAAAGATAAACTTACTGCGTCTGAACAAGATCACATGTTCTTAGCAAATAACAATTGGATAATTGGTAAAAGTGACGCTTTATTCTCATTGACGTTTGACGTCGATCATAATTTTACAGCCGTAGTAGTATTTACAAATTTATTTTTGACAATATTTTATGTATAGCGAGACAAATGTCATCAAGTTGCCTATCAAGAATTTGATTTTACGATTTGGCTCCGGAACGGAGATGACAGACTCCCGTGTTTACTTCCTGATCCACTAATGTCGCTGTCAAATACATTCAAATATATTCAAATCGTTTGATGCCATGTAAACTGTCTATCATTCATGTTACTAATTTTCCACACCCTCGCGGTAACGGTGGCGAAGAGATCGATCAACACTTCCGGACAAATTGTTATGTAATTACTATAATTCGAGGAAAATAGATATAGCGTCCGCTTCGAAATTTCTTTTCGAACTTTGATAGACTATGCAAAAATTAATAATTCCACTTTAATTCAATCATTCGAAAACATAATTCGATTAATTTCTATCCAATCAATTGATTAATTGCAATATCTCATTAATTGTTCCCATTTTGCCAATCACACGACCAGATGATCTTTAATCGTATTTTAATGATAAAAATGTTTAAATTGATCGACAATATTATGTCTAATGGCTTTAAAAATGCATCAATGCAAACTTTAATGATAATTAAAATTTCAGTGTTTGATGCTTCGGCGAAAATGCCTCCTGGAGTCATAACTGGTAACGTTCAACAATTAGGAAACTACGACGAATGCCTCCAGATTAAAACCGACCAGACGTTCAAAGCTCAAGCTTGCAGTGCTTCTGTGCAATTTGAAATATTGAAAGGGCCTAAAGTTTCGCGAGACTTGGATATGAAAGATCTACTCATTCAAGTTGCCAAGGCATCGGTAAGATTTTTCAAATTAAGATCAAAACGAACTAATTGTAATAAAATAACTTAATTTTAGAATTTGAAAGAGGACCTAAATTTTTCGGTGAATTACGAATGGATGTGGTGCGTACCTTCAAGCTGCAACTATTCCGAGATTTCGGAAGCTCTCGAGCTTGCGCTCGACCCGCTCAAAGTCGACGGGCGTTTGGATTTTGCGGTCGATCTCAATTCTCATTCCTGCCACACCGATGTAACAGATCAAAATATGTACGATTTCTTCGATTGGACTTACATGTAAGCCTGACCTTTTTTTTCTTCGACTTTTCATTGAATAACAATGAGAATCTTACAGCGGAAATAATATACAATTTATATTTCATGAAGCGTTAGACAAGATATTTAAATCGATCGATTTTCATGCATTACAGAGGAGTCTTGCTGGTATTCGCGGCGATCATTATAGCCAGTACCGCTTACGATCTGCATAAGAAATACAAAGACGAGGACTCAAAGCGCAAAGGTACGCATAAGAACGTCATGCGCTTCAGATGGATTTTCAAATCTTACGATTCATTTACATCGTCCAAGTGAGAATACGTATTAAATTTTATTAATGCGACTTATCTGTTTTCTCCTGATTCGTCCGCCCGTGTGTTTGTCTCCCTCTCCTATGCATATTATACTTTCTTTGAATTCGACTTCCCCTTATACAACGATTGTCGTTATCGTTACGATATGTAACGATTAACGACGCACAAAAATGGCCCGTACATTTTTTTTCTCATATCGCGTCGTCTCTACTGCATGTCATAAACTCACACATCTCATCGCATCTAATCTCATTTCGCGAATGGACCACTTGCATTATAAAAAACAAAAGCTGCGCATATACATTACAAGCCAAAAGTATTTTTCGTTATTCGAAAATATAAAATTTTCTTATACATATTTATTATTCGATTCCAACTTGTAGATACAAAACATCAGCTGTTGACGGCATTTTCACTCCACACGAATGGTCAAAAGCTCCTGAGCACTAAGCGATCTGGCGACACGATACCGTGTTTGGACGGACTTCGCTATCTCAGTATCTGCTGGATCATATACGGGCACACTTTTTACTTGGAAGTCGTTGGAGTTAAACTCGCCAAGAATCATGTTATAAAGGTAATGAAATCGTTCTCGATTACTTTCACTTTATCAGTGAAAAAATTGTTTAAGTGCAAGCACGATGTAAACATTTGGATATTATTAGAATTATTCAAGTCATTTTATTTTCAAACCGTTATGGCTCTCGCGATGCAAATGAGCCATCGTTGTGTGGCGCCGATAAAAACATCGTTTGTATACTTGTATACGTGCGATAAAAATGCTTGGGAATTACCAGGCATTGATAGGATGAAATTGCCAATTTTGTTCGCATTAACGCAACAGCCTCGCCGCCGCACAAAGATCAATTTTACGCACACTCGCACACACACACACACATACATGCACAGAAGAATACACGTATAGCAAGCGTACAGAGAGGCACGACTCGTGTCACATTGTATGCGACGCGATCCGCGAAGATGAGATAAAATCAGATTGGAAAACGCGGTTATTAACTGCTCAATGGTGACGCGCGCTTGTTAAAGCGATTTATGTATGTGCTGTCACGTGACCAGGAAAAAACTGTTTTTATCCGTCAAAGAGACGTTTTCACGCATGCACCGCACTCACGTACATATGTATATACAATGAAAAGTAGGCCAATGACGGGGAGAAAAAAAGAGGAGATGATATTCCCTCGAATGCCCACAAGCCATCGGCAACGACGACGTAAATACTCACAATCGCGTTTATTGCCTTACACGTGACACTGCAGCAGCCTCCTATTTTCTCCGCGCGCATCGCCATTGCATCGAAGCCTACTATAGTAGTAGTAGTTTTGCTACGCACGTGCGAGCCAAACACTGTAGTAGTATTTCGCGCTCGCATGTTATCCGACATGATTCATGACGATCGTTTTCGTTGTTGTATGCGCCTGCAGCAGATCGCAGCGCGGCGGAGAGTGAAGTTTTGCGCGCGTAGTTTATACACGAGAGACGACGATATCAGCGCATCGCGAGCCGCTCGCATACGATGCTCATACGTATATACGTACATAGGCTCGTACGCGGCCTCCAAACGGCCAACGAGCTTTTGACCAAGACCTGTTAAAGCTGATGAAGTAATAATATTAGAATCGTTTGACAGTGGCCTTCACTTTTGCTCGCTGCTGTTGCTGGGATATATTTGCGCGCTCGCATGTATGTGTGTGTATGTGTGTGTGTGTGTGTGCCATGATCCGATCGCCGGTTTTGTGCAGCGGATCAGAGATCAAAGCTGTAGATCTAAAAATCAAGTACACGCCTCGTCCTCGAGGTGCTTTTTCTCTTTCGGGCTCTCATGGAACATCGTTGCAATAAACGTGCGCTTGGATTCAAGCTCGCGTGGCACGCGCCGAATGAACTTTTGAACGCCCTGAGCTCGATCTTTCCAAGCTGTACGAGCGATTGTGTATTATCATCGAATTAAAAATTGAATTCTCGCTGCTTTTTAGATAAACTCGCGAAAAAAATTAAGATTACGATTACGAGCACATTTTCATTACTTGGATTGATACGGGGGGACACACGTGGTCCCACGTGACAGCGTAAATCAGCAAAACTGCAGCTCTCGAGTTTTCATCGATGCAAGAACTTGCATTTATAACGCTGTACTGACGTATTTTTCCATATGGCGTTTTAAACGACGCGACAATTGGCATGGAAAATCTTAATGAATGATGCGTTTCTCGGTGAACGCACATCATGAAATGGTATATATTTCCACATTGGAAATTTACTCATAAAAACTCGACTGTACGAATGTGCGATCTCTATTATTTATTTTCGTATAGATTCTCTACAATTGCTGTGAATTTATCCTCGGGCGTTACATTGTTGCAAAAAAATAAACAAATAATAAATACGAATGGACATTTACCCGATAAATAATAATTTTGAGAGGTATCAATTCATAGATGCACGAAGATTGGAGCTCGCTGCTCATTCTGAATGGCAACATCGTCACAGATACGTTTTTCTTGCTCAGTGGAATTCTATTGGCATACACTTTAATGGCCAAAAAAGGCAAGGACGGCACTCCAACTTTCAGCGTAATAAATCTTTACTTGAATCGCTACTTGAGGTAATTAGTTCTCGTTCATTTGTCCATTAAAAATTGTTACCATCTTTTCTTTTTCATTTCATTCTTTTACTTTACCTTCGTAGATTGACACCAGCTTACGCGATTATCGTGGGCTTTTACGCGACCTTGTTTGAAAAATTGGGCTCTGGCCCGAAATGGGACACCTGGGTGAACTCCAGCAAAGAGAACTGCCGCGCCAATTGGTGGATAAATCTTTTATACGTCAACAATTACGTTAACCTCGAAACCATGGTAAATTTTAATTGAGTTTAAAATTGATTTTTGATACAAGAATTATTTATAATATTTGAAAGCTATTTTTCTGTTTCCAATCGTGTGTTCGCAGTGCATGTCGCAGAGTTGGTACTTGTCCGTTGACATGCAATTGCTTTGGATCTCGCCGCTGTTTCTTTATCCAATGCTCAAGTGCAACAAGGCCGTTTACTTTTGGGTTGTCACTGGAACTGGTTTACTCGCCTCCATTCTGATTCCCTTTGGCATCACTTACTTTTTAAATTTGACCGGGACTATGCTCTATTACAAAAAGTCGGTATATCAATGATATGTGCTTTGAAAAGATAAATATTCCGCATTATCATTTATTTTTGATTCGGATAAACGTTTTTGTTCGCAGTTTAATGGACGTCACCAATGTCTATTTGCAAATTTACACACGAGTCTATACGAGAGCGGGGCCGTACATAATAGGACTGGCTTTCGGTTACATTCTATTTAAAACCAAAAACTATAAAATTAGAATGAACAGAGTAAGAATCTTTCGAATTTTTCGTCCTACATTAGATTTTATTCATTTCGAGAGATATTAATATCGAATTTTAACGAGGCATAATCATCGTCGTCGTTTCTGTGTGCACAGACATGCGTGGCATGTGGCTGGCTCGTCGCTACGGCGGTAGGACTCGCAGCTGTGCTCGGCCCACGCGCTATGTATTTCAACGATTACCCGTACAACAAGTGGGAGGCCAGCTTTTACGCGGGTCTGCACAGGCACGTCTTCACCGGCGCCGTGGCTTGGATTATTTTCGCCTGCATCAACGGTTACGCCGGTAGGATTGATTATTGCAACGAAATTATATCATGGACGAATGATGGATCATCCATTTTTCATGATTTTGCGTATCGCGCAGGTCCGGTGAACACGTTTTTGTCGTGGCGCGTCTGGGTGCCCCTGTCGAAGCTCACCTACAGCGCCTACCTGACGCACTACATCGTTCTGCTCTACAACATCGGCAGCGCCCGCACCTCCGGCAATCTCACGGGCTACAGCGTACTGCACACCTTCTTCGGCAATCTCTGCCTCACCATGTTCGTCTCGCTCTGTCTGAGCTGCTGCTTCGAGATGCCCTTCATGACCCTCGTCAGGCTCGCCTTGGTGCGTCGCGATTCCACCGCGGAGCATCACCATCATCACCATCATCATCATCATCACGTCGGCTGCAGTCGTGGTCTGCAGGCCAAGCCGAGCAGCGAGCGATTCTTCGGCTCGACCGATTCCGGCGAGAGCATTTACCGATCGAGCGAGGATTTGGCCAACACCGAGTCGGCGGCCAGCAGCGTCGACAGTGTCTACGCGATCGGCAGCAGCAATTTCAGCGTCGTCGTCGAGCCGAAGAAACTCGTCGAGGAGGAGGTGGACGCGCGAAAAAGTTACACCGACATAGGCTAGATTTTTTTTCACGCGTAGCTCGTCAAAGATCGTCACGCACAATGTTCTATACGCGCTTCAATTTTTTACCTGCGTTTTTAAGCTATACGTTTCTGTGTGGTTGCTCGTGTTCATAGTATTATTTAACTGCTGTTACGATTTGAAAAAAGTCAAAAAGATATTACAAAAAAAATGAGATTCCTATACGATACGTTAATGATGAATGAATATTGAACTTTGAATATTAAGCATGTTGCGTGTGTGAGTGTGCATCGTTTGATAACATTAGAGGTGATTATTATTGATAAATTTTTGAATTTGATTCTCGCTGACACGCTGTAGAAGAATAAAATTTCATATTAACGCCTCCAAGATTATTCATCGAATATTGAATCAAAATTTATGAATTCTTTGAAAGTCTTTAACATTCCAATATTTGGGATTACAAAAAATTGTCTGCTGCACTGAAACAAATTTTTCTACTCCATCGTAGGCTTTCTGTGACAAGCTTTTTTTCATGATACAGGAAACGCAGTTTCTACGATGCGGTAAAAAACATTTTCCAGTGCAAAGATTGAACGAAACACCAAAATTATAAAAGAGAATTATGTGTTCTGAAAAAAAGTATTAAATTTAAGTGTTATTGTTATTGTTAGAATTACGAATCATTCGATTAAGATAAAAATGTTAACTAAAGTTGAAAATGTGACCAACTATTTAAAATTAAAATTACAACATTTTTGTAGAGATACGTGGCAAATATCAACTCCTAATTAAAAAAGGAAAATGATCTAGATTTATATGATGGATATTTAAGAATTTAAAGTCTAAATAATGTGTTCATTAGAAGTACGTAAGAATAAACAGCAAATGTACACAATATTTCAAGTAAATAGGTAAAACTTTGAGTAGTTTTACAGTTTCTATAAACTATACAAATAAATGTTTTACAAATTATTACTCATGTTATTGTTACATTGTACTTAGAGATCAGTCGTTGTTCAATTATAATATGTACGATGTTGAAGTTTCAATAAATAAATTGTTAAAATGCATAAAATAACAGCGAAGATTTTTTGACATTTACAGACTTCAGCGCGTGAGAATCGAAAATTCATGTATCAAATGATAGTGATGTAAGAAAAACATTTTTACCGTGTATACTTGACAGCTATCAAAAGCGAAGACCCAAAAGCAGCGAATCAAGTCTACGATTTCAGCTGTTAACGCTTTTTGATGCGTGCACGACGTGTATGACACACATTGAAATCTGACAAGCAGGTTCATCACGAAATTTCACGCCGGCGAAATTCCTTAGTTTTTGTGTGAGAAAGAAGATTGTGAGAATGTAGAAGATCGTCTCGCAGAAGCCGCGCGTAGTATCGAGCAAAAAAAACATTACGATTACGCCACAGATCTGCAGTCAAATTTATATACAAAGTATATAGATATAGGAATTAAGTAGCCCCGCGAGAATTTTAGAAGTGCGAAAGCAGCCGCGCACACATGAACGTCGTCGACGATCAACGGTATTATAGCAGGGTTCGAGGCATCATAAGTTGCAGTCGCGTGCGAGTTTAGACCTTTTTTTTTCTCTACTTCTTGAGGGATCGTAAATACGGTCGAAGGCATATGTATACGGCGTGGGAAGAATACTGATAATAGAAAGATCTGTTTAGTCTATGATCACATTCATTAAAGTACCTATTATAGTGGTTTGTAACGTACTTAATTGAGACACTTCACTATATAGAATATCACCATCAAATTAATCCTTATGATTGAGTTTATGATCGATACATGAGACAAAGAGCGAATGGTTCCTCATCGAGTAAGTTAATATCTTGATAAAATGAAATTAAATTTTTTTTTTATTACACATATCATCGTAAATTTTTAAAAACTTTGTAATAATCGTGGACGACTGTCAATGAACAATGGACATATGCGCGAGTCTTGCGTTGCATCCATTAACTATATGTCTAAACCGCATGGCCATAAATAAAAATTTTCAAATAAATTCTCCTTCCGAACACATGGTTAGGCATACACGAATGTCCTAGCTCGAGTACACACAACCCGTCGATCTCATTTATAATGAGATGCATTTGGGGTCAAATACGGAGCGTGGTCGGATTTTATTGCGCCATTTATCGTTTCTTCCGCACGCGCGCGCGCGGGGTGAAAGTGTCGATGCTCGCCTTTGACTACGCGCGTCTAATCTCTTTCTCTCTGTGCTATTAGGATATATAATAGAAAAGCAACTCGGTCTCTTGTACTCGACACACAGACACACATACACGTATAATAGACTCGGCCCTTCAAAACGTTCGTATAACCCGAATCAATCTTGACGATCTGCTCATATAAGTATATCGAGTCAGTCGCGCGCGCGCCACTGCTCATACTTACTGCGAGCTATCAGTCCCAATCCATTAGCATGATTGTGCCTCGGATTCGGTGCCGGGAAGACGTTCGGGCTTCTGGAATTTTTCGCAATAATCTATCGACCGACGTTTGTAAGTAAAGTCTTCGCACACGCCTAAGGCTATCAACGGTCGCGAGATGGCATTTGAGATTTTACTTGAGAGAATCGTGTTGTTAATTTTCATACGATCGGAAAATATTGTCTCGAATAAAGGCACGCGCGCATACATAAATAACCAAAGGCCAGACACCCCTTTCGAGTTATGTGCCGGTAACGCTCGAATAATGCCCACATTACTTAATCGGATAAATGCTGAGCCACTTTCCAAGTGTCATTGTCACCGAGCATTTATGCGAAGCCGTATATGTATTCACGCACTTTATTCGCGCATATTTTGCGCAATCAGCCGCGCTCGACGCAGCGCACACAAGTGAGCTACCCCCTGCGGTTAAGCGTTGCAGCTCGCGCCGACTGTGTTTGCCCCCTCGACTCGAGAGTCAAGCCCACAACAATACACAGGGGTTTGTTCATGAATGTAGATGTTATAATATAAGACTACGTTTAAATGCCGGGCGGCGCGTGTATACGTGGAATTGTATACGTATCGAGCTGTATGCTGACATCTGCGGCTTACATTTTCTTTCAGGAAGTCGGTTTATGATGATTTTATGATACCGCATTGACTCGTGGCGCTTAGATCATGATACAATCGGAAACAATAAAAACCACAGTAATAAAGAAATTCAACTATACTAAAGTAAGCCTCATCAAAAATTAATTATTTTATATAAGGATTGAAATTGTATAACGACAAATACTCAACAGTTACCCTTGGTAGGAAATATTAGATGAATCAGAAACTGATCAGAAGAGTACTTTTTATAACAATTTTTGTATCCGCCCTTCTAATGGAGTAAGGATGATTGATAATGGTCATTAAAAATATTTGCAGGTGCATCGAAAAAATACTTTTAAATAGCGGATCAAGTTATGACACATGATATTATAGAGATAAGGAAATTAAAATTGGAATCTCGTATAAAGTCGTCAATCATAAATCTTGTCGTTGCAAGATTTGATAGGAAGTAATATTTTTATGATTGCTCCAAAATCGAAACAATATCAAGTGATTGCACCGAAAACTGAAACTCCTGCATTTTACGCGATCCACCCCCAAAAATTCAATCGTATTTTTATACCAAATCACGACGATGGCCTTTGACGCTCAGCTTATATCATCGGCTCATTATGTGTCGGGGCGGTGTTCGATTTCAAAGCTCATACAAACACGCGAGCAATGGAGTGTCGTCTTGCTTTAATCGACGATTATAAGTTTTTCAATACACTCGATCGTGTAGCCGAGAGACGTAAACATATTTGAGGCGCCATTATGTTACGGGTAATAAAAACGAATCTCGAGAGGTGATAAAATAGTTGAATTATTTAACTTTGTGCCAGAGAATAAGTCTCTCCGTATGGATACACAACTGTCAATTTTTTTAGAATTTCGATGCCACTTGAACTTCAGTTCTGTATGCACACGTCGTGAGAAATTTTTCTTCAAAAAGTTGCGAGATATTACGTATTTAAATTACGAGGATAATGCTCAAATCTGTGTTCCAATATTGCATCACTCTATACAAGGTAGAAAGAAAATTTTACTAGCAAAAATATTCATCTATAATATTAAATTACAACCGTAATAATTACCAAAAAAAATATTTCCGAAATTCAAGTCGAGTATATGATATTAAAATTCCCAGCTTTTTTGCACGCAGATCCGAGTCGCGCGTGCGTATCTATACGAAAGTGTCCGGCGAATACTTTCAAGTGCCTCAATCGTCGTGGAGGCGCATGAGAAAAAAGCTACACCTCTACATATATTTATATAAACATATACGCACGAGCGATATAGTCATCTCTATATAAGATACCCGAGAGACTCATCATTCTGTCGTCGCGCGTAGAGTCAAAAGGTCCATATTCGCGCTCGCGCGTGAGAAAAGGGAACGTAGTATAAATTTTGTGTAACCCGCCCGGCCACTCTTGAACGGTATTGTAATATACAAACCCAATGAATAGTCCATAATGAGTTTTCCAATCACACATAGTCGTTTAAGCAGAAAATTAATCGAGTCGACGATGTAGGATCTATAAATTTGATCGAGGTGTAGTCGTATAAGAGAAGTTGGAGATTGACATGTAATGGAAAAACTTTAACATAGGCTCGATGTCTTAACTGTCACTCAAGTGCCGTCATTCGAAGTTTAAGAAAGAGAAGGGGGACAATTGTGTTTGTTATTTTTTGGTGGGAACACATATAAGCGCATAGCCACAGATTTGTTCAAGTGGTTCGAATTATATACACGGGGATAAGTGGATTTTTTATTCGACGTATTTTTACATTTTTTCGGATTTTCTTTGTCAGTCGCGCTTTGGTTTTATCAATGCACAATTAGTGTCTAATAATCATCAGGGTTTATTTCATTAAAATACGCCTGCAACAAATGTTAACATTTCTCCATTCCAACCCAAACCGAATCGCTGTCCCTACACCGTCGTCACTATATTGCCACCCACCAAGACACGCCATAGAGAGACAAATTTTCAAAACAATGATTCACTCCTCCTTGAATCATTAACGCAGTAAATCTAATTTTACGGCTCAGCGCTAGTTTCGTGTTTATAATTTCCGAGTCCTACACAAAAGCAGTAAATTTAAAAATTAAACAAACTCGCGCGTCAAAGCGACTTAAAATAACGATCGTTTGAACCTCAAGATCGGCGCGGATGTTGATACGTCAATTTTTAATGACGCTCCCGGGCGCATCGCTCGGCCGCACCGCTACGAAACGTACGCGCGCCGCACGTTTCCTTATAACAGTCCGAAGAATCATCTTCCTCGGTGGCCAGGAGAAAAAGAGCGTTTACGTCGGCATTAAAATCACGGGCGTTTGACACGTGAAACGCATCTATGTAAACTTTGGCGTTTTTTCGCGAATTTTAAAGAAGTTATAAAATTTTCATGTCGTTATTTCTCCACATTTTTCTACGGTTTGGCTGAATCGACCAATGCTAAAAAAATAATATTTATACGTACTGTATTAATATGCATGTATTACTCTGGTTCGTCATGCTTTTTAGTTTAACAAATAAAGATGTTTTCCGATAAATACCGAACGATGCAGACACATGTCTCAATATAATAAAACGTTTTATTAAAAGATGTTTTATACTTATTTTTCATAACTGTGATACGATTATTGAGATAAATGAATTTCAGATACATATTCTTTTAATTTGATAAATTATGAATCTTCGAATAACATGATAATAATTTCAATTACTTTTTTTTTAAATTTGCATTTTGCATCACAATACACTTAACTAAATAAATATTTTTTTCAAAACTTTTGGGTTTAACGTTGGAAAAATTATTGCAGAATAGCATTAAAAATATTAATTATTATAAAAAATTGCTCGAGATGTATAATTTAATCAAATAACTTTGTAGCAAAGTTTGACGTTTCAATAGCGTAAATCCATTAATACTCCGTAACGTAATAAACTATATTTAGGTAGCAGAAAGGCGTATATATGTATGTATGTGTATGTGTGTATATACTGTTCATTACGATTTGATATCTCATAAAAGCCACATGGCCCTAAAGCTTTCATATAGATATGTGCTGTACGCCTGCATGTAACGTAGTATCTTTGCTCCTCTCATTTTTCTTCCCCTTTAATTTTGTTTACTCAAAATAATGCGAAATTGATACACCTCAATTAAATAATCGGATTAAAATATTTCTGCACATTTATGCAACCAGATAACACGACTTAAAAGCTAATTAAGCTAATAGTCTGACGGATATTTATGATGTAGTGTAAAAATGGTACCCATGAATCAATCCCCTTCGTTTTTAAATGATTTAACAAGGATTAAAAGTAAAAATGTTGTTTATTATAGTCTATTTCGTCAATATTTTTTAAATGTTTTCAAAATCAAATCCTACATTTTACAACCAATCATCAATATCATTTTATTATTAAGTCTTTTTTATACCCCAGGTTATTATGCACCTATTCATATCTACTAACATTATTAGTATCAAGTACACTCTTGCAACCGAAATTGACATAAACTTACATGTTTACGCGACCACAGAGCACGATAGTTACAGAAACCGTAATTTGTCTGTTTAAGACGTTTGAATTCATACGAATTTCTCGTACCTATTATACCGGAAGACGCAATTTACCGTCGTAAAAGCCCGCTAATTACGGCATCATCGTTAAAAGCTTATATACGTCGGGCGCGTAATAGTACGCTTAGGAAGCGCTCTCGAAAAATATCGAGATAAAGAGCTGGAATCTTCAATGTTAAAAGTATTTTACCCTTTTGTGAACGGGACAAGGATTAAAGTAACCAGACGTCCCACTCGATATTTCGATAAGCGAAGATCTAGTGGGGCATTTAAATCGATATGACTTAGATAGTACGCGCGTATACACGTATATCCTAGAGTGAGTTTCTGAAATACATGGATGATCATTCAGGATCATTATTTGTGATCCACTCAATTAATTAATAAACCTTATTCTTGCATATCCATGTACAGATATTGGTGGAAAATCAAAGCGAGTCATCTCAAAAAAAAAATAGACGGGGGAAGACATCTCAAGTGGCCCGTCGGTCGCCTCGCGCGCGCGAGTCGACGCGATATGTATAATATATCGTATATACAACGAGCCACTTGGCGAATAACCGAAGGGGTTTCCGAAATTACTCGCGCGAGCGATCGTACATCATCTTGGCTCGCGTGTAATATACATGCGTTTATTCTTCGAAAAAAGTCCCACACAGGCAAGACTAAACCGCTCGTTGACAGTGAAGTTTTACATTGTGATCCAGTAGCCACTTGCTGCCGCTAGATTATACCTCGGCACATGGGAAACTGTTCTGCGCTCGTGCCGCTGCGGTTTAATATATTAACGAGACCTTTCAATGGGGGGACACTTTTTTCAAGAGACTCGAAGAGACTATAGGCTCATTAATCATTCGGAGACGATTAACCACAAAATGAGCTTTTTAATGGACGATGTTTTGATATGTTTCGCGGCTTTTTGAGACTAATCACGATCAACACAGCGAGAAAAGCTGTGGGAAAGCACGAGGTCAATTAACACTCGTGCACAGATCCGCTTTAATTTATATGTGACCGCGAGCGGCACGAGCATTCCCGAAAAACAGCTCGCCGAGGCTGTGCAGCTTTTCTAAATGCTCGTCGAAGCGTTGAAACTTTTTCAAAAATTGTACACGGTTTTCGCACGATGATTTACGAACGTGTCTTGTACTACGCGCTATAACGATAAATATCTCAAAGCAGGGCAGGTATAGGTAGCGGTGTAAGTGCTCCATAACGCGCTGCACGATATCGCGCGCCCGAGCATAAAGTCTCGCTTCGTGGATCGCGTGGAAGCAGCCCTTGACACAAGCCAGAACCCGGGGCCACGTCTTTATTATAGAAAATCTATGTGCGGCTCGCCCGAACTTTACGTTGATTGTCCTTTACGCACGTCGTATTCTATCCGTACTTTGCCTCTACAAGTGGACATTAACTTAACGAGGAAACTTCGATTTTGACGAAAAGTTAACTTTTTTCACATTTTATAAAGCAATGGTGAATTTTCAGGCTGACGCGTGGATCGACATCGCGCGAAAAGCTCGTCACCTCGCGCACACAGAAATGTTCACTCGATAGGCGGATAGGTTGATATATCTCATGGCCGTCGCCACCGCAGCCACCACCACAACGAAAACCGCAAGACCATTTATTAATAAAAGCCTCCACTATAATACAGAGAGAAGTGAGACGAGAGAGAGAGAGGAGCGGGGATAAAAGCGTATCGCTCGCCTCTCTTTCTCCGCGTCCCGCTCTATATTATACTCTAATTGAATTACATCTCTCTCGCGCGTGCTCGTGGGTACATCGTAAGAGAACGAGGAAGAGAGATGTTCATGGGAGCGTACAATGCTCGAGGTACTACGTAGTATAGCGAGCGCGGCTATATCCCCAAAAGTAGTGGGGTTTTCGCAAAAGAGAGAGCGATACTTGCGAAGCTTTAAGCCACGCCCCGAAAAGGAGGCAGAGCCTTGCGAGCCGATTCCGAGATCGAAACGATGACATTTGTTAACGAGACTCCGATCCAAGCGCGTCTTGACGAGAGCTAATCAGCTTCGATAATCGATCGGGTCGCGCGCGATTTTTTTACCCCGATTCAAGTAGCAGCGGCTCCTCGTTATTTTGTTGACTTTTTACCGTGTGCCAGTAGTGCGAGAGTTGTTTGTGCTTTCCGATTATTGTCGCAAGCATTGTGTTGAGCAAAGAGCGAGTGCAGCGAGTTGTTAAGAATTTGTGTACTATACATCGATTCGTGTGTTTGTGTGTGTGCGAAAAATAGACGCTGTGATCGACGAGATTATTTTGCCCTTTAACGTGTGTACATTTGTGCTGAAATCATAGACTATGGGTGGATACGAGACTCAGGCCGATTATTATCCACAGTATGAGCTGCCCTACAACAACTACTCTTCGCATCCATACGGTACGTCAGCGTTTTACGCTGTTGTCCTTCCCAAAAATTCCGCAACTTTCTTTCGAGCCTTTCCTCCAGTTGCGACGTTTCCAATGTCCCCTTTGAGCTTTTTCATTTACATTTTTTTTCTCCGAACGAGACCGGATATTGCATCGTTCGTAAATTATCGCGTCGATACATCGATCTAATAAACTTGAAAAAAAAAATAAATCAAAGTAATTAAATCCATTCAAACGATAATGTCCGATGATCAGGCGTAAATTAGTCGATTGTAACAATTATGTATATTTGTTTACTTTGGGCACAGGTGTCGCGGACATGGATGTTGGATGCGGATCGTCGTACTGGGGAGCAGTGGACTCGGGCATATCGGGCAGCAGCTCGGCGGGCAGTCCATCCGGCTCTACGCCGCCCCTCATCGAGGAAATCGGCATTCAAGACGTATCGCCGATCCAGCAAAAGTACCTGCACACGGCTCAATACCAGTGCAACGTCAGTACAGCTCAGCGAAATTTGCAAGAGCAGTACACGAATTTCAGTTACCAACAGCCGCCACACCATCATCAAGAGCAAAACATGCATCAGCAGCCACAGCATCAAATTCAACACCAACACATGCCCTACCCTCCAAACACAATGTTACAACAACAGAATCCCATTCAACAATCGACGTCGTATCACTACGACATCAACTGTCAAATACAATCACATCGAAGTCAGCAGCAGCAGCAGCAGCAACAAGCAGCACAAGCAGCAACGCAACAACATCAGGAAGCACAGACCCAGAGCGTCGCGGCGATGCTGCAAGAGGAGCACCTGAACAGCGGCGGAGGCTTGGGCTGCCCGCCGACACCCAACACGGCCACCATGACGACGAGCAGCGGTAGCGTGATAATCCGGCCGAAGCGGCGCAACACCGCCAACAAGAAGGAGCGTCGGCGCACGCAGAGCATCAACAACGCCTTCGCCGATCTGCGCGACTGCATACCCAACGTGCCGACGGACACGAAGCTCTCCAAGATCAAGACGCTGAGACTGGCCGCGAGCTACATCGCCCATCTGATGAACGTGCTGAGCAGCGAGGAGGGCGAGGAGCCCCAGAGCTTCAGGGCCGATCTGCTCAGCAGCAGCAGCAGGAGGAGCAAAAATTCCTCGGCGCACTGCGGCGGCGGCATGGTGAGCGCCAACACCCCTCATTCCATCCTAAAGAAATTTTGCACGCTTAACGAACGAATAGCCAAGAAAAATGCCTTTTATGCGCAGAACGACTCGAGGATGATGATGAGCGCGCTGTGCAGCCAAGATCAGACGGCGGCCAAGACCAAGGGCCGGACGGGCTGGCCGCAGCAGATGTGGGCGTTGGAGCTCGACGCGACTGCTCTCCAAATGCAGTGAGAATCTCGTTGACGAACTTGTTCATACGCGCGAAATCTGCCGTTTTTCTTTTTCGATCGTACTTATGAGACGTTTTCATGTCCATTATAAGTAAGTGGGAAAGGTGATGCAAAATAATACTCATGTGTACTCATGGTATATAAATTTGTAAAATTCATATATCATGAGAATGTTCATAATTATTGTAAGCTGTTGTAAATACGATGTTATAATAATGCAACGACGCATCGTGAATATTATATGAAAAATAATAGTCACGAATTCGGGCTGCGTGTCGCATTTTTTATTATTATTATTATTTTCATTGAAAGTGTCGCGGTCACTTGAAAATTACCGAATACTTTTAATGAATAGCAATTTTTATCATTGTTTAGCGAGTAAATATGTGTGATTACTATCGATGTAAGTTATCTCATTGAAACAAAATACCAAAGCAGTATGAATAGTTCGATAAAAAGAAGGCGATTGTAAATTGATTTTAAATATAATTATGGCGTTATATTCTTTTTCGGCATACATCTAATGAATATTGTAAAAATTTTATAAATACATTGTACATACTATAATATAGTAAAATTATTATTTAGAATAAAATTATTTACGATATGAATTTAACAGCGATCCATGGCTTTTTGAGACTCAATCATTTAACCTCCTCGATCAATTTGATCCACACCATAACGCGCTGTAAAGGATTGTAAGTACGGTAAGATCAGTTTTTTCTTAATACAATCATCGGGTATCACGTTTAATTTACTCAGACTGTACGTATTACAATCAAGTTTCGTTCAGCATTGATGAATTTATGATGGTGCGAAAAGGTGCGTTCTGACTTTCCTTTCTCTAGGAAATTTTAAACCTTTGAACTGAACTCAAGGATCAAATTACAAAAATTCAGGATCATATCCGACGGCAAACTGTGTATTTGTCCGATTGACTCGGAACATTTTGTTTTTTCCATTGCATAACTAGCGATATTTAAGGTCATTGCATAGTAACGAATTAAGCTATTTTTATATATTAATACATTCACTTATTAAATTATGTATGTAAAAATAATTTCGAAGCGATAGCCGCCTTATTCTAGATCGACAAACCAACCGACGCTTCCTTGTGAAGTTCGATGTATGCAGCTGTATTTCACGACTCGGGCTCTTTCCTCGTTCATACGACACGCTGCTACACACTAGTATATTATGTGAGCGACAGAAGTAATAGGAAGTTTTTACATCGCGCGACTCGATTTTTTTTTTTTTTTGATACAAATATCTGTAAACCTCCGCCCCCGCCGTGTCAACTGCGGAAATCGAATCATCATTCGGCTATTCATGATCGATCGATGAGCGTTCCACGACGTGCACTCGAATTTCCGCGACACGTGCATTGTATGTGGTAATAAAAATTGTGAAAAATTTTTGAATAACTCTGATAAACGTTATTATATATGCACGCACAACAGCTCGTTACAACGATCGCAACATCATGAATCAATGTCACTTATACTCGCTCAAGGACAAGAAACGAATAAATAATAATAAATATCGTAGGTTTGATAAATACTCGTAAAAATTATAATAAGATGTAATGCGTGCGATTTGCCCGGGTGCGAAGTGTATAATTTAGATTTGAGCTGCTTATTTATGACGTTCATCGCGAATGATTGTGTTTACACGAGGGTTTTGTGCACTTTGTGTACGTGTGACTCTCGCTTGCAATCGATACATTATTATACGCGCAAAAGCTCAACGACGAGAAAATAATTTTTAAAACAATTATTCCTCGTGCCGCTCGTGTACAGCGCAATAATTGCTCCACGGCGAGATTTTCTCCTCTTTATCGCAATTATTTTTATCCTCGTTCGCGTTGCACGATTTTGAAGAGAAAAAGAACGAACAAAAGACTCGCGGCTGGGCGAGAGAAAAACGCGATGGAAGCGAGGAAAGCTAAAGGTTTTTGCACTCGAGAGGCGCATCGTACTATGGCCGCCGCAGCCACATAGCCAGATAGATATATAGAAACGGGAGTATGGCGTCGAGAGCTCAGAGGTCGGTGAAAGGAAATTGGTTGAAAGCGGCGTGCGCGCTCGGGGCGGAGCCTATACAAGCGCGTAACAAGCGTTTGAAGAACCAAAGAAAAGCTCGATCCAGCGACGCGCCGCTGCTACAGCTGCCTGCGCATACATATTGCACTTTGTTATTTGGCCCCGTCGCTCGAGTCTATTTGTACGCGGAAATTCCTACGGAACGATCGTGTTTGCACAAACGTACTTTGCACCGCGCCAATTTATACGTTACAAAAAGCCACAATTTTTTTCCTATGTAAGCTTCAACTTAATTGATGTTAATTACGCAAAATAAAAATCCCGCATAGGAGCAAAAGATACCCGTAGTTGTATTGTAAATCCGTCGTCGGGGATATTTAGGATTTCGAACTCGTACTAACGCGCTTCAATTTACTATTAACATGGTAAACGATAAATACTTTTTTTATTCCGCATTATATAAGCAGTAAGTGCGAAAAGACGAGGCGACACGTCGGCGAGCCCACGAGTGTCTTTGGAATTTATATTCGCGTGTAGATGACGCAGTCCAGATATCATTCAACGGATCTACGAGCACACACGTATACAAAAACCCTTTGCTCGCGCGCGTACATCAAGTTTTAACGAGGATCATTGGGCCACGAGTTCGATACTCTCTTTACTTCGTATAATAAATACGCGGATCGTTTATTTTTGATCATGCCGTGGCGAGTGTTTATGCCCCTGACGGAAGTCGATTCACCGATCTAAGAGAAATTCCGCGCCATTGTTAATAATCTCATGTGGAATTCGAGTGGATTGTTGTACATCGATTGCATTAAATAAGCTCGCAGATAAGAATTTGCATCAACTGTATAATACCATCGTTGGCATCGAATAAAATAGCGAATATCTCAAACAGAGAAAATAAAATAATAGTATCGCAGAGAGAAATGACAAAGCTCTTGTGTGTCGTTTATAAGCACTTCAATATGCGCGTGAAAAGAGGCGTCAGCGCGATTACAGTACGCTAAACGCACGCAGGGAGCATACATGAGAAAAAAATGCTATGAAGAGAATATTTGTTTTCTCGGGAGTCAAGTATCGGCCGGTTACAATTTTTCTCTCTCGCTCTCTCTCTCGACTCGCTCGCTGATGGTTTTATTTATTCGATGAAATTTTTTGCTCCTTTTTCTCGACGCGCGCATAAATAAACATAATTACGTACATAGTGTCAAACGAGAAGTAGAATCAGCAGCGGCTTACGCGACGAACGACGAGATCGTCGATAGAAATTATAACTTACGTGGCGTGATCGCTCGCGAAAAAAATCGTTATCTTTGTAAGGTCGAAGGCTATAATGTTTTTTGCGCCAACAGTTGCGTTTTACGATGTTTGGGCACGCGAAATCGTATCACTGTTAAAAGCGCGCAAAAACGCGCGTAGCCTTTCCGTCCTTTTTCCGCGTATCGAAATGAAAATCCCCGCGAGAATCAGTTCGTCATACCACCGATCGAATCGAGATAAGTGTATTTTCTTATAAACATTCCATCGACTCAGCTAACCCGAAAAGGTAAACATAGGCAATGACAATTAGTTTACACGGAGATTTTCCTCTGCTTTCGTTGATTACGAGTGACGTTTCGCAATTGATTCACATTGTTGATATTTACGATTCACGATTCGTTAGCTTTTATTATACTTTGAGCTCTCGTCCGCTTGACGATCGATCATAGTGTGTGAATTAGGAAATTAGTGTAAACGATTAGTAATAATAAAAATAATCGTGCCAGCATCGACGCATGTAACATCGGTGTCAGTCTTCGTCACGTTGTTCCGTAAATATTGGGTGGAAATGTCAGCATAGCTGCATGTAGCTGCGTATAGCGCAGGTGGCGCCCTGCCCGATCGCACTGCGCAGCTTTCTACTTTCGCTCTGCGCGTGGCTATATGTATGTATAGCTATATCTATCTAGCGAAAAAGCAACTGGCTGAGGGTGAGAGAGAGAGAGAGAGCTTCACCGTCGCGTAGTCGAGCCGAGCTTGCGATATAGCAGCAGCAGCAGTTGTGTACAATATTGCGTATAAGCTGTATCGCGCTCAGCAATGACACAACAGAGTGGCGGGGGGATTATAATATGTCGAGGCTTTTGTCGATACAGCCCTTACCGAGGTAACATCAGCAGCGAACAAGCTCGAGCTTGCGGCAGCCCCCTCTCGTGCTTGCGTGAGGGGGAGTGGGTGGGTGGGTGGGTGGTCGACTACATAGCTCTCTCTCTCTCTCTCGTTGTAGGCCCACCTCGCGGCACGACCAACGAGGAGCTTCTGTTCGCCTGCTCGGACTTTTACCAGCAAGCACAAGTGTGCCGAAAGCATAAAAGTTTCTGCCGATAATGCGCTCTCGAGTGCGCGCGCGCGCTTATACGTACAACACAGCGAGCAACGGTGTGCCCATGTATACCCGCGACGCGATACGGTGACAGTCGCGAGCGAAGGAGGAGTGCAGCGGAGAAGGACGAGGAGCCGCTTACGTTATACGTGCATGTACGTAAGAAAAAGTCCACTACGGCACGGCCGACGAATAATCCACTCGCAGCGTTGCTGCATGAAATCGTCGTACACATCTGCCGCGCGATACGTAAGATCGAGGGAGAGAACAAGAGAGAGAGAGAGAGAGAGAGAGAGAGAGAGAGAAAAAGGCTATCGCGCGTAGGTACACTCGCGAAAGAGAGAGAGAAGCGGAGATGACGCGCGTGGCACAGCGCTCGGCGAGCGACAATCTATCAGGAGTCCAAAATTCTCGCAGAGCTGCCCTACGATACTACCAGCTATCTACTGCTACATATATAACGCGTGCGATTTCGCATTACTCCGTACACCCACCACTGTGCTCTTGCGCGATATATATAGCGCGCTTTCGATCTATATTTGCTCCCTCGGCCGCCTGCCTGGGTCCCCGCGCCCGCTATACGTACGCGCATGTGCGTTAAAGGCTGAGCCGCCCGTCCCGTCCGTCCGTCCATCCGTCCGCTTCTATATAGGTATGTATATATTAGGTATTATATCGAGTAGGCACATACGCGTGTACACTGCACGATGGAGTGTGACTCATCCGCGCGTGGGCGTACTGAGCGCTTCGCGATACGGGGAGGTCATGACGAGGGTGAAGCTAGTCTAGAAAGAGTAATCCACCGAACGAGGCAAAAAAGTACTCGCGCGCCTAGCGCAGGCTTATACGCAGCGATTGCTTGTAGCATTGCGAGCTTTTTTCGCGTTTGTACCCTTTGACGCACCCGCTATAGATAAGATTGCACTTGCTCGAGTGTCGAATTCGTAGATGCGAATGGTCATTGCGGATTTCGATGTAAATATGCAATGACAACAATGATTTTGAGTTCAAAAACGTATGTTGACTGGTATTCAAAATTATTTTCTTTCAACGATGTAATCTTTAACGATTTTGCAAATACAATGATAGAACTTAGAACTCATGAGCTGGCTCGTTTCGTACTCGATCATTTATAAAAACGTATAAACGGAACAACTGACTGCAGACGTTCTTCAATTAGCTCGGCTATCTCGTCTAGACGAATAAAGCTTTAAGGACTCGTAGAGAAAATTGCCGAGAGTTTAATTAATCATTAAGACTGCTCATCTCAATGTCTTCGTAGAAACGCTTTGTTCTGCGTAAATCCGTCTATAATTTGACGTTCGACATTTTATTGCTCTAGGAAAGCTGATTTCTCTAATGTGTTGATTTCGAAAAATCACGATGAAAATTTTCACGAAGGAAATTGAAATAACCCGAAGAAAATCAAAATATTTACGTCCAGTATGCCTAGGACGTTTTCCAAATGCACAGTTGATTAATATTTTTTTGAAAAATTGCAAATTGTTGAATGTTTGCGTGAAAAGCACACAAACAGACGTGCTCGAGCGTGAAAGGCACTTAGAAAGCTTCGCGTGAAAACTAGTGCTAACTTTGCCGAGCTTTGAAATAGCAGCTTTCACCGAGCAGAGGCACATGAAAATCAAGAGATAATGCGGTCTAGCCTCGCTCGGAGTTACCCCAACAGCGGCGGTGGCAGCGGCGACGGTGGCTGTGGTGTGATGTATACCTATTTTCACGCCCGCTAGCATGCCGCAAACGAGGAGGGGATCTCAGAGATACGGCGTGACGCGCTGGCTCCCGAATGGCTTGGATTTTTCGTCTATCGCACGCTGTGCTCTCTGATGGCCATACGATCACGAGTATCGATTGGACTATTTACACATCGGTACATCGAGTCCTCGCATTGCACGTTTAAAATATCGTAATGATTTCTTTCCAATGTAGCTGATTTATTATTGTCGATGGAAATTGGGAATTACGCAACTAATTGATTAGAAATTAGAAAATTGAAAAGGAAATGATATTATTTTTATCGGATTGAATAATGGCAATAAAAAGTATTAAAGCAAAAAACATTTCATTGATATTATTTGCATTGGTATGTTTGAGCACTCAAGAATTTCCGACTGTGTGTAGAGCTGACCAAGACTCGACTCTCGCTACACAAATACATAGGTATATATCTAAAATTAGATCATTAAGCAATGTACTGGTATAGTTTGTGATTCCCCTCCTTCTAGAGTGAAAATAGATATCATAGTTTTACCGGGGGGTACGGCAACTTTTAATATACCTCTGAAATTTTCATGCTTCTCTGATCTACAAAAGCTCATGTTTGAAAACTCATAGTTAAGCTTACTCATAGAGCTTGTTCATAAAGCTTGCTTGACTCCAGTAGCATCAACGCGCGGCTTAATATAATTTTGTTATTATGCATTACAAGAACTAAACACTTAATTAAAAACAATATATTTTTTTAGCAACAACTGAACATACAATTGTTTAAAAAAATCCTTAAAGTAGAAATAGAAAAGGTTAAAGCACGATTCAAGCTTTTGAAAAGGGAACTTCCAGAACAATGATGATAAACGGCTATATAATTATAATGAACAGTTTTTTTAGAAAAAGATTAATGAATTTAAAAAATTTAAACAAACATCGAATGTATAAGGTTGTTTACAATTTCATTAAACACCAGTGACATGAAAATTTATGGTAAATTGTTCAAAAGTTTTTCTTTTATCATGCGCACATAGATCAACGTCACCGACGCTCAATTTGAGTCAAAAGTCCTGACAAATGAGCTTTATCGAATCAGGATAGCATGTGGATTTAGAGCTACATTAATAAAACGACCCCCGTAAGAGGTTTAAAGTATGTCATATATAATAGATATATGTTATATATTATTACGCGTAGTACAACAGCTGTCTTGTATTCTTAATCGATATCTATACATGCATGGCGCGCACCACAATACACGTGCAGCGAACTCATATGACTCATGTACAATGTCCGAGATTGTATAAGTTGTAGTGTCGAATGTGAAAAGTTGCTGATAAAGTCCAAATTGAAGATCAATGAACAGACTAAAGTTTCGATTAAAAAAAAACTGAGTTTCGAATAAGTTTCATCGAAAATTTTAAATTCACGAAACTAAAATCACTCGCATCTAAATACGAATTTCTAATAATATGTAAAACTTTGCGATATTTGCAAATTATACGCTCCATTACTTTCTTAAAAAAGAAAAAGTGTCGAAGCCACAGCAGGAAGGTAAGGGATACGACGCCGTAGGATGGAAAAGTGGGTAAATGAAATAAAGTGAAAGGGAGCGCGAAAGCTCGCAAGTCAAGACGCGTGTAGGTGTCAAAGAACGTAGAGGAAAGACACCGAAGGATTTGCATGGAAACAGCCACACACTACGACGCACGACGCGGGACTAAAGAAAAAGTGGCGTATTGAGTCATCCGGGTAATTGATACAAATCGCGTACACGGGAAAGCGTGACGGAATTTCCATCGCGCGGGATCAAGCAAAGCTCCCGGGCGAAGGTATAAAAGCTCTCGATCGGGACTCGAATCGAAGGAGACGAGTACGGGTCCTCGAACGTTGACGACTGTGTTGATTTTATTGTTTGTGCTGAGATACGAGAAAAAAAGTTGACCCGAGGTTTTCTTCAAGTGCTTCGACATCATGTACAGAGTTAGAATACGCACGACCACGATTATCGCATCGGCACTTTTCATGAGCGCCATCGTCGTGGACACGGTCAGCGCTCAATACGGTAAATCAACCACCTCAGTTTCTTACATTATTGCATTTTTTCCTTATAGTAACAAATTATGGTGATACTAGCATTAAAAATACTATTAGAATATGTTGGAGTCTCACATGTACTGCAAGAAATCAAACATTTAATAAAGTTTCATTCAGGTTCTACTTTTTCTTTTAAGCTTCATTTGAGCGAGCGACGCAGAAGCTCACTCGCGAGAGCTTTCGTGAAAGCTCGATGAAATTTCGGGACTTTGTTAAAAGAGCTTTCAATAAGCAGGAAAGCATGAGCAAAAAAGAAGCGAATTTTAATATATTTTTATACTCTCGCACGTATAGGTATACCAAAGGCCAACCCCCAAAAATATAACTAACGACTCTGAGGGGTCTGATCGGAGCTATATAAACGCCAGAAATAGCCGGACACATAATTTGTGGCTGTGTATACATTAGTAGATTCACGAGACACGCAGCATAGAGAGTCGCGCGGACAGACACACCCACGAGTGAGGCAATATTATTCGAGCGCGGGATGGTCATATTTGAATGATGAAACGAATTGCTGAAATTGGAAACATTGAATTTATTCGACACAAATGAACGCGATCAAATATCATAAACTTGATTTAGCACACGTCTCTGCTACTTCATGAAGATTTCTCGTTTGTGATTTTTTACGTTCGCTCATAAATCATAAATTATAAGAAAGAGTCTGTGATTTGACCGAATGTTATTTTGATTATTGTTGAAGATCGTATAATTTTGATGATATAATAGGTTTATAATTTCAACCGAATAAACAATGCTCAAAGTAATGTGAAAAATATTCATAAAAAGAGTTAACAACTACAGACAGTCCATCTGGTCAAGAGGCAATCGAAGGTCCTCGAGTGGAGCGCATGCACGCCGAAGCATCGGACCCCTGCGCGGCTGGCCAATGTCTGACCCAAAACTCGGCCAGCCAGCTCGGTGGCATGTGGTTCGGCCCGAGGTTAGGCAGGAGACGACGCTCCGGCGGCCAAGCCGAGGACAAGCTGCTGCAGCTGCCCTCGTCGAGCGTCTCCGATAAGAAAATCCAACAACTCAGCGAGATACTCGCCGCGGAGCGACCCTCTTGGGGCATCATCACTGTACCAGGTGAGCATCTATTCTATCCACCCCTTGAATCGAAATTGAAAAGTAAACTTCTTTTGCCTAACCAGCCGAGACGGAAGCGCAGAGTCCATCGTTGCGGGACGGCATGAGCAAAAATGAATATCCCCGAGAGCCACCCTTCACCCCGCGTTTGGGTCGAGAGCTCGAGGATCGTCTCGTAGGGATGCAGCTGGCCCATAGTTTTCTCGAGCGGCTCGACAATAAGCTCGATATCGATGATGCCACGGATGGCCAACAGCAGCAGCAAGACAACTCGCAACCTAAATTTCCACCCAGACTTGGCCGCCGGATTCCGGAGCGCGAGCTTCGACGAATCTTCCGCAGATTCAAGATTTACTTTTGAATGGATGATTGTGTCTAAAGATACTATTTATGATATTTATATTTTAATTCTCGTTGCATTTTGAAATTTTAAATCGGAAAAATAATAAAAAATAAAAGTACAAAGCTGAAAAAAAAACTTCGAGGTGAAATTTTTTTTTACCATATGGTGACTTTTGTGTATGATCGGGTTGCCATTATTCCCTCAGAGTAGTCTTCTTTTCGTGCCCATGACAAATTTCACACCGTTTTCCAATGATAAGATTAGTAGTCAAAAGTTTAATAGTTACACGGGGTTAAATATATTTATAATAACTCCACACTCACTGTGAAACTCATTGAAAAGTCTGATTTGTGACTAAAGAAATGTTTCTCAAAACTTGCCCTATAGAGGAATGTTGAATTCGTAAAATAAAAGTAATTTTTATAAAGATGAATAAAATAAAAAAATAAAGCTGATTCTTTTGATTTACAAAAGTGCGGCTTAAAAAGGAAATTTCTTCTATAGTTTTCGGGTACATCGATTTTTTTTCTCCAAAAACTTGTAGTAAACAATTCTTTTTTTAAATTTGTATGAGTGACTTTTATTAATGCAACAAATTATCATACTGAATATAATAAATATTAAATCGCAGCACGAGTGTATAATTATAAAAGTAGTTCATAGATGTTGTAAGAATCATGTAAATTGAAAAAAATACATTCCATGAAAAATCGTCTTTGAATCTTATAATCCATTGCTTACTAAATTTTTTTATGCGGGAAAAAGGTTTTTTGAGTTCTTCATTATTTTTATCAGTAAAATTTGTTTCATAATTAAATTATCATTTTAATCAAGTGAATTTTTTCATTTTCTTGTTTAATGATTACAAACAAACATGGTGAAAAGATTAAATGAATAAAATCAACTGTTTTGCGTTTTTTTGGCTTTTATTTTATATTCACAAACTTTAAAATTTTTAATTATATTATACACATACACAAGATCCAAAATTAGACACATGTTACAGATTATCATTCATAATAAATGTTCATAATTCCCATTTTCATTGATTCATCGACACATTTTTGTCAATCAATCGCGTATCACAACTTCATCGTAACGCATCGATGTACAGAATAATTAATCAGCCTAAATCATACATATTTTTGGATTTTTCATTCATACTTCGGAACTATTATTCATTTATAAACTAATTAACCTAATTTTCGTTTATTAACTACATATAAATAAATATTTACATGGATGACGATTGCAGTGCACAATTTGCGAGTGTTCGGTACAATATCATATTATTTTTTAGCTATCGACATCAGTTTTATTTGTTTTTAAATTATTTATCTTAACTTTACACTGAGTTTTGCATTATTTTTTGCACTTCGTCATTGCTGTGCTCTGTAATTAGAGTCTCTGTTTGATTTGTTGTTTCAATTCTATTTTATAGAAACAGAAAAACTTCGGTCAGATCATCTCGCAACTTTATTGCTTCAATTAAAATTACAAATCCTCAGTATATGCCCATACAAATAGAAGCTTCATTATAATATAGATGCAATTACTACGTTCAACGATACTTGAAAATATTTCAGGTACTTTACAAACAATTATTCTCATCAATTTCGTTGAAAAATTTCTAATTACAAATATAAATACAATAATTCGTATAAAAATAAAGCTGCGTTGCAAGAAGCGACGGTTGATTTTTTACAAACAATTTAGAGAAAACGTGACCGAAGTTCTTGTGTAAATTTGCATTAACAAATACACAAAAAAAAGTAAAAATCTCGTCGTATTGGTCGTTATTTTCAAAAAACCTCATCAATTAGTATAGCGCTGTCGTTTTCCTTTTGCAGAAAATATAAAGCTCAAATTACCGTTTTCTTTAATAATTATTTAAGTATTTTTCGTATTCATCGTTATTTTCATCGAGTACAAATACGGGGAATAATGTAAAAATCGTAAAAAAAGGCGCTTTACATGATTATAACCGGTATATAAGTTGATATTCCTTTCACGTTAAAGGCACTATCGCGAAAAAAGTAAAGTTTCGGACCTATACTCTACATGTAATTTAGTAGTACGAGAGTCAAACTAAACAATCTAATGAGATTATACGCATTTTATATATACTTATTATTTATTTTTATTAAATTATTGTTAGAAAAGTGACTTTACAACTTCTTTATGAGAATCAAAGAATTTTTTTGCTTAAATGTGTGCTACTGATTTAGTATTTATCCTTGGAAGTAAATAATAGAATCGTTCTTCAAAAAAAATTGACGAACACTCTTTTACAACGTATTAATATACACCTATTTATTTTCGAATTATTAAACTCATTTTAAATGAATAATCTATGATTATTATGCACACGCGACATTTTATCAATCACTATAAACATGACTAATTACTATATTTTCAAATATATTATATTATTTAACATTTTTTTATACATTTTTTTTGTTATCACTAACCATAAACCTCACCAAACTATATGCATAATTAAGTCAAAGCACATTACACGTCAAAAAAGTCGAAGCTTTTGTTCGAAGTTGACCATAGTGCAATATTTTATAGTAATTTATACAACACTATGAGTAGGTAAGTTTTTATGGTGTTTTTTTATGTACACATTACAAAGCTGAGATCTCCTTTTACATTGTGGCGAACCAGCATTGCCTTGACTAAGTTTTTTAATTCAATAAAAAAAGTAGTGTTTCTTATGGCAATCAAAAAAAAAATTTTTTCCTCTCAAATTTTTTTCATACTTCGAAATCGAAAAATGGTGCAAGCGAAACTGAATATATATGAATTAAAATATATTAATTTCGCAATTATTTCATTCCGACGCATTCGCACAGCCATCAAGAGAAATCAATGCTTTTGAAACCAGTATTTCGTTAATGCCTGGCCCCGTTGGGAGCTCAGCGCGAGCACTTAAACTTATTCTACAAAGAATCAAATCTTCAAGACTCTTCGCTATCAAATAAATAATGTATTTTCTCTATAGGAACATAACGAGATATAGAATTTGCTTGTGTATAGCAGCTCTGCAATTGAACATAACATCTTTTTTTAAGTTGATTTTTATCTAATTTAAAAAATTGACAACATATATTAACATTAATCCTAATTGTCAAAAAAGGAGTTAATGGTATGAATTATGAAATTCGGTATGTATACTAAAAATACGATTAATTATGTAAAGATTATAAAATATACACGTAATATTCAAATCAACATGAATAAGGCTATGCAATAATATAAATATATAAATATATATTTATGAAAATCATAAAAGAATTCTTGCACTTCTACTATCAAAGATTGATTCTTTGGGTTTAAGTGCAAATCGCGCGGAACGCTTCTAGATAAATCAAGGAGTCAGTAATCGATATTGAACATGCGCATAGACAAGTAGAAGCAGTCACTCGCTTACGACGAAAATGTATATGTAAACAATAAATATAAACCTACTTCACTGAATTCTACTCAACGCAAGTTTTAACAATGCTTACATTACTATACTATTTACAGGATAACGGTGTGAAATGGCTGTTTTGGGCCATTTTTCTATACTCGCAATATTCTCGCAGTAATTCATCGTATCATTAGGCGAGTATATCTGAATATCACCGGGGCGTAGCGCGTTAATTGCTCAGTCATGTGATAATGCAATAATTTCCACAATAATTTACAGAACTAATTTTTCAATACATTCTAATCAAAAAAAGAAATTAAAATGTCGTTCAGTGTGAAAAAATAAATTTGTAAATTTTTCATAATTTCATATATGTACAAAAAGATTCAAAAATATCTAATTATAAAAAAAAAGTTAAATTATACGGTTATAATTTGTGTCAACAATTTTGACTAAAAGTGATGATAATCAAAATGATCTTTCATTTCTCAATTTTGATAATTAAGTAGATCAATTACAAGATTGTAGTGATCCTTTTATACTATGCATAATTTTTTTGTATTTTTACTATAAATTTCTCATTAAAAAATCAGAAACAACGCTACGCCTCTTCTTCTTGGCCGTTGAGCTTAGTAAAGGGTCACGTGATTTTTAAATCTATCGGAGAAATTTTTTTGTGTATTTTTTCGAATACATTTTTTATAAGTGAATAAATAAATGTAAAAGAACGATATCTTACTCTAGTCCATTAATCAATAACTCCAATTTTAGGAGCATAAACATGGTTTATCAAATTTTATTAGATTGACTCGGATTATAACTTTATCATGAAAACAAATAATATCACTCAGAGTCAATTGTAAATCACTAATGGGTACAAAATTTAATAATAATAAAATGTTCCAAATGTTCTGAAGGTTTAAACATTTTTCATGACAAATAATTTGGAAAGGTCTTTGACGAATAAAAGTTTTTTCCAAATTTGAAACAAACACACGTTGTGCAATAAAAAATTTTTTTCATTATTAGGCCTTTAGATGCTTTACTGTGATTGATTTATTAAATCAATCATCTTACTGTTTCATCCATTTCAATCGTTTTTATATAAAATATGATAATATTAAAGTTTGAACGATAAAGGATGAAAAGATAGAAATAAAGCACAAGCAAAGTTTGCACACTCAAGATTTTCGTACTATTTAACGTACTCTTCGTGTGGTTTTGTATTAGAAAAAAAAAAAAAAAAAAAAAAACAATGAAGTCGATCCACTATGGAAGACTACGATTGTTGTGTTTGTGAGTAAAAGATAGTATAATCTTCTCAACTATTTAGTCGTAAAAACGGTTTTCCGATTATCTATATTCAAGTCAGTTATGCAAATGAATTTCGATTGAATGTGATTCAAAATGAAACGTCGAAATCCATTTATGTACAAACGGCAAATTTGTGACATTTCAAAAAATGAAATTATTCTTCATTGAGCATCATTTTGATTCAAAATGATCATCTTAATTTGGTCAATATGATCAATTTGATTCCAATCTAATCACGTAGACGCATCAAATTTTTTCGCTTATTAAGATATCTTTTCATTAGAAAAATTAATTTTCTCGTCTTATCGATCATAAACTAAGATTGAAAAAGCTAATCTTTTTCAATTTTTCGCTGGATTGACAAATTCTTGAGCTCGATATGAGCCAGAATTATGCCGACTTCTCGATTGAGGTACTTTACCCGAAAACGAACCTGTTCGTTTACGATATTGTGTGAAATTTACGTTCGGTCTGGATTGATGATGTACCGAAGATGAGCCATTTTCTACTACGACATATGCACTTCCACTTTCAGAAATGCTTCTATTACGCTGTAAAGCTGGAAGATTTTGCTTCGTACGTAGTTCATTTATTTCCGGCTGTTCATAAAAAATATATATTAATAAATTTTTATTCGAGAAAATTTGAGAATATTTTTAATATTCAGAATTTATTTACCTCTTCTACTCTAAAATCTTCGATAGTCTTAAAATTGCTAAGGTATTCTTTCAATTTTGGCTTAACTTGAAGGTGTGCCGACTTGGGATAATATTTCATGAATGCCCAGAATTTTTCCAAGCCATAGAGTTGCCCTGAAGTATTATTAATAAAATATAAATGTTAATACAAATACAGATAAAAACTCCTGATTAAAGTAAAATGCAAAACTTACCTATCTCGTAATCTTTGATGGCTTCTTCCTGGAAGTCTTCATAAAGTTCCTTTCTGAAACGTTTTTCAAGGCCGTAACTGTAGAAACGGAAGAGACATTCAACTCCATATCGATAACCATTAGCAGCATCCTCAAAAGCCAGTGTTTTGAATTCTTGATACATCTTACTATGGAAATTTTCTCTCAAGAAGAAAGACCAGAATCGGAAAAGAGTATTCATTTCTTGAGAACCACCAGCACCAAGTTGTTTCCGTTCTGAAAATAAGTACATTTTTTTGTTACATTGTGTTTTTTTTTCAAATTAGTAGTTCTAAAGTTATTATTTTTCTCAGAAAAGTTTTAATCAACATTTTTCTTTCTGTCGGGAAAAGAAGACAAAAATAAGAATTTTTCATCATTTTAAAGTAATTTTTAAAAATTTCAATTAACCTCGAATACAAATATTTACCTTTTAAACATCTTATACGGAATTTATGGTATTCCAGCTGTGTGAAACCATTTTGTTTTAGAAGTGAATGACTAGGGTGTTCAAACGGAGGTAACGATTGACTTCCATAACTATTGGATAGATGACCATCATTTGGACTGGTACCTGTACTGCTACTGAAAATCGAAGTAATTTTATTATTTTCAATGAAATTAATCTAAAACTGAGAGAGCCAAAAATATTCAACTTACCTAGTGGATAACCTTCTAGGTCTATGCTCGTGAACATCCATAACCCAACCCACATGGTGCTCCACTGGGGGGTTTTTACTATGCCTTGTTTTTCGTTTACGAGCAATGCAAGGATCGAGATTCGATTCCTTACCAACTGGGAAAAATCTTGGAATTTGTTTTGGCCTGATGACTGTTCGACGAGCTAAAAGATCGCGCCTACTATTATCGGCATTGTTCAACACTTTCGATGATTGAGACGGAGCACGATTCTGTACAGTATTTGGAGGTGGTGGAGGTACAGCAGGATTCGTTTTGTTTTGCTGGGATTTGGAAGAAAGTCGGTCAAATTCTTCTTTACTTATAACATTAATAGTTTTATAACTTCCCGACGAAGAAGTTGCTCCATCCTTTAAAAAAAAAAAATACATTTTTATAAATATCTTAAATTTTCAAGTATCTTTATCTTCTAGTATAGTAATTTTAATTCAGTTATAGTTTTTCAACAAAGCTCTTCTGCCGGGAAAAGAAGACAAATAAAAAATAATATCATCATAGGAATATTATAGATAATATTTTAAATTAAAAGCAAATTGTATATAAAAATTGAACTAAAAAATTACCCTTTGATTCCATAAATCTTCTTCGTAGTAATAAAGACCATCATTGATAGTTTCAAATAATTCTTGCGAAATTTTGACTCGAGAAGTCCAATCACCTGTACGATCGTATCCATCGTGCTTCGGGACTCTAGTCGATGCTGTATTCTGAGTAACGATCAACAGCTTGTTTATATCATTATCAGAAAGTTCGAAATCTTCTTCATCTTCCGACCTTAACATAGCATAAATCGACTATGTAATAATTGTAATGTAAATAACAAATATTTAACTTGTAAAATATCATACCATTCAGAGAAAGCATTGTTGCGACCAGAAGCAGGCATTTCCAAATCTTCATCAAACTGAAAATCCAACTCTTCTTTTTCTATTTCAATGCTCGGAGGTTCGGTTTTATTGTCAGTCTTTTCTTTTGAAGGTTGCTTCATTTTTTTCTTAACCTGTGTCAATAACAAAATGAATAAAATACCTGCTAAAATATTCCATTTACATAAGGGTAATTCTGCTAGTTACTTGTGATTTGATTTCCAATTACAGTATTAATTTCTAATTTTTATGGATTGTAATTCAATGAAAAATTGACTTTATACATAAATGTTCAATAAAAGTGGATATTTTTATAAAAACGTGCAAATAGTTTCAATAAGTAAGAAAATGAAGAAAATAAAATAGGCTGACCAAATTATAAACTTACCCATTAAAAAAATTTTCTTTCAAGTTTTTCAAGTAAGCCAAAACATACGCTGAACTAATTTACCAAATAATATTGAAAGAAACTAGTATGTTACATTGAATAATGGTTGTTTTCAAAAAAATTTAATGCAAATTTGATGTAATTTGAGATGGTTTAACTGTATCAAAATTATCTCATAACTATCTTGATATTAATCTCGATGCTAATAAAATTGATTGATTAAATCTAATTGTCAAGATTAATAATCAAATTTACAACCTATTTTTTAAATTCACGAACTTACATTGTTTACATGAGAAATCGTAAAGAAATGTTTTACCTCTAATGGTGGAGAATAATTCTTAACATATTAGTTTAATAATTTAGTTTAAAAAAATATAAATAAACTTACAACTAATACTAATGTGCTACTTAATTCTATTTTAATCAGATTTTATGTCAAAAAAGCGAAATAAATAGTTAGTTTAATAAAATACCTATAATAGCAATTTAACTACTTAAAACTTTAATTTTATCTACAAAAATGCTCAAGTTAAAACCAACAAATAGAAAGTGACTAATTTGAATTGCTGAATTTATAATGCTAGTGACGTAAAGTTATTTATAAGATTAACTAATAAATTAAAAGTTATATTTTAGCTTTCAAAAATTTTTTTTTAACAATTTTTAAATGAGCATTATCTAATAATCTCATATCAATAATAGAAAGATAAATTAGTCTTAAAAAAAAAAAAAAAAAAAAGAAAAAAAATCTTATACTATTCTTGCCTACTTACTACAGAGTTGCTAAATGAATAAGTGGTACGATCCGTAATATTATTGATCCTACTAATTAAAATTATTCTTGAGCAGTAAAGCACTAGCAGAATACCTTACTATTAGTATTCATGAGAAAAATAATGTACCTCTTGCCACTTATTTTCTTGCTGAGCAGCCTCGCCATTCATAAGTGGTTCATTATTTTGTTGTGTTACTAAATTTATCGCGTCAATCGTGTTGTTTTCGTCATTTGCACTAATATTAACAATTTTTTCTATTGGTTGAGGTTGTTCCGTGATCCCATTGATATTTTCAGTCAGATTGGTCGAATAAGTAACTGGAATGAATTCAGGTACTTCCGGATTCAAAGTTTCACCAAAATCGATGGTTTTAACATCTTCTGTTTCAGATTCGGTTACTTGAACTTCAATCGTTTCTTCATTGTTTAATAAAACAGGAAATAACGGTGCTATTGGAATATTTGATAATGGTGCGGCTGGGTGAAAATTTACATTTCCAGGTACCACAGCATTTTGTAATGGAATTGAATTTGGGTTAACGTCATCCATTACAACCTCTGCAGTTGACGGATTCGCAGATGCATCAGAAATTGGTGTCAAGTTATTTGAATCCGGAATCGGCCATTTTTGAGGTTCAAATACTGTACGAACCTAAATATAATAATAGGATAGTAATTATAAAGTAATTATGATTCTTTGAACTATATTTAAAATTATAATTCTTTTCATTTCATTAAGTTCTTTGTAAGAAGAATATTATTAAACACCAGGCAGTGATCGCCCTGGAGCTCGCGAAAACTTCAATTGTTTTTGCATTGATACAGAGTTTACACTAGCCGCATGACTAATAAAACGGTAATTGTACAATGCTTAGTTTAAAAAGAAATTGTAATTACCTTGCAGTTATCTACTAATTCCAATTTACTCGATTCTGCCATTGCATCCAAAAGCACTTGCATGTCTGTAGTTAATGCTTGCACACGGTGGAAAGAAAATATTAAAGAGACAGGTAAAAATCCTTCACTATCCATTTTACGCCTCAAAAAGAAGTCTCTAACAAGATTATCTTCACTCAAGTAATACTCTCTGCGGAAAAATAATTAAATAATTCAATACTTGTTCATAATTAAAATTTGAAGTTCATTTATAATATTGCGAATACTTACACTTGATTTTTGACCAATTCTTTGATAGTGTGATATTCATTATTTACATATTGTGGGCCTTCTTGGAAGTACAGTGTACCTAGGATAGGCACCAAGTAGCTGGGGTCTACTGCATATTTATTATGCTGAAAGTATAAAAAAAAAAAAAATTAGCACAGGAATTTCGAATATTTTGAAAAATATTTTTCAAGACACAAAATGCTCAGTTCTACTATTTATCAATCTTTCACCGAATTATAAAGTTCTTTCCAAAAAATTTATCATCATTCATATATAAAATATACGTAATACGAAAAAAAAAATTCAAATGAATCATTTTTTACCTGATTATAATCGTTTGCAAAGTTCATGAATTCAGGTCTAGGTCTGAATGTAGATCGAGTAGGATTACCTCTACCTCTTCCGCGACCACGGAAACCTCCTCTATTATTACGAGGTCCACCCCGAATATTATTCGAATTGTACTGAGATTGGTTATCATAGTCCCTATTGTTTTCATCTGAAAGTAAAAAATTATTATGAGATTTTAATGATTTTTTTTTCAAATTGTACATAGCAATGAATGACTTACCAATACGTCTGTAAGATTCATTATTTCTATCTCGTATCATGTGATGTTTTGGAGAACGATCTCTTTTGGCACGGGTTTTCGGCACATCGATTTCGAATGGTACCCAATTATGTTTTTTTGCCTTCTTCTTCTTATCGTCAACTTCTTCTAGTTCACCATTTGTTTCAAAAGTTTCAGGCTTCGCTTTTTTTTCAGAGGGTCCAACGCTGCCCTCTTTGACTTGTGGCTGCTGTTGAGCCTGCTGCTGAGGCTGCTCTTGTTGTTGCTGCTGCGGTTGCTGCGCCTGTTGCGATTGCTGCTGTTCCTGTGGGGGCTGCTGTTGCTGTTCCGTAGCGTTGATTTGTTTTGAGCCATTAACGGTAGGCTTTTTTACCTACAATGAAAAGAAAAATCATTTTTTAATACAATTATAAATACATCCATTTTTTTTATAAATTATAAGTACTTCCGAATAAAATATAGAAGCAAAAATGATTAATTAAAGCTTAAAAGCGGATAAATCGTCTGCAGCAAATGATAAAGTGAAAGAGTACGCGAGAGTACGTCCTTGCTACGGCGAAAGGTTTAACAAACGACAACGATTCTGACATCCATGGGCAAAAGTTTTTTTTATTCCACTCATGTAACAGAAAAACAAGAGAGAATATAAGGGAGAAAGGAAAGAGAAAGCGATCTTTACCTCGCCTTGAGCTCCAAGACTTGGCCAATCGCCGACATATGCATAGTCGCTAGCCTGTAAAAAACATTAGACTTTTCATTAGTGCCCTCACTTAATACTGATACAGTATTATTCACACTATTTGCGATTTATTTCAACGATTTTTGTACGAGGGCCTACAAACAAACCCCACACAATGGACGGTTAAATCCGATGTGGTGCTAGCGAATCCCTCGATTTTCCTTTAGCACGTGTGCTTTTCGTCGACATCTATGATTCAACGTCAACAAAAATAGAGCACCATGCGTGTAGTCAGGGCACTTTTTTTCTCTTATTTTTACTACTTCCTATTACTGCAATAATAACATTAGTAAAATCAAGTTTCAAAACGCGTAACGCGACGAGCTCTTTCCCAATCACGTATGTGTTCGTTAGTTTCCGATAAGATAAGATGCTTAAACAGACGACATATACAAGTATATTATTGTACGAGCTGAAAGAGCATAAATTGAGAAAAAAAAGTTCATTCAACACGCGCTCGGGTATTGCAAAGGCTCGAAAATTTTTTTTGACTATAGGGACAAAAAAAATGCATGGCGATTAAAGTAGTCACTGCTTTGAATGATATATCTCGTGAGCGCGAATAGACAACTAAAATAGAAATGCTTAGCTCTCTCTCTTTCTCTCTAGAACATAGTTGCGTAAGATCAAAATGTTCATATAAGTGGGCTGGAGGTCTGAAGCTAAATTTTTTTACCATTAGCTTCTGCGACAATTAACATTGATGTATATTGAATTTCATTTTAAGGTCAATAAATTTGAGAAAAACGTTTTAATCGTCATATTTTGATTTTATTCTTAGAATTCTTACCTTTTGGGCATTTTGAGCATTTTGAGCATTTTGGGCCAATTTTCTTTTTTCTTTTGGAACTTTCACAGTATTCGGTTGTACCGTTGTGGACGTTCCATTTTCTGTAACAAACAAATTTCAAATTAATATCATTTTCATAAGCATATTAATTATTAAAGCTATATCTGAAAAATATAATCATCTAATTGCTTTTATCGATAAACATTTTGCACTTTTTTTATGTACATTAGATTATTTTTTTCTAACTTTTCGTCAATAGATCACAATAAGATAATGATGTAAAAAAAAATAATTCATGTAGAAAAACTCAGAATGCCGAAGTGTGAATAAACATTCGACGTCAAAAGCTTGTCCAGGTGGTATTTCGTTATTGTAAACGTTAATACACCTCTCTGTTGACAGTGCTACAGATTACAGTAAATGTAAACGTGTGACCTATAACAATTTAGTTTCTAATTTTCGACGTGTTTGAATTATTTTGAGGCAATAACAAGAGAAAATTAACAGCTATTCGTGTCTTGCGCCATCAATCCACATTAAAAAGTAAACAAATGTGCAAGCAACGATGAGGCTCGTTTAAATTTTCCAACATATGTTTGGAAAAACAGTGGGCGATTGTCTGTTAATCGAAGGCTAAAAACGACATTAGCCATCAAGGCTGTGTGCGTGTATTTCATACCTTCGTAAAATGCTATTCATATTTTAAGCGTTAAAGGTTTGCCCGCAAGCCAAGATTATCGAAAGAGTATTAAAACGAAAAACGTGCCGTTTCGGTAGCGCACACACGACGCGAATGCGCAAATAAAAAAATATAATACTTCGAACGGCTTGCGGGTAATAAAGTCCTTATTAACGTAACGAATGCGCCAACACGTGTCGTGCGTGCATTACGTTATATATTTCCAAGACATTAAGCTAAGACAGACGTGCGCAACTATACTCTACATGTTTGTACAGTTTCGAATTTGCATTACGAAAAATTCGAGTACTTTGATGGAAAGAAAAAAAAATTGACGATGCTCAGCCCAACGGTCTCGAAAAGTAAATACGTCGATCTTGAGCGAAAAACGCGCTGCATATATGCCAACAAATAAGAAGGTATTGATCGATCATCTTCGTCTGTTTACTTTGCACGGCTAATTTAAGCATCTTGTGCTCTGGTAGCACGAAATGTGTGACGAGATAAATAAATAAAGCAAGCCGAGGACCACTTCGCCGGTGCCACTGATCGGCGGCTCTTCTTGGCAACGGATGCGCGTGGTTCTCGTTTAATTAACGCGTGCTTATACGCGTCCGATTTTTGCTAAACAACTTATTGATGCATTCGACATTAACATCTACGTCGCGATTAGGCTGCGAGTAAAATGAGTCCTGTCGATGCATCTTTTTTCTCTTTCCTTTTTTTTTTTTTTTTTTTGTAAAATCATTGCGTGACGAGTATCGCGAAACAATAGTTGCATTCGAGATACCGAATTCCTGCGCAATAGAACGAGCCAGGGCGATTCGTGACGAAGCATATAAGAGCGTACACCTACGATGCACAGCACTGCGGCGCAGCGTCAAGTTGTCGCAAAATTATGAAAAATGCAGCATCGCGGCACGATTGAGATACGGATTACGTTCGCGGCACGATCGAGAACAATTAGAATAAATGTGCGCTTCGTTCGTTGTAATCGCGGCGAATCGACGTGTTCTGTTTTTCCTTTTTTTTTTTTTTTTTTGCAAGGTAATAGCGAAAAAATTCGACATTGTTGTGGCTAAGAATTTTCGCGCATAATTGTCCAGCCGGTGCGCGCGGTAGCGGATGTTAGCGTATGGCTATGCACATACACGTATAATATACGTCGTATATATGACGAGGCGCCAGCCACAACAGCACGATCAGCAGAAGGTAGCATACAGAAAGTTACGTAATATTTAAAAACCCTACTCAGGCGAAGGCGGTGTGTTCAAGTGTAACGTTAGAATAATTATTCAGATCGCCCGACGATAAAAACGACGTGTTAATTTCAATCGGTCGTGTGCGTCTGTGTACACAACCGATCGAGGGGTATAAGGAGGCAATTGTAATGGCACACTCACTTATGTTCCACACATTGGAATGTTGGCTGCTAAACTTCATAGTGCCGCACACTTATATTATCCGTTGTCTTTTATTTTGCTCCGAGATTTGAAGAAGATTTACGAGCTCTCTGACACGGATGACAGCAGCAGCAGCTACACGTGTCAACTGGAACTATTTTCCGTGCACGCGACAGATTTTCAAAAAAAATTGTGCGGCTCTAGAAGAATGAAGATATCGAACTTTCAAAGAGAGAGAGAGAAAGAGAGAATCCTGGCTGAACCTTGAAAAAATCCGCAATGAAATTACGTTGCGCGCGGACGGCGGTCCGCAGAGTACTGGTAATATGCAAGTCGTACAAGGTGGAGGCATGCTATATAATACAGCAGCAGCAGCAACAGCTGCTCGTTATTGACGGCCGCTTACTCGCATATTCGCGGGGTATATAGCACTTACACACACGCACGCGCTCGAAGGTGTTGCACGTATATACGATAGATAGATATGTGTACGCGTATGTACGCGTATGTACACACACGGTGAAGTTCAAGCCGCAGCGCAGCGCAGCACACGGCGCGAGAAGAAAAATTCGCTCGCTCGACGAATTTTCAACTGCCGATTAATCGAAATTGAATACGCATATAAACGAGTGGTACATTAGCGATAAGAGCGCGTTTTCGTTAGTGCGATCGAACGAGCGACGATTAAAAATGTTACCTTGATCGATCGTAGTAAGCATCGATCCTCGCTAAAGAAGAATAAACGATACACCGGGTAATAATATCGATCGCGTGGATTTTGACCCATTTAATGATCGTGTTCCTCGGGGAAAGATATTCGGCCGTTCGAGCTGGTTTAAAAATCGAATCACGCTGCGAGCCTATACAGACATCGATAATGTATTCGAGTCTTAATACAATGTTCATCAGTAGCGCCAATAATGAATAAATAATAGCTGAAAAAACTACACTGGAATTTTTTCGGCCTTGAAGTGTGCTACGGATTACGTTCGCGGCGTATATGCGTTCGAAAGAAAAAAAAATTGCTACTTTTTACGCGCGAAACTTGGGTTTTTATGTTTGAAGGCAATCGAGGCAGCGGCGCGGTGGCGAACACAGCGCGGAGCGACGCATGTGAAAGTGAAAACTACGCGGGGGAAAAGGTCGACGAGTTGCTCCAAATTATCTTACCGCTGTCTACTTATGGATATTTTATCATTTTGATGCCGTGTGAATGTGTACGCTTGATGTTAGACACATTCGAAAAGGTTGCCTTGCTCTATGATCATTTTTTAATCGTTCGGCTATACAATACTGTTAATCTGATTCTATCGTGTGAAAACTAAATTCGTTTCTGATACTCGAAATAAAGGAATTGAAAATAGAAATGATTTCCATAAGAACATACTAAAATTTCCACGAAAACGTACTTTCCCCAATTTGTTTATTCCTTATTATATCGAGTTGTTTTATTCGTAATCCCTATGGTTACACGCTTCGTAAATATGTTTTGCATTTGAACTGATAATCTTTGAATTGCAGCTTAATTATTATTAGTTTTTCATCTTTCCTCGTTTGGCGCGCGCGAAATTTTCCCGAAATCAAAAGTGAAGCTGGTATACGCTGAATCCCAACAGCACTGATAATATGAAAAAAAATTCAATCTAATTAGCAGCCAAATTATATAAATAATGTGTAATTTGAAACTGACTCGACGCGATACTGTATGACGTGTGTTCAACACAATTTTATCTGGTTACAAACCAATGCCATCAGAGCTAGAAACACGAGTTTCCTTCCTGCGGATGAGGATATTTTCAAACTTAGCCAATTAATGCCGCTTGTAATTACGTCAAAATTAAATGCCTTTTTTTTAAAAACGACGAGACTCGATGATCAATGGGCCTAATTTCAGCAGGCTTTTTTCGGGCACCTCGTGCATTGACTACGCAGGGGTAATCGTGTAAATGCGAAAGGAAAATATTAATACGGAGAAAAAAAAATTATCCAAATGTAACAACATTTTTTATCTTTCGGTAAAATTTTATTATTTGTTGTTGAAAATTCTTCAAAACTTGGCAGTATTTTATCGACAATTTATTTCCAGCAAAACTACCGTCTATATCATAAAAGGAAAATATTTATAAGATGATACTACTGTAATGAATTATGTCGGGCAAAGTAGACGTAAGGCCTCATAAGTATCACGAAGACGTAATGTGTATTTAGAACGAGGAAAAAATAATAAATACACAATAAGTTTAAAAAACTACACTTGACGTATACTTAAAGGTAAGAGACCTTACTTTTAATGAATAAACGCACGTGCGCACGCACACGAGTATAAATAAATATGCAGTCGCGAGCGCCGAAATGGCACGCGCGTGTGTATGTGTGTGTGTGTGTGTGTGTGTGTGTGTACACGCGCATGTATTTGTGCGTATCATGCCGAGAAAAAAGAGAGAGGCGCGACGCGACGACCAGTTAGGTATAAAAGTAGCCCGATTAAAGATTTTGACTTGTATTTTTTCAGGGACTACATTATCGTTCTAAATTTATCTTCGACGGTTTGAAACCAATATAAAATTATACGTGGTCGGGAAACGAGTTTTAAATGTAGAGTATCCTCAACGAAGTGTCTCTCGCTAGGTTGCGCTGTAGGTAGAGAGAATAAAAAATTGTGAGAATTACACGTGACGAGTATAACTTATCTTGCCGACTTTTTCCTATTCAGTAGCTTATCGTGTGCATTGTCAGATGATGCCACAATCATTCACATTGTGAAAAAAAATAGCTTATCGAAATACGCACGCGCTATCAAAACGAAATGCCTTCTCTACCGGTTCCTCCCAGTTTTGGAAGGCCCAACTCTTGGCTTGGGCTCGGGCCAAAATTTGTAACTTGCCATTCATTGCTCGTGAGAGCAAAAAGAAACACGAAAAAGTGTCAAAAAAAGTGGAAATGTGGGCGCTGAAAAGTTGGATTCTCTTCAGTTTTTAGAAACTTTACGAAACGAGTGAAAATAAGATATTTTCTCCACGAATTTGATGCCACGAATTATATCGAGTTCATGATCAAGAAAACGAAATTTCTAAACGAGATATTATGGAAATTTCTCAGTCACTTTTGTGATCTTGGATGATTCGGCAACTAGAGTAAGTAGGATGTTGTTCGTGCACCGACGGCAAAGTAAGCTAACCCATGCTCATGGGTCGAGAAAATTTTTCTCAACGATTTTCTCTCGATCCGCGTCATTTCGATTTGTCTCGCTCCGAAGACTTCGTCAAGTTTTCAAGAGTTGCACAATCGTCTCTTGGCACGGATATATTTATACGCCGCTACAACACGCATGTCGAGTTGCTTTTACATTATATACAGATATGTACATTATATATTCGCGAGTCTCGGAGCAAAACAAACTTCTCTGCACGGGCGCGACTTCGTACAGAAAGAGTAAAAGTGTATTTTTAAAACGCTTGAAGTCGGCCGAGACAAATGTTTTAATCATACAGAGGCTCAGACCTCGTAATGCCCCAACGAGATGATGACGACGACGACAATGCAGCAGCAGCTTGCGTGCGTGCAGCAAGTGAGAAGAAGAAATCCGTGCGCAGAGCGAGAAAGAGAGAGGTCAAGATCGGATCGGAAGAAGCAGATGAAGAAGAGATGCAGAAGCTCTACCTTTTTTTCTATACTCAATATTGTACACCCATTATCTTGCTCACGCACTCGTGAGTGAGTCGGTAATTTTTTACGTACACACGTGTGAAAATGTACGAAATCTTGTGTCAATATGCGAGCGATAGCGCACTCGGGCTCTCAAAAGGCACAAGGAAAGTAATCAAAGTTATCGCATCTAATATCTTTCGGGAAAAGTGTTATCCGGCTCTTTTTTCAAGTCATTTCGAGATCTGAAAAAGGTTTTTTTCCTGACAGCAAGATACTTCTTTCTAATTAATTCAAACTGATCGTGACTCTTCCAGATACAAATGATTATTCTTAGGTGTAGTTGTGTCTCGCAAAAACGCGAGCGATTCAACCAGGAAAAAATCGGAGAGAAATTTTTGAATCGCGCTAAAAATGTGATTTTATTTTAGCTTAAGCTTAGTAAGGGGAAAAGAATAGTATGAAAAAGGTAAAATATACCAAACAACTCCAGGATATTCTCACCCCGAAAGAAAAAAATTTTTAACGAATTGGAAATAATTCGAGTCTCTTGTATATACTGGATAAAAGCGATAAGGTCCGCAAAGGTCAGTTTTTATCGGAAACCAATGTCACATGCATTAAATAAATTAGCATGGATGTAATATAATTTTAAAACGAACCAAAGCTTGATTTATCAAAACATATTATTAAATAAATTGCGGAAAGTTTAAAAGACAACGAAGTATTGCTCGGCTGTTCTAATTAATAGATATGAAGTACGACGGGACCAGACGATAGCATCTTTTAGATGGGTCTCTTTCTCTCACTGTACGAGCATGTCTATATACCTCCGACATACAACGTACATTCCACTACGAAAATTTTATCTACTTCAGTATTGCCGCGTCGAAAACACAAAAACACGTCGACTTTTTTTTCTCGTGGCCGGAATGAAATTGGACAGCGTGATGGTCTTTAAAAATTTTCAATTAGACTCTGCAATCGAAAGCATAAACTCAATGGACACGTAGACCTAAAAGGGTTTATTAGAAAAAAATGGATGATAACCAATGGTTGGAATTTGTAGTGATATCCAGCCTGTTCTCCTGATGCTCATAAGCTTTTTAATTGAACGCGTATGCCTATATGTAATACGACTCAATAATCAATGGTCAGCTCAGGAGTATGTGTAATTTATCCGAATATACTTTCTCATTTCCTATATTTTTTGTAGGAACGCGATCAAAAAGTAACGGTATCTACTCTCGTATGCTCCGGCTTCTCTTATTAAACCCATCTGACCCACGTGCTTTGTAACATAACCTACAAACATCTGCCCTCCTTATTAAGACGATCTCGTATACGCAGAATGATGAAATTTGAGTAGTGGTACTTGAAATATCGTGGGTATTTAACTAATTAATGATTTGATACCGAAATGAACTCAAACCACGTGACAGCATATTGTCCTCTTTACAAGATTAACAGGGTTTCAAGTAAACAATTGTAATTACATAATGCAGCGGGGTACTTTTTTAGGGTCATAACTTTTAGCTATCATAAGTTTTTTAGTACGTATAATAGATTGGCAGTGAAGAAATGATTTGATTCATGTTCAATTTAAACTTACTTAACTATGTTAAATAACTAATACAAAAAATATTATGTTTTTGATGAAATTTATATGTTAAATGATGAAGAATGCTTACCAACTATTTTATTTTTTGGTGCCTGTGGCTGAAGAACTTTCTTCTCTTTCTCAACAATCATTGGCTTTTCAACAGGTTTAACAATAGGGGCTGGAGTCTGGGGAGCAGGTACAGGGGTTGGCGTAGCGATAGGAACAGCCGAGACTTGTGAAGGTGCTACTGCAACCTTGCTCTTAGTCCAAGGGTTGACTGTGGGTAATGGAGCTGCTACATATTTAACAGGTACAGATTCAGCTTCTTCGGCCCGAGGTTCTGCTTCCTTTTCTTTTTCCTTAGCAACTTCTTTTTCTTGTACTTTTTCCTTATGTTCTTTTACTTTTTCTTTAGTCTCTTTCACTTTTTCTTTAACATCTTTTTCTTTCTCTTGTTTGCTAATTTCTTTAGCATGGTCTTTTTCTTTGTGTACTCTGTCTCCGCTATGCGCATTGCTTGGAAAAGGCCTTTGCCTTTCTCTGTGACGGGGATGAGGAGCTTCAACAAATTCTTTTCTGTCACGCTTTTCTTTGCGCCGGGCATTTTTAGGTGCTACTGTTTGAAATTCGCCATCACTCCCAATATCACCATTTTTCACAACTTCTTCAGTTGTATTTTTAACGTTTCCATTGGAACGACTGTGAGATGCTGCTCTTTTTTTAAGAGCTGCATTGGTCTCCTTAGATTCAACAGTAGCTGAGCTACTATTACTGTGTAGAGCTCGATTGCCATTTACTCGACGCTCTATAGTAGGATGCCTGTGATTTTCCTTGCGATTGACAGGCCTTTTGAACACTTTCTTGTTTGAGTCTGTGGACTGCCTGGAACCTGACGACTCACGAGCAATATTTTCTTTGTTGTTCTCTTTTGTAGATGCTGTAATAAAAAATGTCACTTGTTAATATAAGTAAATTATCGAAGTACATAATTACAGTAATCGCGTAGTTATAACGAAAATTAAAAAATGCAATTTAAAAATGAATTGAAAAGCTCACCTGTCTCAGCTGCAGGTTTTGAATTGACTTCAACGGGAGCAGATGCAGCCTTGGGGTTGACAACACGTGCGTAGGAAAGGCCAGCTTTCGCAACAGTTTTCTCGAGCTTGGAAACCGGGTCCTGAGACGCTGGCGGATTCTGGGGGGCTGTCTCCAGGGTGGTAGGCTTTGGCACCGGCATCTCGGATTGCGTCGACTCCGGCTGTGGCTGCGACTGCTGCTGCTGTTGCGCCGCAATGCCGTTGCCGGTCACTTTAGTCGCCATGTTCGAATCAGAAATGTCTCGTGCCGATAACTCCGCGCTTGTCTCGTGGACGACCCGGGCTGTGCTGGAGTTTTTAGCCCAGAGCGCACTTCCAGCTCTGGATTTGCAACTTGTGCGAGCCGCTGCTTCGCGTCGGTCAGTCAGAGCACCTGTGCAAAACACATTCATGTAGACCGAATTTTCGTCAAACTTTAGTCAAAGAAGTCGAAGAGATGAGGTTATATGTCGTCGTAGCGGTGTGGCGCTGCGCGTGCGAGCAAGTACACTGTACTACTGTGCGAGCGTTGCCTTGCCGCGGTCGGTTTGTCTCTGTCTATTTCTCTCTCTCTCGTTCTATCTCTCGTGCGCGAATCTCCTCGTGCTCCGTTCAAGTCTTATATATTTTAAACTAAAGAAAGTAACTAAAAATTAGTCTGTGTCTCTCTCTTGCTCACTCTCCGTTGCACAATGACGCAGGAGCACATAAACAACTTGAACTAAACACGAATCAACGCACTTTCGTCGAACACTACATATATTGTACTTACTCCTACCGACAGGCTCGACGGGACGAGACCGAATGGGAAGATGTTTTACGAAGCAAGGTATGAATTCAGTTTTTACGTTGTGTTGGTGGTGTTCGTGGCTGTGTGCGCGTGTGCGAGGAGTACGTATCGTCGTGCAGCGCACCGTAATATTACAGTCAGGCCCGTAATCCGAACTACACGGAGTCGGGGCAGCACATGTGTTAGAAGACGCGTGCGTGTAGTTGAGAGAGCCGCCTCGGTTGTAAAACTGCGGGGCGATCTAAAAGTCCTCCCCGCTCTCTCCGAGCGAACTATAGCACACCGCTCGCTGCTGCTACTGCTGCTTTTGCCTCGCTCTCTTCTTTTTCTCGCGCTGCTGCTCTCTCGTTCCTTCTCTTTCTCTCTTACTCTCTTCTTCTCGAGGTTCTCTTGACTACTGTCCGCATAAGCGTTCTCTGCTCCAAGTAAGTATTCTTCACTATGCTCGCGCTGTATATTACACGCTCTCACCACGCCAATGCTTTCTTTCACTTCGCCACACTGCGCCGTACAGCATGTAGTAGTCTCGATAATATGTTGGTGTATGTTTCTGCTACAAATACCGTATACGTTGCAGCTATATAGAGCACTACGATGTTACACGTATATATGCCCAGTGCACACGTGTGTATTGGTGCATACGCGGGGGAGAAATATACAGAAAAACGTACCAGTACTTCGGCTGTAATCCGTTTGACCGTTTCTCTTTCTCTCTCTCTCTTTACCCCGCGGCTCACACGCGTGTGCTGGCTTATAATTTTTATATATTAGCTATACTTATATATAAATGAGACGCTCAAATGTGAGAGCCGAATTCGATCTCTATTAAAGTCTTCGCGTTAAAAGAAGGCACACAATCCGGAGAGTCGTGTCGTCGGTGTCGTCACTTTTTGCTCTTCTTTCCTCTCTCTTTCTCTTTAAAATCCACGCCAGCCGAGACTGTCTCCCTCGATAAGCGCGCTACAATAACAACATTGGACGATTTTGCACTTCGCGGTGGCGAGCCTATGTAGTTGTAACACTACGCATGGCAGCGCAAGTCATGCAGCGACAAGTATCGCTGCTGCTGCCCCAATGCTGGCGACGAAGAGCCCGACGAGCTCCGAAATCTTGACGTGTTGCATCATTTTCGTACGTGCGATATCTATATTAACACGACGCATTCAACGTTCGTCTATTAACGAAATGTCGACGATCGATCGTATTAACGGCACATTGAATGTCGAGTTATACCGGAGTACTCGTGTTTATATTTTACACATGCAGGGATAGAGATAATCGCGAGATAGGCACGTGATGCAACGAAGAACCTGGAGAGAATCGAATGACCACTCGGAGTCTATAAAGATCTCACAGTTTTTCAGCGATCACTACCACCACCACATAATCCCCAGAGTAGCAGTTGGAAATTTAACACCCGTGTTTTGAAAATGTTTAAAGCAACGTCGCAGCAGCACCCGCGAAAGCCAACGGCTTGAAGTACGGCCGCGCGCAGGGGAGAGAGTGTCTGTCTGTCTGCTTGCTCGCTTGCATTGGGCGCAGAAACGGAGTCGTCGATCGTCGCCTCTATGCAGCTCTCGGCACAGCTCGGCTACTCGCTTTTCTCGACTCTTTATACGCTGCTTGCATGTGTATTACTATATAGTATGCCTCGTGTGCACGCGTACAACAGCAGCAGCAGCAGCAAAACGACGAGTCGAGTCTCTCTCTCTCTCTCTCTCGCACGCACGATTGCGCCGCGGATGACGATGACGAGTCGTCTTCGGCCCGCCGCAGCACACATCAAACCCTGCAGCACCACCACAACTTGCACGACAGCGCACGACTATTGCAAATTGTACAGTCTGAACACAGTCGTGTGCACACGAGGGAGGGATTCTTCCTCTCTTTCTCGCTCGCTCCTCTACTCTCTGTCTCTCTCGCCGAGCGATTTTGTTTCAGAGGCGCATGTCTCTACCTCGTATACCGTGTGTACATGTGCAGCAGATATGCAATTGTATGCGAGCGATGCTTACCGAGCTTTCAGGCGCACACTTTGCTGTGTGGGTGCTCACGTTTACGTTGCTCATGCATACAAACGAGCGAGAAGCGCCTCGGTAGCTACCGTTAGCCACCGTCGCCACCGCCACCGCGCAAGTAGGTGTAGGTATAGGTACGAAACGACGCAAAAATCACAGTTCGTGTTGTTGTATAGCTATGTATGAGCACGAGTCGCGTTACAAGCGCGAAGGCAGTGACGAAAAATCACAAGTTCGAGACCGAGACTGTGCGAACTGCGAATTGCCGGTCACCAACGCGCTTGCGCTGCTCCCAACTCGAGTCGTCCGTCGTTTCGTACAATATAGTCTCCAACGAAAACGACGACAACGACTGAACCGAGTGCAAAGCATTATTACGTGCACATGCCGTCGGTTTTACTATTATCATTATTATGATGCGAGAGAGATCCGTCACACACCCCCTTATACGATTTCAGAAACGGGGCCAGTGCTCAGCGGCTAACTGCGCTTTAAGATATAAAAGAGCATGAACCGCTCGTGACAATTACTAGACGGCCACGCGGTCTTCTTGGCATAATCAGTTTTTTGGAAGAATACCATACGGGCTTGTCGAATGTCTAATTGGGATTACAATGCATGAAAATGTTCGATCGAATTTCAGGAAAGTCCCGTTGCATTTGCATTTCATGCATTCCATTAAGCGATTATGTTTTTCTCGACCATTCTTGGAATTAGCGTGTATCGGGCGATCTTTAAAAAAAATATAAGACCCCCCCCTCGCTGGGTGTGAATATATTGAGTGTGAAGCGTCGAAAAAAAGTAGGAAAGCCTCGACTGGATCGCTCGAACAGCCGGCACTCCAACATCTTTCTCGGTCGCTCCTATTTCTTTTTGTAGTCACTCATACTATGAGCATTGGCCTATACAGCGTTAAAATGTAAAATATCTAGTCTAGCTATATGAGAAACGGATGCTCGATCGTCTTCATCTTTGCTGGGTAAGATTCTGTCTCTGTCCCTCGCTTCTTCTCTCTCGGTCTCTCCTTCTTTCTCTCTCTCTTCATTCGTGCACCTATGTAGGTGAGTAAACAACACATTTGTATAAGTGGGATAAACGCGACGCGTGTTACGTAAAAATTGATGCTACGCTCGCAATCGTACGCAGGCGAAATATAGACCGCACGCGCGCGCCTAGCCCGACTCTCGTTTTCATTTGCATGATTTTGTGTACTTTATACTCTTGTTATTATTATTATCGCTCGGTTACTTACTTATCTTGAGCAATGACGTGTCCCCGCGCACGACTCGAATTTTGGCGCGAAATCGAACGCGCGACAAATTAAGTATATGCATCAGAGATTCCACGCAGCTCTGTAATGCGTACTTTCGAGGACCCTGCATGTTTTCATACATCTGGACCACTAAACTCTGATCATACGAATTCTTGGAATAAAAAATATTTTTTTGAGCCTAGTTGGGTACGAAGCTGAGACAAACCATTAATCTTCTTTTATGGGGAAATGACATTAAAAGGGGCTGAAAATTTTCTTAATTAATCAATATAAGTTGACCGATATTTTAAAAAGATCGTATTCAATTTCAATGAACTTACAATTAAAGTAATTTTACTCTCCAAATGTAAGAATATATGGATTGGATACTACTATGTCTACCATATACACCTATTGTAAGAATTATTTTTTTCTTTTTAATAACATTTTTTTTAAATAATTTTTTATAATTTCTTTTCATACTTTGCTGGCTAGGTGCTACCGCACCTCTTGATTAAATTTGAAGCAATGATTTATTGTTCAAGATGTAACTCCCTAATAAAACTTACCCTCACAATTGGTTTCAAGGTTTTATGATTTTGTATAAGAGATTGCATTAAAAACCCATTCATGATTACAAAAACAAAATTTAATAATTCATTCAACTTCACAGCTATACAGTATTTACAATTTCTTATTTAACAATCAAGTTATAGTCTTTACAGTGATTGCTAAAATATAAGTAATATACTTTGAACACATTCATTTGTACTCAAATGAAAAATTACAGTTTTTTTCAATCTCAATAAAAGTGACTTGAGAAAGGTTTTGTAAATGGCTATATATAAATCTTCATATAAAGTTTACACTAAAGTAATATTCACATTTATAAAAAGCTCATTCGAATTAGAGTAAATAACTTTAAATTTGTACAGTATTGTACAGAAATACAACAAAAAGTGTAAACAACAATTATCAATATTGTCTACTATTGTCAAAGATATTCAGCATTGACTATCACAAGTGAATCAAAAAATAGTATTATCTTACTAATAGTTGTACACTAAACTGCAATAAAAATTTCAACATTCATTGATGTGTCAACTAGTATTCATCGGGTACTTTTTCAAATATCTTTGAAAAGCTTCATCAATCGTAGATCTAAAGAATTTTCAAAAATTATTAAATTAATGATCAAGTTAAATTTTATAGTTTGTTGATGTACACAAAATATTCTTACCTAAATAGTTTTTGGTAAAGAAGATAAGCACTGACGTGACCAGCATCAAGGAAACGAATTTCCGCACCAGGCCAAATTTTCTCTAGCCCAACGACATCATCTCTAGGTACATATGCGTCATCTCGGGCACAAACAGCAATTATGAGCTCCGTATCAACAGGTTTTTCGAAATTCTGCAAGTGGGTGCACTCATCCATGATACCACGCATGAATTGCAGAGCTGCTCGTTCTCGCCACTTTTCATCTGTGAATAATGGGTGTTTCGATACGGGAAGTAAACAAATCCCTAGATCACCCAAAACACACGATTCAAGTCAAGTCACAAATTATAGGAATTTAAAAAATCAAACCATCTACAATGTTAGTTAACAACATGCTTGGACTTCGACTATGAATGGTTGTTAAAAAGGTGATATTAGCTTAAACTACTAATGAAAGTTAAAATTAACCATACTGAAGATGACTATTCACACAAAAATGAAAAAATTTTCAGAGAATGCGTATGATATTAAAATGGATGCCAAGATTAAAATCAAACAAGTTAGTTTATAAATGATGCTGAAATAAATGTACTCAAAACCTCAGAACAAATGACATAAATAAGTACCCAAACGAAAGGTTGATGATGATATGATATTATAATATATACTATTATTATATATTGACCCAATGATAGTTTTATAAACTACTAAAAATAAATAATATTCATCTATACCTTTCAAAATATCTGAAGTTTGAGCACTTTTGAATTTGTTCGTAATGAGATTCAATGGAAAAAGTTTTGCAGCTTCTTTTTCTTCTGAGCATTGCTGGGTATCTATTCCATTACCATTGCCATTTGTGAGATAGGTTCCGTTTGGCATTGCAACTGTCCCGTTTGAATTATTATTATTAACATTTGAATTTGACTCGGTTTTTATTTTATTTAATCTTTTCATACTTGCAGGAAAATGTTTTGCAAAATGCTGTCCCGCTAAAAATGCATCCTAGAATAAACAATAATTTGAGTTAAAAATTTTTAAAAGATTAGTGGACACATTAAGAAGTATTTTAATACTAACATCTTGGTCAACAACTTTGACCATCTTTGCTAAATCATTTTGGTAAGCTTCGTTTTCAAAAAACTGTGATTCTAGCAAAGCCCAATTTATAGATGCACTCATGACACCTTGAGTAAATACTGGAGAAGCTGTAGACCATGATAGGCAAGGAACTAAGGGTATTGGTTTTGGCCAATTAGTGGCTGCCAGTGATGCCATCTAAAATTAAATATGAGTTTTTAAATGCATCATTTCTTTACAAAATATCTGTATTAAATTTTAAAAATATATCCTTACATGTCCTCCCATTGAAAGTCCTGTTAGACCTAGAGGACCATATCCATGCTGCTCAAGCCAATTCAATATGACTATTGACTCCATAATAAGACATCCTCCCATGATAAAAATATCTGATACATTGTGTAAACTAGACCGCCTGCAAAAATTATAATTTTTAATTTCAATATTCAAAATATTCTATTTTATAAAAATGCAGACTATATTTACACTTGGTCTTTTGGCTTTCGGAGACCATAAAATGGATTTTCAAGTAAAATAGATGCAATTCCTGTTTCTTTAAGCAATGGTTTGGCAACCAAAGTTCTTCTCCGCCAAAAGTACTGCAATCAAGTATAGTAAATTCACAATTATTGCATAGAATTTGTACTAATATCATTTTATATTAAAATCATTATAGATTAACTTACATGGTCACCTGTACCAGCTAGATGCAAGCAGATAGGTTTGATTTTTTGTGACTCCCAACGTTTAGGTAGTACCATTTGAAAGTAAGCAGTTTTGGTTTCTTCAGGCATAATACCAGGTAGATTTTTTTCAAAAGGAGATTCAAATTGCCCTTCTACAATATGACAATCTGACCATTCTTCATCCTGAAATGGGTCATGTATATTACAATCTGAATATGAATCTGTAAATCAGAAAATTAAAAGTTTTGACAACTTACTTTGGTTATATTAACAGGATAATTTTTTGGTATAAGACTGTAGCATGCTTCGCGATTTGCTACTACCTTCCGGAACTGGAATATTCTAGATAAAAAAAATAACTGAATCAGTAGAAATCAAAATAAGCATCTTTGTATGGGCTAACTAAAGCAACAAGTAAATATATGCCAGCAGACATATATGTCAAGTGTAACATGTATTTTTACAATAGCATTCAATTTAAACCAGTAAGAGTTTGAACCAATCAGAATTATTTGAACCAATGAGAAATTTAAAAAATACACTTGAAGATTATAAAAAAGCATTTTCATGCTTACTGCAAAAGCAAAAATCAGGATGACTCAATTTTTACCTTGTCACCTGATGAGCTTTATCTAGAACCTAAGCGCGTCAAGTTCGTCGCTAGCGACGAAACCACTGTATAAAAGCTTTTGTCAATAACAAAGCTGAGGTCGGAGTGAGTTGGCTTACCTCCTCAAATTTTCTGGTTCTCCCCATCCTTTGGTGAAAAACTTAGTGAGCAGTATGCTCCGATAAACAGCATCCAATCTGCTTGGTGGCATATTAGTCGAGTATCTTTATAGGTCGAGTCTAGTTTAGTTTTCTTATAGTAACTTTGGCACAATTAAAACAGCTACGACGCTACGATAATCTGATTAACTTTGAATGTTTTTAGCTCGTTGTCGGTAATTTCAAAGGGTTGTTGGACTCTGTAACGTTTACTACGCCTCTATCACAAACTGGAGGTATAATACAGTACAGATTATATATAAAAGGTGCAGTCTGCAGACAGAGTCTGCGCGCTGAACTGATAAAAAGGCACTCGATGCACTGAGAGTCTGAGCTCGATGGCGCGATTATTCAGCGATAGGCAAGCAGCTGCAGAAAACGGAGTTTGCAGCCGAACGACGACAACGACGAAATATGTGCTCTTGTCGTCGATGGTCTCGACGAGACGTCGCGATTCGACTATTATCTAGCTATATTTGGCCGAGGTTGACTTGTCGCGTATTGTAGAGCACCGCGCCCGACCACAACAAAAAGCAGCCGACTCTTATGTCGCGCGCACTGTATTAACTATGTGTAAGTATTCGATGCGATATGCCTCGTTCGCTATTCTGCTGTGTGTGTTGTACTGGCTCGGCACCTTTCGCGCTCGCTGATTTTATAACCTAGGAACTCTGGCATGAACCCCCGGTCGTTGTTGATTATTTTCGAGTTACCAAGCGCGCACGCGATCGCAGAAAACGAGCTTGTTTATCGCTCGAGTGAATAAGCTCGGGATCACGCGAGAGCAATCGTTTATAGAGGTGTTTGTTGACTCACGACGAGGGCAGGTACATTCAAACTGCGCTAATCGCGTTATGCATATAGTGCCAGTAGTAATAGTAGTAGTAGTTTTGATTTTGACATTCGCCAGCTCTGGCTCTCGAGGTGGGGGCCATTCATTTGTTATTTGAAATTTGGTGCGTCTCGTCAGACCAGCTCGCATCCAATGAGATATCGCGGAGCTTGATCGAACGATACGAGCCTCGTGACGTTGGTTGGGTGGCTGGCTGGCTTTTGTACATACTACGTGCGTAATGCCGTTGTACGGGCGCGACACGCGCCTTCAGACACAACATAAACTATCGCATAACGGCCACGCGAGATATGTTGCTGCTGCTGCTGCTGAGTATCTGAGCCGACGACGTAGCCGCCGCCGGTTGAATCGAAAAGTGTACGGTAAGTAAGTGGGTGTGTATCTCAACCGAACGACGTCACGATGTTTATCGTTTCAATTGGAATTCATAGAATTATTTGCTCGCGCGCGCGAGGGGGAAGTCAATTTGCTGCGCAGTTTAAAACACCTAATAAGCGCGGCGCAATAGGTCGTTGTGCTCGGAAAAACAAAAACAAGCGCACGAGGATTGTTGTTTACGAAAATTGAATCGCAACTACTGCGTGTTTAATAAAGTTATTGTCCTTTTTTCAACTTTGTTTACAGTATCATCGGGTTACTACAAAAATATAATCATATATAAAACTTTTTCTCGTAAAAAATATCATCTACATAGACGAATGTTTGTGAAAATCAATCGATTGAATTCATCACTGTTTCGAGCTTCGTGGCGCCCGATTCAAGGGTCTCTCGCGATCTTTTTTCCAATTCTTCGAACTTGTCGTCGGTGAAAGATTGGACAGCATGAATACTTTGCATCACCATTCTATTCAGTACGTGACGTAGCCCCAGGTATTTTGAGCCAAAACCCAAAACGAATCTGTAAAATAATAATTAACCATTAAAATTATTTCTCAAACTCCTCGAACAATGCGATTTTGACTATACTCGTACTTAAAAATTTTATAAGCTATCCAATCGCTGAATGACATGGAGTTGTAAATTTTAGGCATTTCTAAATCCATGCACTCCATGGTATTGACGAGCATAGCCTCGTATCCAAGACCTTTTCCGTTCCTTTTATAGTTCAGACCCTCCACTAAGCATCTCATCATGTGTTCCCACCCAGGCTCGACTATGCGCAAATTCGGTTTTACCCAAAATTCCAGAACGTCTCTCGTGCGAGACTTTATCTCTTCCAACGTTCCTCGACAATAATTGTACCTATTAAATTTCGATTTGTATGACAATTTTGAAAATTGCTCATTGCGCGATATCGTTAAAATGTTGAATGTACCGATCGTCGATACCCAAAAGATATCCTATTGTCCTCCAGACGTGACAGAAGGCCTCGAGCTCGTCGTCCGTAGCCCCGTGAATTCCGAGCTCCTCGGGCCTCAGAATGACGAAACACACGAAAGAGATCTGAGTGATCGCCATCTCGCCCTGGCTGAGCTTTTTGTTCTTGAGTTTCGGCAGATTTTCAAATACCCAGTAGGGGCACTGCTCGGCGCTCGCGGCCGGACAAGCCGAGTCAAAGTCGGCGCGGGTCGCTTTCAAAGCCGGACACCAGACGGGATCGATCGTCGTTCTGTTTGTCCATTCATCGGTCGACATGGCCGACATCTTTTCGCGTATGTACTGGTGTATGCGGCGCACGTGTCTGACGCTATTGTAGGCATCTGTCCCTTTGGTCCAGGGATCGGACGTGTACCAGCTGTAGAATTTGGCGCCCGTAGAGTTGTATCTGCTCGGGTTGAATATGAGTAAATATTCATTCGTGATTTTTCAAGCGAAGCAGTCAATTGTGCGCTGCGTACCTTTTAAATGATGTAAAGGGTGTGCTGGATTTACCAGTGGCGATTATGGGCTTTAAGCTGTCGTAGAAAGAGAAAGCCATGAAAAGCGCGTGTACGTTGACAAAAAGTACCGAAAATATGTGATCTTGGGCGAATTTTTGCCCTCTGTCGAATTTCTCCTGATCGAACCATGAGGGTTTCTTTTCGTTTGCTTCGTATTCACCGTCGAACAGATGAGCTGTCAGAACTTCTACCAAGGGTTCCGTTAATTTTTTACCAAAAGTTTTGTTTATTTGCTCGTACGCCCAATCGTGTTGCTTATCTTTTGGTATTGTCTCCAAATCGTCCAATATTTTATTTAGACTTTTCTCAACTTCTGTTTTCGTCTCCTTCGAATCCATGGTTATTTATGATCTTTTGAGAGAATTCTTTCGAAAGAGAATAATTCAATTAACTTCAAACAATAGTTCTGTACAAAGCTTTGATTAATAGCTCAAAATATTCGCCTACGATTATTTTATTACAAAAAATAATCACCGAAGTAATTGTTAATAACATTAAAATTTCATTATTTACTCATCTAATTTATTTTGAGTATCAAACATTTGAAACAAATTAAATAAATCTCTGAATCAAATTTTTAATATTGCTAAAAATTCACATTACGTAAATTTAAGTAATATCAACGTTGTACTTGTTATCATCGTCAATCTACTGTGATAATTTAACGTAGATTATACTTTTTTAACGGTGTAAAACATTAATGTAAATAATTAAGGAATAATTTTGTTTTAATAATATTGATTCGAGTTCAGAAAAACTTTCATTTTCTTTCATTACCAAAGGTTTCATTTTCAGTTCAAATAAAAAAGGTGTAAAAATTTATGATTTACTCTAACCTCAAATAATTGTAAAACACATTACAATTAAATCAAGTCTTTATTAACAAAAAACTGATTGAAATTTGAAAACAAAAAATATTCAAAAATTAACTTACAATTTAAATCACTTTACACCTACGATTTGTACTATGATCAGCTGTTTCAATTATACAGGCGCAGTATACTAGGAAACAATCAAATGACTGTCATCTCAGTAGCTGTTGGTGTAACTGGACGAAGTTGCCATCTATGTTTTTTAACTCTAAAGTCGCGCTAAATACGATTTTGTTCTGGAAGTATTGTCTATGACAAACTCGTATATGAAATCACGTTTCAGAAAAATGCGATTTGAATCTTTAAATAATTGAAGCAAAGATGCATACGTTTGTCTGCATTACGTAACACTTGTTTTTATGATGCTAAAGGAAGTTGTAGATAAGAACTTCCTTAAAAGCTTAATTCAAGTTCAATTTAACTTTAATAAAATGGATCATCGGTCGCGTTGAGAAAATTTGTATTTAAATGATATAAAAGATTGCATAATTATACTTCAGATAATTATCAATTACTAATAGCTTTTTAAATAATTTACAATGACTTCAATTAAACAATGCAAAATTGATATCTTTATCCTTCAAATTTGATCTGCTTAATTTTCATTCTAAATAATGCAAGGGCTTCCCGGGTATGCAATTCAAATAAACGTGTTAATAATTGTCAATATTTTTGAATGGTCTTGATTAATATTGGAAAATAGATAGGAAGTAATATATTAAGAATGTTATTCTTTGCATATCGTTTTATTTAATATTCATCGTAAAAATAAAATATCCACCCAATCCTTTAAAAATTAAGCTTGTTATCAAAAATATTACGATATAATTCATTGAATATTTTACAATCTTATGAATAATACGTGCTCCAACGAATCAATGACATTATTGCTTCAGCAAGTATTACTTTTCATACAGCCGACTTTATACATAGTGTTTACGACAGCAGCTGCATCAATCACAAACGCAGTTAACCCGCTTATTTTTGAGTTCTTGCGACCATACAAGCTGTGTACTGCTCTCTCGGACGAAATACGCGCAATGCGTCGAATTTTCCAACGACCCACTGCTCACACAGTTATTGCTTCAGTTCTTCGTACACGTGTATGTACCTGGCAAGATTCTGCTCTAACAATAAAGATAACTTGGCGGTGCTCAATTATGCGAGAAATATGATCTCGGAAAACGAAACTCACGATTCTCGAGCTCGATTTGTTGTTGCGAGTTCCATGAATTATGCTTATCCTATATCATAAGATTTATATGACCGTGTGTCGAGGAGGGAGAAAAAAATTACGCATACATTAAGCGCGCACATCAAAATCATTGTTGCCTACTTTCCATAATAGGGATCGTAAAGTTCGCTGTTTTATTACCGCATGTCAAATCTTTTGCAAGTTTTGATCCATCGCGAAGCGTGTAATATACAATGTATGGTTGTTGTTGCTGACAACATCTTTTAACGAAAAAAAGTAACCTTCTTGCAGAGGCGAAGGAGAGAAAAAAAAGTGAAAAAGGTGTAAATAACATAAAGTAATATATCACAGTCTATTTTTTTGTTGCTCGTTCTCAGCTCGTCGTATTATTCCACTTGTATCTGATCGATATCGTTCGCCTCGCGATTTTGTTGCAATTTGTTTCTGTAGCTCTCGAGTAATTTGTCGGATTTAATTTTTAAGCTGTTGAGTTTCTCGTCGTCGAATTTACGTGCCTTTTCTATCGATCGATTCAGTTGATTGTTCATCATAGTCCGCATTCCAGAAAATCGACTCCAGAAATTGAAGTACATTCTGCAAGCAAAAACATGGAATTCATAGAAAATTTATTTGATAATTGACGGGATTGCCATTCAATTAGTGTATACCTTATGACATTGTGCCTGATCCAAGCTTGATAGGACAACGAATTGTACAAACGCGGCATGTGAAGATTCAATACCGAGGCCAAATCTAGAATGCACGTCTCGTAGGTGGAGCCGGGAAAATAGTATTGAAGACCCTCGACGACGCATCTCATCATGTGTTCGCATTCCGGAGTGATTTGTCGGAAATTCGGTTTAACCCAGTACTCGATGAAGTCCATGGTTCTTTGTTTGACGTCCGCCAAAGTTCCTCGGCAATAATTGAACCTAAACGCAAATATTCGAATGATATTTTATAGTCTCTTATACCGGTCGTAACTTTGTATATTAATCGATTACTCACTCGTCTTCGATGCCTAGCAAATATCCGATCCCTCTCCAAGTGTGGCAAAAAGCCTCCAGATCCTCGTCGCTGGCGTGAATGCCGAAAAATTTCGGATTCAGCACGACCAGACCGACGAACGCGAACTGCGTCGAGGCCATCTCGCCTTGGCTCAATTTTTTGCCCCTCAGCTCGGGATATTTACTGACGATCATGTACGGACATTGGCCGGGCGCAGGGGCCGGACAGGTGGACTGGAAGTCGCGCCGGATGACGTTGAGCGTCGGGCACCAGGCGTCGTCGATCCTCGTCTTGGCCTCGTACTCGGGGATCGTCGTCGCTTCGATGCGCTTCCTCACCGCCGCGTGCATCATGCGCACGGCTTTCATGTCCCTGTAGGCTTGGGTGCCCTTGGTCCAAGGGTCGGACGTGTACCAGCTCTGAACTCGACAGCCGGTCGACAGGTATCTGAGTATTTGTAAGCACGATTGATTGATTCGTCAGGCAAAAGGAACGTATTGAATAAACAAAAGAGAGGAGCAAAAAATATTAATCATCGGACCGTTTAATCGCGTATAATAGTTCGTTTGAGAGGACGTTTTAATTAATGCGCTTCGCTTTGTCATCCGTGAAATGTATAATGCTCGCGATGAGATGAAAAGTTATTTTTCTCCAATCGGCTTTGTATCTTTTTGTCCTTTGAAGCGGATCGAAATTTTGCGTAACTCGGTCAAATTATTCATAGACGTGTGCGAGTGATCCTTGCAAATCGACCTACTTATTTCGCGAAAATTTTCAACTATACGCACGATAAAATGCGGAATTATTACGCGCGGCACAATTACGAAACTTGCCGCGTGTATTATCCTTGGCACGCGACGACGTCCGTGCGCCGCTTATTACCTCTTGAAGGCGGTGAACGGCGTGCCGGACTGCGACGTCATGATGAGGGGCTTCAGGCCCTCCTCGAACGAGAACACCATGAAGAGGGAGATGAGCTCGGCGTAGGAGATGCCGAACTGGAAGTCGCGCGCGAAAATCTGGCCGCGGCGAAACTTGTCGGGATCGAGCCAGTCGGGCCTCTGGTCCATGCTTATTCCGCTGTCGCCGTCAATGAGATGGCCCGCCGCGACGTCGAGCAGCGGCTGCGTCAGCGTTTCGCCGAAGAGCTCGGCCACCCTCGACTTGGCCCATTTGCGCCTGTCTACTTGCTCGGGTAGTTTCTCGAATTCCTCTCCCAGCGACTTAAGCATCTCGACGAGCTTGTCGTCCGACATAGTTTCCACTTTGCTCGGCACATCCAGACGCCACGACGATGACGAGACGGCGGAATTTTCTTCATCATTGCTATTGCTTCCACTGCTGTCGTCGCTTGGCTGCTTGTCATTGTGCTGCTGCTGCTGCTTCGTTTCCTCCTCGCTACTACGACTCTTGATGGAAGTTTCGCACGTAGCAACGTCGTCGGCGCTGAGCGAATTATCCGAGGCGTTCAGGTAGCCGCTGTCTTCGTCGCTCTCGATGTTTGCGCTCGTCGCGTCTTCGGATAATAATTTGGTAGGTGCCGCGCTCGGAGTCGTAGTCACGTCCTCGATCGTCGTCGCAGCCGCCTCGTTTATTGCCTCTGTGGTCAGGGGACTCGTTTGATCCTTCATTCTCGCTGCCTGCTGCCGATGGCTTTATTTTTCACGTTGAATTTCTGGAAAAAAAAGGAGGAAAAATAGTTTCACGTTCTTACATAAATCGTGATGATGCATATAAAGCCGTGATTCTTATATGCGTGGTAATCGATAGCGGCAATGTTTTTCGTTTCGTCGTTGAAACTATTTTGTGAAAATAATTATTTGAATCGATCAGAATGAGGAATAGATTATTATGCAATATTTTCAAGAGTCTTCGATGCAACACAATTAGAAAAACGTCAGACCATCCACTCGTTCGAATGAGATCATACGCACACTTTGTTCACAATTTTGAATCGAAATTCAAGAACCGATCAACTCTTGGTCTTGCAAACAACTGAAGTAATTTTTGTGCTGCGTGCGCGGCTCGGCTCAGCGCGCGTGAATCACAGTAGCTTTCGAGCTTGAACAAAACTCCTATACCCACTACATAATAACCGCAAAAAATAAAAATGACGAGGACTAACCAATGATCGAAGAGTAAATTATTGCTTCGATTGGCTCCTTCAGGAGCAGCAGCAAGCAGTCTCTTCAGCCGATTTATAATATGTATATGCCGTGCTACGCTCTCGTCTGTCCAGCAACGCGGAACGCAAATAACTACTTCAATTTGTCGCGCACTTATGTACACACGCGGTCATATATAAAGGAGCTGCAGCACCACTACTACTATCATATACACACAATATAGCAAAACCACTATATATATATATCGAACCTCTCCGTACCCACACTGACTCGCGCGAGCGCATAATACGCGTATATTCTCTTTTAGCACTTTGTGCAACTCGCCGCTGCCGCTTATATATCGTCGCGCAGCTTGTATTATGTATATATAGGCTCCTATTTTCCAATGCGGAATAGCGAGACACCCGCACGCGAGCCAACAGCAGCGCACACGTGTTGATACAGAGTAGGATTGCACATGCACGAGCCGCTGCGGCTCTCTCGGGTGCTCTCCGCGCTTATATATAGCTGGCTCTATGTATTATGCGCGTACGCGAGCTGCCGATGCTGTCGACGGTGCAGTTGCAGAGCGTTTAAAGAGTAAAACCGGCATACATTTGCAACAAAGCCGCGTGGATCGATAAAACTTGGCGCGATCGGCTCTGTTCGCGATCCCTTCCCCGCGCTCGATTCCTCTTTCCTCCTATATTCCGCGCGCGTTGAAAACTCGCTAAACGCGTCGAGAGTACCATTGCGCGCCTCGCGATTTTTATCTCTCGGTGTCAATTATCTCGAGAGCGCCCGAGCGAGCTTCTGCCTCCGCGAATAATCGTTCGCGTATAATACCATCGGTTTTGCATGTATGATGTATATGCGATTCCCGCCATTTCGTCGAGTTTCAATTAGCTATTTCGCTTCCGAAATGTATTACGTGGAAATATGTGCGTGCCTTTATTATTGCGCTTATAATAAACATTGCAGGGCAACTCGCGGCGAGATTAGATAATTCAGTTATATATCTATGTAATCGCATGCAGATAAATGCGGCTTGTATTACATATTGCTGCAGCAGCAACGCGAAGCACGCGACGTATGCCACCGCTGATGCCGCTTGCTATCCGTGTTTATTATGACTGTTATTTGACAAATTGTCATCTGCGAAATTTCCTCTGTACTGCACTAATATACGTCAGAGAATTTCACTCGGACTGAATATTGTTGTGTATTTTGATTTTCACCGACGAAATTTTACTGTCGTGTGCGGCTGATATACGAGGAAAATGCCTTTGGATGTGTACTTGGTTAATTGTGTCGTTAAATATTTTTTGTTGCGCCGGACGATCATGAATACGTTGGGTATAGTTTTTTTATCAATTGCATCTCTCGCGCGTGGCTAAAAATATCAATCGCCATATGCTACTTGCCTTGGCTTGTCCCGAGGATATATAGTGAAACCGACAACAATCAAGGCTTAAGATCTATTTTATCGGTATCTTGATTGAAATTACAGAATTAAACGTATATAATGCATTCCTTGAACGCGCGTGACATCGCGTCGCTGCTCGCACGCGAACAGTACTAAAAAATGAGAAAATAAACATCGAAGTTTAGCAAAATTACAAATAAAGCGTTTGATGAAATGACTCGCTCCGCGCGATATAACTCATTGTCTTTTCGAGATTGTCTCTCTATAACGTATGAGTTATTTATGAGGTCATTCTCGGATCCCATTATTCACTGCGCTATCTGGTGTATATGCGCGAGTGCTGTACGTTCGGTCCAGAAGAAGAATCAATGCATGTCATTCCGGTTATGGCTTTTTGAACGAATCCTCACGGTGACTTCCCAAAGGGAACGTCTTTACAATTGCATTTATACAGCAGTTGCTTTAGCTACTCTTTTTTCTCTCCTCTTTATAATGCCTTACTTGGAAAGACATAATTCAGCAGCGAGAGGCAGAATAAACGATAAAAATTATGTATGCAATCGGGTCGTGAAGATATAAAACTTCATACCTTGTGTCTAGGCTAATGAAAACAATACACGTCAGGGCATACAGATGCAAAAGCTGCATTTACAGTCGAGTTTCTACGGAAAGATTATTATTATAGAAAAAGGAAAAAATGTTGCTTCCCGCACGCGGATATTATACAGGTTTGCATATAGACGTCAGGGGTGACCTTCGGGAGGAAATGTGGTTTTTGCATGAATTTTATTTGCCTCTGTGACTTTTTTCTCCGGTCGGCAAACCCGATGAGAAACTAACAGGGCAGCCGCGGCAAAGAAAAAAAGACTAAAATAAAAGGCTCTTTCCTGTGTCATAGACACGTTTGCAAAAAATTTTAACCGATATATCACGTGAAAGCATCGAAATACAATTTGTCAATTTTTTGTCAGTGAAGTAATTGTTGTTTTTGTTTGTCGCGGTCAATACTATTACACAATAAAGTTAAATATTACTTGCCAAGGATCGATACGGTAATATTAATTGAAAACAATACGTATTATTACTCAATTAAATTAAAATACAGTAATATTAATTGAAATCGAATGCATTTCGAAAATGTTTGCAATCGATGTTGCAACTGCGAGGCTAAATTCACAACGTACAGTACCTAACCAAAAACACCTCGCTATTACGTACATTGCAGACTATTTAAACAAGATCGATTCAATTCATCAACGAAACTTAATCACGTTAGTTGAGAAGAAAAAACTGATCAAAGAGAGTACACGTTAACTCGATTCCAAAACAAGTGCGACAAAAAGTTTCGATGAAAGCTTTTTTTTTGTGCAAAAGAAAAGTCGAGCCTGAAAAGTCTTTGATTTTCATTTAATTTTTAAACGCTGTGATTTTATAATGCGGCGGCACGCGAGCGCGGGTGATCATAACATCCTACACACTTTACATATCTATAGGCATGCATCCACGGCTCTACAACTCTGCTCGCTCGACCCGATTCAAGGCCAGCGACTCGGCAATTTTCTGCGTGTATATTGTACGAAAACGAAATAAAAACCGAAGCAATGATGTGATGAATCGCAGGAAAAATTTTCCACTCACGTGTATGCGTTCGTTTGCTCGTGCGCCGCTCGTCCAACTGCATTAGTGCACTCCGTGGTCCTCCTCCTCCTGTTGGCAATGTCGTTTCAAATTATGCGCTCATAATAATTTTATAATTAACTGCCAAAGACGCGCGCGCGAGCTTGGAGCAATTCGAGAATGTCAGCGAAATAGCGAGTGCGATTCAATATTTCTTCTGCCTGCATCGACGACGACGACGACGACGACGACGACCCGTAGGTTAGACGGATACAGCTGACGCCGCGACATGGCCGCACTACTACGTGCTATTTCTGGCATCGATCGAGCTTATTGTAGTGCATTTCTGCGAGTTGTTATGATTATGTGTGTGTATGCGTTACTGTCTATACTCGTATGCGAGTGTCGAGACTGCACGACTCATGCGCATGACGAGGAGCTTTCGGCTTTCTGCTAGTGCTTTTAGCCGTGGCGCGCGATTTCGTAACGGAGCTTGCGAGCTTCAACTTGAATGGCCAGTTTCGGACCGGGTCCTACGGAATATTTTCATGCGTATTTTGCAATATCTCACGCGTCGATGATAAAATTTTTATATTTTTTCGGAATCCAACCACTCGTTCATAAGTGCATAGCCTGCACGACGACCATTAGATTGCGAAACAGCACATGGGCCAATAGACGCGTGTAATTACTACGTCAATTCGGCGCGTCTCTATCTCTTCGCCCAAGGGACGCCAAGCATCGACGCATCAACATTTACATCATTTCCTCGTATGCTATTGCAACTTTACAGATACACGTATGTAGGATGGGTTTCGGGCAAATGAGAAAATTAGCCAACCGAGTGTGTACTCGATTATCCGAAAGTCGAGGTAATCAACGATCGAACGAAAAATAAAAAAAATATATCGAAACGAAATTCCGACTAATCAATATTACAGCTCAGGGACCGCGTGTGTACGTATAGGCGCGTCGCGACTAGCTGACCTACAAACGCGACGACGTATAAGAGTTTTCTGGACGACTGCATGACAAATAACGAGCGCGCGCGCCTAGGGGGCGTACGATAAATATAACGATCGATGACGGGGGGACCCACCAGTTTCCAGATAGCGGCAGCGGCGCAGTGCATCAGTGACTTCCCGTCGCAATTCGCTATCGAACGACGCGTGGTCGCGCTTCAGCGAGCCGTGCAGTGCCGATCGCGCGACACTATACTGCCGGCGGTCTCTCTCGTTGTCGCGAGCTATATACGCAGGTAGCAGCATACTGCGACAAAAATCGACGCGTTCATCGCCGTATTTCCATGTAATGAGTGTTGTAATGACTCTTTGGCTCGTTTGTGAAAAGCGGTACGCCGCCGCCGCGTGGAGCATCTATTACACGGAGCGCATTAAAACGTATTGCATGTCACAGAGAGAAAGAGCGGTTTGAAGCGCATCGTTCGCGCAATATACAACTGTATACTTGGGACGCACTTGTAACACTATATAGCAGTCGTGTAACAATCGTATGAATCATCTTTCTTTTGCCGACGTTCGCACGCGCACATTTTCAATCTTCGATGAGGATAAAAAAAAGTTTATTGTCGCCTGCGAAGAATAAATAAACGGGCTTGAGCCCCGGCGGTGCTGCGCTCTGCGTACTGCTTGTCAGAAGCTACACATAGCTAATTATGCAAATTATCCATGCTCTGCGACACGAGCGTGAAAAAAGAACGACGAATTAATGCATGCGCGTGAAATAACTCGTTGCCGTTTATCCTTTTTTGATTTTTCTTATTTTTACACTGAAAAAAGTACATCGTATAAATTGGCCTTGTTTTAAATAAACTGTTTGCTATTATAATGTCAAATGAATTTTTATTAATATCAAATAATAGATGTACAGTAATTTGTAATTTATATAAATAAATATTTAGTCAATTTGAGGTAGATGCATATTGAGTTTTAAAAACATTTTGTGGCAAGTAAAAAATTATTTTCTTATTTTGAAGACACTTTTATCTTTATAAAATCCTCTCTTTTGAAAATGATAAACTGATCGAGTCATGTTGAAGTGTCACCATTTCTACATTAAGTGCGAGTTTTTAAATTCATAATGATTTGATGGCCTTTGGTGTATGGATACAAAAACTCGATTGGATACATACCGCAGCTCATGATGCATCTCTGCACAGTGACGCTTGCGTATTCGTGAATTTCATATGCGTTCATACAAGAGTACATATAAGTACAAATTTGTAAACAAGGCGGCAATTTACTTACGTTGATCGGAATTGGACGATAACATTCCACGTTTCGATGGATTGGGTATCAATAATGTACTGCTTTGATGTGAGATCGGAGGCTGTATCTTAATCCAAATGATTTGCGACAAATCTCACATTCGAAGGATTTGCTACGATTATGTACTAAATTGATGTGACGTGTGAGGTTGATTTTCAGTCCAAATGATTTATGACAAATATCACATTCAAAGGGTTTGCTACGATCATGTACTGTATTTATGTGAATTTTGAGATGGTATTTCCGTCCAAATGATTTGTGACAAATCTCACATTCGAAGGGTTTGCTATGATCATGTACTGTGTTTATGTGCTTCTTGAGATAATGCTGGTATCCAAATGATTTATGACACATCTCACATTCAAAGGGTTTTCTACGATAATGAACTGCATTTATGTGCTTCTTGATATTGTTCTGGTATCCAAATGATTTATGACAAATCTCACACTCGAAGGGTTTGCTCCGATAATGTACTGCATTTATGTGACGTCCGAGATTACTTGATTGTCCAAATGATTTGTGACAAATCTCACATTCAAAGGGTTTGCTGTGATCATGTACTAGATTTATGTGTTTTTTCAGGTCGCCTTTGTATCCAAATGATTTGTGGCAAATGTCACACTCGAAGGGTTTGATAAAACTATGTACTGCAGTTATATGGGTTTTGAGTAGACATTGATATCCAAATGATAAGTGACAAATTTCACATACATGTGGTCTAATGCTCTTGTGTGTCCTATTGATTTGTTTTTCAAGATTTTCTTCTCCTTTATAAGTTTTTTGACACTTATTATACTTAGATAATTTGATTTGAGTGACTTTTCTAAATATTTTAACATCCTTATATTTGTCAAAATTCGATCGGAAATTTAATTCAAATTGACAATTATTATCATAATCGAATCCTTTTTTTATCAATATTATGAGATCTTCATCGTTCAAGTAATTGTTATGAATTTGATTTTCTATTTTCACAATTGGCTGATAACTCTGATTCTCAATTTTCCAAATAGTTTTCGATAAATACGTTTGTTCAGGTTTAATATTTTTGCACTCAAAATCTACGAGTATTTTTTCATCTGATCTTTCCTGTAACGCCATGAACTTATTCATTGGATTTGCCTATAAGTAGAATTGTCCTATATAGTTTTATAATTTAATAGAGGATTATAATTCAAATCATTAAACTCACCGAGGATTTATACAATGTGAATTTATGAAAGTGTTTGACTTCGTAATCAAAAATATCATTGTCGCCTGCATCAGGCCAAGTATCGTTTGGCTCTTCCTTCACCCTAAACAACAAAAATTAAGTTTGATGAAACAATTACTTGAAAAATAAAAAGGTATCCAAACGATGTAAAACCTAAGCGTTTCTTCTCTGCTTTCCATGACTCGCTTTTATTATAAATTTTCACTGTGATTTTTCACGAAAAAGAAATACACCTTGAATATATTAGAGGTTATATGCCGCACGTAGCCAACACTGCACCTCGATTTTAAGTACACGAACAATACTTTTTTACTGATCGTAATTGTAAACGTACTAACTATATATTATCAAGGAGACCCCGCGATTGCGGTAGCTTCTTAGCGCTATTTTGTCCCTTTTCTGTTGATGCTCGGTCTGGTGAAAGTTTGTCTGTTCGCACAAAAAATAGATAAGATCTTCGTTGCTTGTATAGAGGGCGTTTTCAGATTATCACAAAATGGTCACTTTACCGATTTGCCTAGAGGAATATCAAACAAGGTCTCTCGTTTATTAACCCGCAACACCTATCTGTATTTTAGATGCAATATGTGCTGGTCGCTGAAATCATTGACTTCAGTTTTTCACGTTTTTGATTTTTTGATGCAAATTATCGATGCGCAGAGTTTAGAAGCATCTTTTTATACCAATAAGTTGAGAAACTTATTTTTTCATTAGTAGGGGAGAATGCTCGATTATGGCGCAATCGCCTAATTTGGCGCACCCTTCGTCAAGTACTTTAAAAATTATTTTTCAAAATAGTAGTGGTATTTTAGTAATCTAGAAACATTTTAAAGCTTATCTACCGGAAAAAATGATTGAAAAATATCTTTAACAAAAAAATATCGGCGAATGAAAAAGTGCAACCTTTCTCTTGTAATATTATGATTATGAAACCTAACCTAGTTTAGTAGAGTAAATTGGGAATGCAATTCAAGTTCAATAAAACTATTTAATGATTCAAAACAATACGCTAATTCATTATACATTATTGATATTGTCATTCACAAATTATATTTGATTTGCACTACATTATTTCAATAAGTTAAGTCCGGGCAAGGATTCTGTGCGCCAGAATAGGAATAATGTGCGCCGCAAAAGGCAATAGCAAGCCTTGCGCAGCAATGTGACAGAATTTTTTCGATGCTTGATTAAGGGGGAAAAAATTATATTTTTGGCAATGATAAACATACCAAAACAAAGATAAATACTCTAACTATCATGAGGCATATTGGGTATTGTGTTTCAAATGATACATTTTTTATACTAGTCGAAAATTCCTTAAGTGCGCCATACACGGGGGTTCTCCCCTACCGTTCCATATTTGAATGAGCAAGGGGGAATTTTGAACTTTGGTAAATAAATATCATTCAAAAAAGCAATTGCGTTGCTAAAAAGGCTCACTAAGAAATTAAGTGAATTCGAATGATAATTTGTTGCAGTATTATATTATGATTTTCAATCTTAAAATAGTCTACATGTAGGCGCATTGAGCTCGACACTGAAAATTAAACGCTCAGCATAGACACAATTGCAAGATTATACATATAACACAGCTGTATTCTGCACGTCGAATGACGGATGACACTTTCAATTAAAACTTTATAAAATTAGAGGCGTTTAATTGAATTAGCCCCAGACTTTAGCTGCTGCTGCTGCTACGTATCCGATCGATACTGCACGATAAGTTCGGTAAAACGCGCCATAAAGTTTTCCTCTGGCTTGGATTTTTTTTACCCTCGTCCCATATATTATATCACGAACGATACAAGATCGCAAAAGTTGAGCCGAATCGAGATATTACAATCTACGAGATTAACCAAATGTCAAAGCGGACATAGTTGAAAGTTGTCGCGTCGGCAAGGAGAGTCGTCGGTGTCTCGCAGCCTCCAGTTGACGAGCTTCGCGAGCAGCAACGACGAGTAGTCGCGCAACGGCGACGGCGTAACTTTGGTTGCCTGAGATCGCGGGGCTGCTGTTGCTGCTGCTGTTTCTGTTGTGCGCAATTAAGTATTATATAGTCGTGCAGGAAACGCAACGCAAGTCTTGTATACACAGGAGAGAAAAAGGAAAACACGCAGAAGAAGTGCCAGGCCGCGTGCCCCGAGGCTTTTTCCTTTACCAAACAGTTTCCTTCGTTCTGTCTATTGAAAGTTTAGATACCTTTTTTTTTCGCGTTTAAGCTCAACCCCGTATACCAAGACTCGTGTGTACGTGTGTACCAAAGTTGAAGTTTTGTCGTGTGCAGCAGCAGCAGCAGCACACCTATATATATACATTGCACATCCATACATCCTGCAGCCACGCAAAATTTGATATGATTAATTTTATTATTGACAAGTACAGAGAGGCGCCTCGTTGCGCATGTAGAAGCGCAGCAGCATGTGTTGGTGCGCGGGTGGCGCACGCCCGCAGGTATTATATACACGGACGACGTGCCCTTGGGCTTTGCAAAGTTTGCGAAAACTGATCGTTGCGGCTGTACGCGAGCGGTATAATATAAACGCGAGAGCGAGCGAGCGAGCGCGCCGCACAAGTTTATTATTTTTATAACCCTCCCAGCAACAGCGGTAGTAATATTATATATGGCCGTGGCGTTGGCCTGCAGGTCTGCTTATACTTTTGACTACTCTTGTGAGTGTGTGTGAGTGTGTATGTGCTCGGGGAAAAGCTGCGCGGAGGCGTTAAATTTTCACAAGAAGCCGTCTAGATAGATTTCTATCCTCCGCGCGCGGATCATTCGTTTTTGATGAGGGCTCGCGCGCTCGAGTTTACGCGTTATTATATTTTCATCGATAATCTCTTTGGCACTTTTCAAAAGCTGAAATATTGGAGAGCGGCTGAATTATTGACGCGAGCTCGGTACATTTTGAATCATGAGCATAACGAACGATATCCGCGTTCAACTGCCCGCCAGCTCCTGTTTTATATCGATTCATGCGAGAGTGACGTTTTTACAAACTTTGACGCGCGCATTAAAGAAATGAAGCCTGTGTACCGGACACGTTGCGATCAAAATTCATACGCTTCATCGTGCGACGATGCAACGACAAAAACTTTAAAATTGTGCACACACACACACATAACTATTACTTACAGGATTTTAACGTCGACTGTATAAATAAGCATTAAGTGTTAATGGCTCTGGACTCTTTGCAGGAGGGATTTTAATGTTGTTTCTTTCGCGCTCCGCATTCATTTGCAGCGAGTAATGGAGAGTATTATACTTTGGAGGGATTAGCGTATGACTGAGTAATGATCTTACGTATTATTCGTTTTTGTCCGCACGAATTCACACATTTCTCTTATTAACTTTGTTTGTGTATAACTCGCGATCATTAATCCAAGTACATTTCGGGATAATATCGAAAAATCATTACAGATTTTTCATTGTCGGTACGAAAAATAAACGAATAAAAATAAAAGAACGAAGCGTGTACTACATGCGGTACTACGCTGGACCGCAAGACTTAATCGAGAGCAGATGTGTCAATAAAAATCATCTCAGAAAGGAAGCTAAACGCTCGCGAGAAATACCTTTGAAGTCGTAACGGGCGCGCGCGCGAACGTTTACTCGCGTCTGTAATCTGTATACGATACGAAAAAGGAATAAAAAAAATCTCGTCCGTAAACGGCACGCGAGTCGGCGCCGCCGCACACGGCCTTATAAAAGTGGCGCGTCGCGTGGCGCCTGGCCGCGAAACAAGCGCGCCGCGGCTTTGCGAAACGATTTGTCGATTTTGCTCAACTTAGCTGTATATAATATAATAAAATCATACAAAACGATTCTTGATAATTACAGACGGAGCGACACTTTCATTTTCACGTCTACTGGCAGGAATCTATGCCACGGAAATCATTGCCAATTTGCCGCAACAATGCCAAAACAGCTCGGCGCGTGTCAATATGTGCGCGAGAGGGCCGTCGAAGTATCTGCTTGCGGCCAATCTCCATCTGGATAGGATCACTTCCCTCTGTACGTATATAACAACAGCACACATAAACGTATACCCACAGAGAGGTAACATACAGATGCAGTGTCGCTTTTTGGTTTCGATATATAATAATTGCACGCGAACCGTCGGCATGAGCGGTGGCTCAGCACGCGCGCGAGCCTCTCCGCATCTGCGACTACGGCCGGCTGCCTTGTAGGACAGCAGCAGCAGCAGCAGCACATGGGCCTCATAGCAAGTCGCCGGCGGTGGCTATGTTACACCTGTCCTCGATACGTATACCGCCGCCGCCGCCGCCGCTGTGTAGCCGATCGCCCTTTTGCGCTTAGTAGGCGCGTGCCTTATTTTTCGGGGCCAGCTGCTGCTGCTGCTGCTGCTGCTGCTGCTCAGGCTGCCGTGCTTATAATACTTAAGTGTATATCGATGTTTGCAGCTGAACGTAGGGCCTGTAAAACAAGAGTGCGAGCGCGTACTCGATGAATCGTGATACGAGCCGAGCGCGTTCATGAGGAAGTCTCGTTCATCGAGATTCTTTTCTATTTGTACACAATTGAAATTTGATACCTGTTTTTTTATCGAATCGTGTGACCCTTGCCACTCGCGTTTTTTTACAGCTTTAATTCGTTCATATGTTATCATTTTTACGTTTATTTTTCTCAATGAAAACGCAGTGAGTTTTGCTATATGAAAAAGAAAGCAGCACAAAATGAAATAACGAAAGAGGTAGATGACTTTATATGTTTCTCGCTTTAATACAACGTGTATGAACTTTTGTTAAAAAAACACACACACACAAAAGAAAGAAACGAATCCCCCTAAAGAAAATAACAGTGCAGTACACGCAGTGTCTCGAGACACTTGTTTTTTATCTCGAGCTCGCAGCAATATGTGCTATATAACGTGTATATAGTTACGAGGCTTTTTTCCTGATAACAGCATTATCCATATTTCATGGGGAGGAAAAAATGTGTACGCGGGGAGAGAGAGAAAAATTTTAACAATCTCGTTATGGAAGTTTTCCCCCTTCGCGCTACTCCCTTTATCCTTTGCGTAAATAGCAGCTCGACTCGTTGGAAAAATAACTCCTTTCGAAATTACAATCTCGACTTGCTTGCGCGTAATATAACATGTAAACAAATAATAAGTGCATATCTCGGAGCATTGTTATGTACTTTTAACAACGAACGGCACGGTACAAATGAAGCGCGGATCGGGCCGAGGATCGCGATGTGTAACTTATTGCGCGCCGCGAATAACAATGCCGTAATAGGCCAAGTGCATTAGGAGCTGCATGCTTTTACGCGCGCGTCTGTGTATTATATATCGCAACAGACTCCGAGGCGCACTCTCGTAGATAGAAGTTCGCATGCCGTATACATGGAAACGGTCGAGAATCATTCCGATGGCAAAGTGCAGATGTATTATTGCGAGATTTTCGATGAATTTCATTCGTATTTTTAGTTTGAAAAAACGAAAAGTTCAAGCTTCGCTGAAAATGAATTTATAACGATGCCATTAGAAAAAATATTTTGATGATTGATTTTACTCTTTCAGTACAGTTGAAAATGCATTCGTAACGTGAAAAATATTAAGTATGTGTATGATCGAGGTACCTTCACAATGAAGTCGCCTCGTAATTACTTTTAAATAAAATAAACCGTACACGTATTTACGTGAGAAAAACTCGAAGGTGAAAAAACTCACACTTTATTGAATAAATGCGCGATTCAATTGAGAATCGGCCGGGGCTCGTCTACTATTGTTTTCCAAACAAGGAAATAACAAAATTCTGGTATTTTAAGTTTTTATTCAGAATCAAAAGTAACGTCAAATCAACTTTTCGTACAACAGTTGCGTTGCTTAGCGACGCGCGACTTCCTTGTTTTTCTCGAAAAGAGATTTAAATATTGAACAGGATGTACTTCCAAATTCCAAAAACCATGGTTGGACTTATACCATTATTCTTACTCTGTCACTTGCAGATTTACAGATAACATTACTCGCTATCTAGAGGTCAATACTGGATTCTAATAGAATTGAAATTTAATACATTTTTTGAGCAATTTTTCTCAAATTTTAAATTTCACTATCGAATTAAATCTTTTTTGTGCAATTTACGCATAAAAAATACATCAGTACTAGTACATAAATTTCCAACGAAGATTACACATGAATACAACGAAGATTGAATTGTGCATTAAATTGACGATTTTATCAAGTAACAGCCAAGCTATTTATTGAATTTTCGTCGGAAAATTTCTTCGTTCGAAGAGTTGAATTTCTCCGAAAAACATGTCCTTAAAAATGCACCGGTCTAATGTACGTGCACTCGCGCTGCGTTAAATTCGCATATAATAAAGTATGTATATGGGAGATGTAGCTGCACCTTGCGCGTATACCCGTACACAATCCGGTGCACATCGCATCCCTCTCGCGCTTGGTTTCGGGTTGAAACGCGCGCTACAACGTACATCTAGTGCAGTGGTAGGGATCTCTCATCTCTCTCTCTCTCTCTCGCTTGCACTGCGCACACGTGACGCTTTACACGTTTAATATACTTATATACAGCATTTGCGAACGCATGTCCTGCGCGCGGACTCCGTCTCTCTCTCTCTACGGAGCAGCTGCGGCGTCACGCGCTCGCTCATTCGTGGCGAAACTGCCGACCGGCGCGCAAGCGGCCCTCCGCAAAATTTACCTCCTCGTCGTCGTCGTCGTCGTATTCGCGCGCTCAGCAGCACAGGAGAAAAATAAAAGCCGGCAGTTTGCAGCTGCAGTTCGAAGTATACGCGCGCCCTGCTCGTGAGAGAGTTTCTCCTGCTCTCGTCGTTGCAATTGGATTGCGAATTGTAATATATATATAGTGAGTTCGATTGAGTGATCGATTGTCGCGCGTTCAGTTTGTTCGCTGATGAAGTAGGAAAAGAAAAAAAAAGCTCGAGGATTTCTTCTTGTTGTACGTCGTGTAAGCCACCACCAAAGAAGCGAGATATATGGACCCGTACGCGATGAGCTCGAGGATTTTGTGCTTGCTCGCCGCCTGCTTGGCTGTGCTGCTTATCGTACAGGTGAGCTTTTCGTCCTGCCTTCGAATTAAGCTCCTCTTTCGAGTCGTCACGCGATATATTTAACCGGCTCTTCGCTGTCGACGACCGTGTACTACTATTGCTATATATGCGCACACGTCACTCTCGTGCGAACGATCGCTGCAAAAGTGAACGCGCCTTTTCAAACACTGGTCGCGCGCGTGCGGCTTTATATACAAACTCGACATTCGCTAAGCTTTATCGCAACGCACCTTCTCGTTTCGCGCGTGTACTAGATGTCGCATATCTGTAGTCGTTAGACCGATCTAGCTGCTCTTTTTTTCTGACGCGTGCGTGCCTACGGTGCGATATCTCTGATTTTCTCGCAGCGATACGTTTTCGCGCGATTCGTGTCTCGATAAGAGATCTTTTTATTTCAAAACATCGCCACGTTACGAGCTCAATCGTTCAGCATTTAACGAAAACGTTAACGATGAATGATGACGATAATAGCTCGTTTCAACGCTCGACCATGATAATTCATCGCTTTAATCAAATATATTAATAATCATATGCATATTAATTTTCACAATAGCTCATAACTATATAGATAAAGTGTAAGAGCAGAGAGAGAGAGACAGTAGCGCTCCGGCCGCAATTATGATAGACAGAGAGTAATGGTATATATTATTAATCCAACCCGCTGGATGACAATGCAGATTTTAATTTAAAACCCTTTGCACGTATAGCTATTTCCTGAAATATAAATTGAACGAGAGAGAGAGAGAGAGAGAGAGGCGAGGAGTGAACCTGGAAGCGAGAGAGAGGGAGAATGACTTTACGCAAATAAGCTCCCATTTTCCACGCTCAAATGTATTCATCGACAAAGGATCCGTATTTACACAAGTTTTCCAATACTTGCGGGGTCCATATATATATATATAGAGAGAGAGAGAGAGGGGGAGAGAGGCGTGGGGGTATAGAGAGATGATCCGTCGGAGCTCTTTATAAGACATGTCATTTAAATTTAGCCACAGAAGAGGAAGAGCAGCGACGGCAGCAGCAGCAGCAGCACTAGTGGTGCACGTACGCGGCAGGATCATTTCAATATTTGCACCAACCGTAATCCAGCTATATCTGCTGCTTTCATCTCTATACCTATATATTAGCTCGTTGCGAGCGTGTACGTATAATATCGAGAGAGACAGAGTGGATGAATTTACGGATAAACGCGATAGTCATTCGCACTCGGCTTGTCGTTGGCGGCGCGACGCGCATCGAAACGGCACAGAAAAAAAGCGACGAAGGCAGCAACAGCCTAGCAGCGAAACGAAACAAAAAAAAAGCAAAAAAGGAAAAAAAACATTGCCAACGTACTTCCGGTTAGCGCGCGCCCCAGTGCAGAGAAGCGTCGGCAGCAAAATTTGCACAGATCGTCGCGCACATTGTTTTGGTTGTTGTCTTTTTTGTCTTTTTGTTCTCTATGCAACAAACGTGCCTCTACTGCTGCTGCTGCTGCTGCTGCTGCTGCTGCTGCTGCTGTCGTGGTGAGTATCGGTCACTTTAACTGTATTGAAAAATCGACGACAAATACACCTCTCTAGCTAGCACAGAGACAACGAGAGAAACCGTTGACGAGGCTCACTGCTGCTGTTGTTGCTGGCTTTGCGCATTTCATCGATGCACATATACGATATGGGATACGTGCAATGCCGCACACACACACATATACTGCGTGCATGAATAGATAAATGTATGATTGATTGGAGCTGGTTGCCGCGCGGCTGTGCATATAGATACGCGCTAGCACAGGATTGCACGCGAAAAAGCAGCAGCAGCGCACCAATAAAATTTGAAAATAAAAGAGACGAATGTCTCCGTGTATAGGGTACTACGCGGGCCATGATTTGTGACGCGGAGGATTTCAGAGCTCTCTCGCAAAATATACGCAGCAGCTCGCCCGCGCGCAGATATAGGCGTTTTATAACATTTATAAC